TTAATTACCGATTAATGTTATTTTAATATATCGAATATGAAAACAGTAATTATTGTTTAAACTGTGTAACTTTCGAAATAACTATTTATCTTGAGCAGAATAAAGTGGCTGAATGACATTGACCCGTGGAAACCAGATTCTTAATGAACATAGAGTAAAAAGTAAGTTAAATGGTTATAAAAAAACAGAGTCATTTTACGTAAATACCGTATTTATATGTAAAATATATTGTAAATATAAATGAAACAAATTTGATGTTACCTTAAATTCAGTAGTTTTAAGGTTATACTCTCACTGTGACTTCTTAAACTCTTGTGTTTGATTCCTGATGTGATTGTGAATACCAACCGACAATAAGTCATCTATTAAATTGAAACATCTATCCCGTACACTCTAATTTTTAATGATTGTTTAGATTAAATTAATTTATGATATGAAACTTTACATTAATCAATCCCTAAAGCACTTTATAAGGTGTAATCATCAATTATAATTATTGTCCCATTCTATCATCAAGATATGAAGTTAGTTTTTATTTCAGTCAATAAAGATATCTTTATAAATAAGAAACAATTTATAAAATAATGATGTACAAATTTGATTAACTAATTAAAGAATTTTCTTATCATAAATAATTTCTATAGTTACATTTAATCAAATTATTAACATCATAAAAATAGTATCGTTTCTAATTTTCTTTTCTTTCTTTCTCTCTTTTTCTCTTTCTGTTTCTTTTTTGTTTTCATATTTTAATCAAAGAGAAAGAATATATCAGTCACAAAAAGGTAACAAGTTAAAAATCACAACACTTTAATATTGTATATGAGATTTTGACTACATGATCTGATCTAGAAAGGAAGAGAAAATAAGGAGAGGAGACAGGGAGTGGGGGGGGGAGAGATAGAGAGAGAACACAACTCGAAAAATTACATCGAAGGATAAATAAATAGGTAGCAAGTTTCATTTGGTGAAAATCAATTCTCATATGAAAAATAATTAAAAAAAAAACAAAATTCCAAATATTGTTTTCTTTTTTTTATTATTTTTAATATCATCAATGTAAAGTGCATTTTTAGAAGAAAAAACAAAGAAACAAAGAAAAAACAAACCAAAACAGAAAAGAAACAACTCACTGCAAAACAGTTTTTTAATGTCAACGTTGAAATACATACCTAATATATCTGTATATAAAATAATGATGAGAAAAATTAAATTATGGTTAGTGATTATATTGATTGTTTATGAAGGAAAAAAATAACATTGATTTAAAGAAATTATTTAGTTATTTTTGTTGTAAATCTGTAATGATGTTGTAAATTAGGCTTTAGTGGCCCGTTATCTCATATGTAGCAACTTACGTGAGATTGAGTTTGTTCACATTTAATTCGGTTAAGTCATTTTTGTTAACTTATTAACGAACTAAGTCATCCGTACAACAACAACAACTTATCTATATCATTGTATCTTTATTATTGTTGTGAATGTATGAACATGTATGCTTGAGCATTGCTTACTGCCTACGCATTTATTCACGTTGCTAGCCTTATTACTAACCGTTTAATTGATTCGATGATTCATTCATTTCACTATGTATATATATGTCCATGTTATTCATGTTCACTGCTCTCGCTCTCGCTTAATTGTACTCGCTTACTCGTATTCATATTCGCTGACTCGCTCGCCCACTTGCCTTTCGGCACAACTCCTTCACGCTTGTTTAACGCACCTGTAATTTTGGATATCTGTGTGTGGTCCCATAATAAACGTAATCAACACTTCGTATTCGCCTTCTGACTAATATACCGTTGTGGCGTTATCTAGTGATGGTTATCAAGACGAACTGTATACGAAGTTTAAGGATTATATTGAATACCGACCAAAACACTAACTACAATTGTATTATGTGATTATCGTTATCGACTTGAATCGTATTGGTGAATAACGGAATGAAATAAGTTAAATACGAGAATGGTTTTTTGAATACGTATATTTCGTGCAATTGTTGATCGGGAAGTAAAACAAAGCAAAATGACGCTCAATGGAGATGAGTGAATCAGCATTAATTAACCAAGCATGAATCGATATTTATATTCAGATAAAAATAAGTTACATACACGTGATGGATAGGATAAGAAGTGCACACACATACGCTTACATAAAAACAGTCATGGTTGACAAGCGAATAATCAACAAACTCAAAATATGACTCAAGAAGAATGAGCAAACTGGTTTGTCCGGAAACTAGAATAAGCTATATGGGCTTAACAATAGCAACCAACACTACAATGCTAAACTCTGAGACAAAACCGTAAGACAAATGATGACTTTCATGTTTAACCAAAAACATTTAGTAAATTCAGTTGACAACTAGTTATTAGATAAGGAATTACAAACAAGATATCAAAGATAAAAACTAGTCTGGCCTTACTATCGTGGAGAAGTACAACACATCGAATAAATTCAAAGACAACTGAGATGTGTCTTAGTTTCTAGTGCAAATTGTGGTAATAGTGTAAAGCATTAATTATAGGTTCTTTTCATTATTTTATTCTGTTACTTTTTATTATGAAACCTTTGATGACTTTATTTCAGTCGTTGATTTCAGTGAAGTAATAAATATAAATCTCTAATTAAGCGGAGATGGATGGTGACTAGCAGTGAAAGTCACTAACATCATTTCGTTGTGTTTGGGAAAATTGAAACAACTAATATATATGAGTTAAAATAAACCTCTACTGTTATTAATGATCAGTGGTGATGCGATTTCAAATTTTATGTATAGTTGAAGCTACAACTGAAAAGAAGGGTAGGATCCAGAGTGATTTGAATATTGATCAAATCTATCACTAATACACAAATATCACTGATAAACCACATGATCAGATTAACTTAACAAATTTGGATGTATATGGTGAATGCTACTTATGTTGAGAGAAATAAGTATTATGTAATACCAACCAGAAGTGGAATGCCTATCAGCAGATGGTTGAGAAGATCAAATTGAAGAGAACAAGAATTTAGAGTGACAGTAATTATAATAACAATAGGAATGAATGGACGATGAATTTTGTGAAAACCAATTGATGGAAGATGTGGAAATGAAGTATTTCATGTATGATTTTCATATTTTATATGTATGTTTTGTAATCTCTTCCACTTAGTTTTGTGTTTGTATCTGGTTACACGGAACTTACTAACTTTGTGTTTCCGGTTTTGTTGACGCCTAATATGTAATTGCCAATCACACCGTTTAAGGCATCAGATGAACTACAAAACTGGAGAGGTTTGAGGAATCCACCAGCTCAGTTAATGTTTATGTATGTGTGAAACACAGGTTAAGTTCTCTTTCTGCGTTCTTTGGTCAATTATAACTAAATTTCACAGTCTTGTTATATTTATGTTCACATAATTACCGAAGTGACCTTCAATAGAGCAATTTCAATGTGACCTACCTTCTTTATTCTATCCACAAGCATTAAGTGGCACAAAACAATCTCCGTTTAATATTAATTACGTTACGTAAACTAATAACTTATAAAGTATTCATAGACGTTTAAAAAATGGATTGTTTTGAAAAAAACTAACAAAACAGTGTCTAAGTTGTTAGAGCACTAAGCATTCAGTCATTAAATAGAAGTTTTGAACATGGCTACTTCCGATTCCTCATAAGTTGTTAAGAGAGAAAACAAACCTTCATATGTAAAGAACAACTAAGAATCAAGTTCCAGAAGAACATCTCCGATTTTACTGTATTTTAGATTGTCTTCTCTAGGCTTTATCCAGTTTGCTAATGTTTTGAAAACAATACTTTACTCTAAGCCATCTTAATATTTGTCTATAAGTTTACATAATCTTTTGGAGTAGGTTAAAGCAGGCACGTAAGTCTTTCTCATTCTGAGTATTGCGCCATCTGGTTATAGAAAATAATATGTTAATCAATAAATAGATTAATTTATGGAAACTGCTGATAACAAAAAAAAATACCATGATTATCTATAAAGATTACCTACAAATCCAATCGACTCGGTTAAGAAAGAGTTAGAATCGTAAGCTTGTATACAGTAGAAATTAAACACTGAAACATTCAAAAACAATTCTTTGTTTGATCATGGTAAATATGCAACAAGACTACGCAACCCAATATAATCGATGTGAACAACTATGGATGGAAAATTAACTGAAGTATTTTCATAAATCTCCTGGAACTTGGTGTTCAGGGTACTTTACATATGAAAGATATTTGGCTACAGACTCAATCTATTATTAATTTTTAAAATATTACCGTTAGGCTAAATCATCAGAAATCTACTCAATAAACTTGGAATTGTTGATCCATGAATACAAGCGTTTAGTTGAACAAATCGGGTTAGTAAAGTATAAATGAAATCATCTTGGAAGCATTATTTCTCATTGTAGAAATAAAAGCAGCTCAATTCTTTTTAAAAGCCTGTGTTGATTATATCATCTAAAACATCATTGACCGCTTCAAAGTCATCAGTTAAATTTAGAGAATATATATATTCTGGTTATATAATTCATTAGCTGTGTAGTTTAAATCTGGTCACGGAAGCGTCAACTAAGTTATTAAAGTTTTCAAAGACTGAAATATCAAAGAAGAGTAATATATAATACGTATTTTTTCAATGAGTTTGTAATAAAAAACAATGGTCTCTGTATTGTTTGATAATAAACATATATTTTTACCAAACTAAAAACTTTCATTAAGATTAACTGTATTCTTAAATTACAAAACCTATTCAGTAATACAAGTGATTTGAGATAATCTATGAATTTTATAGTATGCATGATGATTTGATGTTCTAGTTAAACAATTGTTGAAAACCAGGAAACATTGAATAACTATTTCGTTCTAGTATGAAATTTCTTAACAGTGAACAACCCTTATCCTACCGAGAATCAAAATTTAATCATTAAACAATTATAAGTTGAGTAAAAACAAACTCCGCCTGGAGTCCCTCCAGGGGCTACTGCCGGTCTTAAGCCCGGATAAAGGAGGAGGGTTGGGCATGGGGTTAGCGTCCCCATCCCGTAGAAAACTAACCCGCTAAAAAAAACGCTAACTCATATTTACAACTGAGGAACATCTGGAAGTCAAAACAACTGTCAACCAACACCAACGTCAGGATTTTCAATACAAATGTCAAGACAGTTCTACTGCATGGGACAGAAACCTGGAGAACTACGAAATCCATCATCCAGAAAATACAGGTGTTTATTAACAGTTGTCTACGCAAAATACTTCAGATCCGTTGGCCGGACATTATTAGGAACAACGTACTGTGGGAGGGAACAAACCAGATCCCAGCGGAGGAAGAAATCAGGAAGAAGCGCTGGAAGTGGATAGGACACACATTGAGGAAAACACCCAACTGCGTCACAAGACAAGCCTTCACATGGAATCCTCAAGGCCAAAGGAAAAGAGGAAGACCGAAGAACACATTACGCCGGGAAATGGAGATAGATATGAGAAAAATGAACAAGAATTGGACGGAACTAGAAAAGATGGCCCAGGACAGAGTGGGCTGGAGAATGCTAGTCGGCGGCCTATGCTCCATTGGGAGTAATAGGCGTAAGTAAGTAAGTAAGTAAAAACAATTAACAAATAGATTTTTTTCTTTTTGATAATCCATATAGTATTCATATCTAAAGGTGTCGAGTAAACTTACTTCAACTAAGAAATAACCTGATATAGGTTTATGGTCACTGCATATGTAATTTGGATGTGATCTGTAAACAATTGGTGTACAACCTCGACCAAACCAAATAATTCTATCACAATAGGCAGGAATACGATATTTTTCACTGACGGAAATGCAAAAAATTACTTTGTATGAATAAGTTATTCAAATCAATCATTAAGAAAAAAATAAGTATAAAAGATATTTGTTTCTCGAATGAGATTTTTCACGATTTAATATGATCGAATGTTGAAATATACAATTTTTTTACATTTATATATATATATATATATATATATATATATATATATATATATATATATATATAACCTGGACATATTTGAATGGTAGCTTGTAGATGTTTGAAATTATATACACGAGTAAATCTTCATATTGAAGTACTCATTGATATTATAACGTCAACTTGTATTTTGATGGAGATTTTTCTGTGAGCTGGATGTTTTGATCGTGGAGCTTTCATCGTTCAGAGGAACGATGAAAGCTTCAGAACCAAACCATTCAGCTCAGAGAACCAAACTCCATCAAAATCATCCACCTGAGTTACAAATTTTCTCCATCAACTTGTATTCTCCATAAACGTTTATAATACACGCTACACTAACTAGGTTTTTTGTAATTTAGAAGGTAATCGAAATCTATGAAATGACATTTGTTTATAGACTTTTGAACTCTTGTTATAATTCATGTTGTAGAATGTTCTTTTACATAAGAAGGATTATATTTACAATATTTTATTCAGCTTATTAAATTTACTTACACCCTTGCCTATACTATACTAATGTATATTCAAAGTAAGTTTCAACTAAACTCTTTCATATAAGCAATTTCAACCTTTTTTATAATTATGATTTTTAAATATCATAGGTTGTAAAGTATCTGATAAGAACCAAACGAAACAAAATGAATTCATATTATTCTGCTAGAATTTTTGCTCTTGCTCTCTTCAAAATAATAATACGGAACTATGCATATGAAATATTCTCAACAGATTTCTGCGACACTATACTTTATAGACGAATCAATCAGGTTTCAGAGAGCAGGTCTTGGATTTTGGCACAAAATTCATTCATTAATTTGGCCAAATAACACTTTGACATTATAATTGATATCACTTCGTGATGAAAACACTAAATGGAACTCCTAGCCCCAACATCCAACTTTATATTGTAATCTCGATTCTCCACACTAATTTAAAACTCTGATTTAACCCTAGTAAGTAGATGGCCATTCCCAAGGTCATGTTAGTGTTTCTTAAATGTCATTCATAATATATAGTCTCACCAGAATTTCAAGAAAAAATTTCAAAGAAACATTTCTTTACTTTTTATTCATCTTTTGAATAATTAGGAGACAAGTTCACTCTTAAAACACTCATTTTATTAGTGACTTTCATAAGTAAGAGTTAATAGATAATTGAAGTTAAACTAATAAACACTGTTTTCATTCAAATATCACGAAATTGTACATTATCACTTTTCAACTGATTTACTTTGTAACAGTTAAATTCATGAGTTGGTCTAAGCTAGACTACCACTGAAAACCTGGAAGTACTGGATAGTTTCGTCTTAGCAGGGGACTCCACACCAACACTCATCCATGATCCCGCACTCGGGACTTTAGACAATATAAATACTTGAAATATCATTATTTATATATAAGGCCTATTAAATGCGTGAATTATTTGAAATCTTACTGTTTAAAAAAAATATAAATACAAATTAAGTCGATGAATTTTACTGAGATTGTTCCAATAAGCTGATTCAAGGCTAAAATAATTACTTAACAAATATTGATGGAAAGAACTTTTTATTCATGACTTTCTAAAATGGCTTTAAAACAAAGTTTTGCATTTGTGATTCTGAATGATCCGTTTTTTTTATTTGGTTACATTATTGTTTATTCATGCTAATTCATTAATGCTCTTGCATTACCGAGATAATTAACAAAAATCGGAAAGAACTAAACTTAAGCTTTGTCCTGATCAGGAACTATTATTAGTGAGAACTTTCAACTCAGGATCATTCAGTTTTTAGCAAAAGGTTACTTTTAAACCAAAGTTTTATCAAATGACCTATATTTCTAACTCGAATTGGTTTATCATACTATGTATTGTTTCATTCTTGAAATCGTTAAACTTCACTGATTATGGTTTCTTATAAGAATGTCGAAGTCCGCATTGAAGTTAGTTAATTAGTGAATGAACAGTTATTTTGTTGAGATGGTTCAATTTAAGCAGTGAAAGCCACGATTTCGTTTCTACGTGGAGTAACACGTGTATACTGTGTACATTTCACAAACTAAGAAAAAAATGTTTGTCCAGGAAAACAGTTTGCTTATCCAATATTCGTTTATGTTAATTCCATAATTTGTTATAACTGAAAACAAAGTGATATAGGCATTTCAAGAGTTGCGTGGGTGATTGCCACTTCTTGTCTGCCCAAACGGTGTAATGAACCTTTTTGAGATAACTGAAAAGGAAACTGGATTAGTAATGGTCTTGGCGACCAAAACGTTTGACCATAAAGATCAAAAGACAACTGTTGGTGGTCGACCACACATAAACTCTTTAATAATAGTTCTTTAGGTATTAGCTCCGTACTTAAATGTTCTAATCTCTGGTGACAGAAATCCATTTGTGAACTGAAGTATGGTATTTTCAAGATTAACCTTGCAAAGTCCATCCTAATGTGCGGGGATACGTTATCACTATAGATATTACCAGTCTAAGGAAAGCACCTTACTTCCGTAACACCCCGATACGGGAGGTAGTGCAACTTCATCCTCCGACCATAAGTTTACTGCTTTTAGTCAATCTACTTGATGTGTTAGAATCTAAAAATCAAGTGTTTCAGATAATATAACTCCATTGGGTCATCATGATGAATAAGCTCGACCACTGAGTAAAGGTAGAGGCTATGTTTTAGATTATGTTTAGGCAACGCGTAACATTTCGAATTTCTTAACATGATATCATTTCATTTCAGTGAAATAAAGAACTAATCAAATAAGATTGACGTGGTTTTTTATCAACCTATCAACTTTCTCAGTTAAACAAAAATGAACATACCTTGAATCATATGTCTGATAATTAATATCGAATTTATATGTTGGCGGGAAAGTAATTTTATGTTCTCGAAAACCTTGAAATATCTTTCTACTGTTCATTTCTTTTGATAACTTTGAAAAAAACAAAATAAAATCATTGGTTGAATGAATCAATAAATAAAAGGAAAATAAAAGTATGTTACATTGAATTAGCTAATAATTTTATTTCTAATAGTTGAGATTATGAGTCAACTGAAGCTAGACCACCATAGAAAACCTAAAAGCACTGGATAAACGTTTCGTCCTATTGTGAGACTCCTCAGCAGTGCACATCCACGACCCGACCTCGTGAGGTTCAAACCCAAGACATATCGGTCTTGCGTGCGAGCACTTAAACTCTAGACCAATGACCCGGCATCCAACAATAATAATGTGGATTAGTTGAAGACCGAGACGTTCTGGGTTCGAATCTAGCGAAGCGGGATCGTGGATGCGCATTGCTGAGGAGTCTCACAGTGGGACGAAATGACCATCCAGTGCTTCCAGGTTTTCCATGGTGGTTTAACTTCGATTGACTCATAAATTAAACTATTAAAATTACTATAATATCCACAAAACCCCTTCTGATATTAGTTTTATACCTGTTTGTGATGAAATAATGTCAGTGATGAAAGAAAAATAAACTGATAATACGATTAGGTAAACTAGACCAAGTAAAAACTGTGTGAAAATTACGGGTAAAAAATAGATTTCTCCTATCTTATGAAGTCTATTTACAAAAAAACTTGGACTGTGATGGAATATCTTGGAGATAGTTCCTAATGCTTTGTATATGACTTTTCCTGATACACCCAATGGCATATAAATTTCAGAAGAAAATAAGATACGTTGAATTCAGTTTATGATTGTACACAGCAGATCAAAAAACCACAAAGACAAACAGAAATATGAGTACGAATAAATACAAGAGAATACGAATAAGCGAATTAAGTTGAATAAATTAAAAAGAAGCAAATATGTATGGAAAAGTGAATGTGGCATTAAGTGATTTTATCTAGTTAGAGGTATATACTTGTAAATTGTAACATGTGATCAAGCATATATGATCATACAAATGTGATGATGATGATGATAATAATAATAGTAATAAGACAATGAGATAGACGATTTGTTACTATTCGAATGACACAATGTCTGCTGTTTAATAAGTTAAGGGCTTAATAAAACTAGTAGACAAACTTAAGTGTAGTGCAGATATTATAAGATAACGATTTAATCATTATGTAAATTATTTATTGCTTTTCAATATAAAATTATCATTACTGACCAATAATTGTATAATAATACCAAAATATAAAGAATTAGTTTCTTGTATAAATTAATCAATATAATAACACATCATGTGGTAGAACATGTTAACCCTAAAGATTTCCGAAGACACTACGATGAAGAAAACTTACTCTGACTTAATACAAACCAATCAAAATATCTTGAACTAAGCTGCTGAATGTAATTAATTGGTACAGTAAAATAATTATTTAAGATGAATTTTCCCTGAAAGTAACAGTTACATTATCTGACTACTCTGGAATTGATAATTGACTCTTGAAATGTTCACTGTTTTTCAACCTCTTATGAATATATCGAGGAGCATCTAAGTTATTATTATTTTTATTTAAATGTAAAATTTCATTTCAACACTGGTTCACGTGAATGTCTAATCTCATTATATCAAAGCAGTCGAGAAGACCTGTTACTTTTCTTATCTGCATAACACTTTAAACTCTTTTGGGTTGGTAACTGACAAAGTCTTTGTAAGAATACAAAATGTTTTATTGCTCATATCAAATGAGATTAGCGAACAAGAAGTTTACCGAATGACAGTTCATTCTGTAATGTGTTATGACCGTGAAACATATATTTTATGTGTAGGATGTGCGTGTAGGTTACTAATATGAGCCATATATATCTTAGTAGCATTACTTATGTATAGTAGAACCAATTGGGAATATTACTGACGTTTTACTTCGAGTAGTAGGTGGGAATTATAAATTGACTTATGGAATCGTCAATCTTTGGTTATTCTTCCCATGTACTTGCTGGCTACTACTCGTTTAGATTGAAAAGAGCTAGAAGCGGTCAGATTAAGGACTGGGATCAGCGTATAAAATCATTAACTATTCATGTAAACCATAATGGAAGGAATAGATTTTTCCGTCTAGGATCAAGCATGTTATTCTGGCATAAATATACCTCTCGTTGAATGCTGGAGAAAAAATACTTATATGATTAAAATTAGGCTCACGGAAAATCGATCACAATAAATACGGTATTAACTCGTAAATTAGATAGGTCTAACAGATCAAAGTACTTCTTTATTGTCTAAATACTAAATACAAATTGAAATGAAAACCTACCTCGTCATTCTTAAGTAGACTGACGTAATTGTTTTGCCGAATTAATCTCCTGACATTATCTGAATCCAAACCGGTTATTCGATAATTCAAATCTCCAAATACAAAAATTACACTACATCAAAGAAAATATCAGTTTAATAGAAGAATTCACTGTTTTTTTATTTTCTTATATATATATATATATATATATATATATATATATATATATATATATATATATATATCACAAGAGATAAGTTTTCATATCATGGTAATCTGAAATGAAGAATACAAATTTCTTTCACTAATCAACATGATACTGTGTCTAAGCACATCCGTAGTAATCCTTTGAAGGAAATACTTGAAATGTTTTGAGTAGTTGTAGCTCCTATTGACTGTATACCAAATGGTATTAGTCTTTACATAGTAATATCATAGCCGCATTAGTCAACCTGAGTCACCCCTATCAAATCATTGTTTCGTTTGTGAAAACGACGCAAAATTCTTTGATACAAATCAGTCTTTCTTTTCACCTGTTAAATCTAGCTTTTCTCAGTTAAATCTCACCGACCAATCTTAGAATTTCATCACTTGCCTCCATGGTAATCAAATTTTATAACTAAGTCGTAGAGACAATTCTAAAGAGATCAGAATTTGTTCATATAATTTAAGGTAAAATAAGACATCAAATGGGACAATATTATAGAATGAATAAGATAGAGATTAAAAAAAGGTGAAGTATACAGCTTATGATTTTTATTGTGCAATGAATGTGCGAATAATTCAGAGTAGAACATGTATGCATATCATTTAAAATATTCACTTTAAAATCTGATATTAATTATACTAAACACATTTATCAAACAAATAGTTTAATTAAACTATATTGAAACTTACTCATGGATTGAAAAATAAGATTTTTTCGTAGGAAATGGAAAACGCTTTGGATTTATAGGGAATAATAATGACATTTTACGTACAATTTCTTTGAAATCTTGATTACGACGATCAATTTTTTCTTTGCCAGCAGCCAAATGACAATTTACAAAACATAATGAAGTATTAAATATAGTTAGTCTAAGACATACACCACCTTTATTACCCTGAAGTAAAGCAAATGAAAGAAAAACATTTATGTACAAATCATAATAAATCCACCAAGAGATTACATTTATAATACTGTAACGAACGAGAAAAAAGGTGGGAACAACCAACTTATTGTGTTAAACAAAATAACGCGATATCTTGGTATAATATGAGAACCGTACATTGAATAAGACATTTGCAAATTTCCATCATTTGTCCTCCACATTTTGTATGATTCTTCCAATTTACAATTCCTTTTTAATTCCCTTTCTATTCACTTCAACTTGATCTTCTTGTTCTTCTGCTGCCAGGTTTTCCAATTTCGATCGGTGTTACATACTACTTATGTTTGTCCACATAAATAACATAAATCACAAAACCAGTATTCTGTATAAATGTTTCATTTAAGTAGGAAAAGATTCTGGAGGTGGATCGGACATAGGTTGTGTAAATCACCAAACTGCATTATGAGGCAGGGCTTAACTTGAAATCTTGTATAGAAAAGGAAAAGAGGCAAACCAAAGGACACACAGTGCCGGGAGTCGGGAGAATGAATAGTGCCCACTAAAAACTGAGAAGAAGAGCCTTGAACAGAACTGTTTGGAGATCCCTGGTCATTGGCTAATGCGTAAGTAAGTAATTTTAGAATAAAGCATTTTACAACTGAAATAATTCTACTTATTTCCACATAATGTGGTAACGATTGATATTCAAGCTATTTATCAATAATATACTGTAACATAACGTTTGATGAAAACTAAAAATTTATCACTCAAACATCAACGGACACATGAAATATTTGGTTTTAATCACTCATTGGAAATGTATAATCAAAAAATTGTTAACAATAATAAATAATACTCTGGCAGGTGAGGCTAAATAACGTAATACAAATGTCCCGAAGTGTACATCAACTCTGGGATGCAGTTATATTCAACTGACGAGTCACAAGTAGGACGAAACACGTGTTTTGTATTCTTCTGCAAGCCACCATTTATCTTTGTTTGTAATGCATGTAAAATTGAGGCAACATCGAGGTAATCCGCACACGATGTACATATTCCAATAAGAGACTGATCAGTTGCAGTCCTAAACATTAATTATAAAATTCACACAAACAATATGAAATGATGCGCACTGCTGAGGAGTCCCATGCCAGGACGAAACGACCGTCCAGTGCTTCCAGGTTTTCCATGGTGGTCTAGCTTCAGTTGACTCATGATTTCAACCAGTGAAATATGAAATGAATTTATTTTCAATTTTGTCTATACTATCAACATTAATTTCTAAAAGCAATGTTTATCAAATACTTCTTGAATACCATAAAATTTATACAACTTACCATTACATTTAAAACACCAGTTGGAACAATATGTTGAGAGATTTCATCATGACGTAAATGAATGGATAATTTGGCTGAGATGTACACAATCATCATGATACCAGCTAGACGAACACGTCTAATGCGTATATAGCCCCCACCGGTGTACTGAAACCAATAAGCTGCAAAACTTTTAGTTGATTCAGTTTCATTTTGACAAACTACATTATACTTAGAACGAGGTGGTTTCAATAAACCACCTAACGCTTCTTCTATTTGTTGAATCCATAAATCCTCTGGTCCTGATGAACTAGTCTTATTGAGAGTAATTACTTTAAGTCTTAAATCCAATTCTTGTAATCTGATCAAAGATAAATGTAAATGAACATAGATTTCAATGTACTCAATAAATAAAAGAAATAAGCACAATTAAAGTCCTTTGTAGATAAAAACGATTGTGCTTTCTACATAAGCTGAACAAATAACTTACCCAAGAACATACATATCAGCTGGTGGTTGACCTTCAGGAGGTATAAGCCAGTCATCTAAATTTAAATTACTACCATTACGACCATTCACATTCCATGTTCCAATAAATATACTAATCTTTCTGTTTTTAGGATAATTAATAGTTGAATTCGACAGAATGTTATTCTTTGGTTTAGTATATCTACTGGGAAAAATAGGACCAATATGATGATAGATAGTTAAACTTAGTTATCTGAATAGTTGATGTTGATAAATTATAAACCTTAAAATAAAAAACCATGTACTTCCCATGAAAAATTAAAAATTCTGATGATTAACGTTAATACAGATTGAAATGGTATAACTTTTTCAATCCCAAGGGATATTTTGGCTAGGAACGTTATAAATTAATGTCGTTCAAGAAGATTGTTGTTAAGATTTGAAATTTTGATGAGCAACACAGGAGAATATTTGATTGATGTATATGGCAGTTTATTTCTGGCTTTGATCATGTTCATAACTATGAATTGAGGTTATCCAAACAACACAATCCATACTGTAGTTAAATGCTAGAAGAAATCAGAATAATCCTAAATAAGCATAAGATAGGTGTGTTAGGTCGCTGGAGGTTGTCAAAAGGAGACTCAACTTAGGTTTCATCCTATTTGGCCAGTATTAACAAAGTATACCTGTAAACATGAAAACTGTTCCCTAGGGGTTTCGAACTCACGTCGCCCACCTAGCTTCCACGTTTATGACATCACAACCTTCTGTTCGACTGAAATTTTTCAAATTAATTGGTCACTGATTAGTGGCTAATGTTGAATTTGTCTACTCCTTTGGTGTTGATGGAACTCCATTAGATTAGCTGAAGTGTGGCCACTAGTCTCAATAACTTGAAATAGCTTCTTTTGCTATAAAAAACGACAATCAAATATTTTATCAGCTCATTGACAATTATTATTGTTGCCAAATCGCTAGATAAAATTTCCTTTAGTGTTTTGTGAACATCACGTGAATGAAGTATGAAAATTTTCACTTACCATTTATTCCATGAATCATTTGTGAAACGTAGATCGGAAAAACTATGCGGTGAAGTCAAACCCTAAAAATAGACAAAGTAAAAGTTAAAGAATATAGTTTTAAAAAGTAATCTTATAATGGTTTTATTCAATATAATTCATGATAACTAATCGTTGAGACAGTTTTATAGGATAACTAAGCTGTACAATAGTATTTATAGACCATTTTGTTTTAACATTGAGTAGTTCATAGTAAAATAGACGAATGCTCTATAATTATCAAAGATAATCAAACTTATTCAACTACCGAATGTAAAACTCAGCGAAAATAAAGTGATGTTGTGTAGTTTAATGAATTAGTCAAATTGTTTCGAAAGGTCCAAATATTAAATATAATAAATTTATAGATTGAAGGGTGTAATTTCAAAGAAATTAAATTACTATAGACTACTCATTGTAAAATATAGTCTATAAATACTGTTACTAAGCTTCAGAAAATGATACTGTCGTGAAGATCATTTATCTCTCTGAAATCTTTTCAATCTTTTTTTAAAACTATATAGTAATGAAATACCATCAATGACAAACAGTTGAGTTTTCTCCTTGGTTCATCAGTCCTGTCAGTCTCTTGTTGAAACTTTTTCAACTGTACAATTAATTCTGATAGCAATTATATATATTGGTGGGAATTTAATTTGTGGGCAACCTTTGAACGAACCTTATGTGACCTTGAGAGACTTCAGTCAATCAGAAAACATTCCGTATAGAGTAAGAATATATTACACAAAACGAAAAACAAATTATTGGATGCACTTCTTTAACATAGTCCAAAAACGTTTCCAGGTTAGAAAGTGGTTCAGCAGTTCTGAAATGGTAATACATACTGTACAGGAACTCATTCATGTGACTCCACAACCTCTGAAGTTGTAATAAGGTTGCTAAATTCTTCTAGCCTCAACCACACTGCTTCTATACCGTTGGTGGGCTCTACAGAATGTCGCTTGTGAACGACAACTTAATGCAAATAACCGATTCTAGATAGGCATCTATACGCCCTCCAGTTGTCCGTGTATGTTGTGGTACCTGGCTACACATACTCCTGAGTAATTAATATCAGCTTTCCAACCTGTCGGTTTTTCATGTGCTGGAAATATTCCCTTTGCTATGATCATTCATATATATTAAATACCAGTAAAGTATCTTTAATGAACTTCTACCTACCCAGTCTGCTCAAACACATTTTTGTCTTGCGAATTGGCGCTTTTGAACGACTGCTTCATCGATTTCTATGATTTTCCGCATTCCTCCAAACGATTGTTTTAAAACCCATCATCTTTATTGTGCATAAATCTCTACAATGCTCATACTATTGAACTACTGAAGCTTCAGTAACATCTGAAAAGATTGCAGCGAATGTTACCGATTCTCTTATTATCTAGTTTACAACAATTAGCATAACCTGTCTTAGTGTCAGTCGCGATCGAGTGAAAAAAGTCCTCGCTGTAGCAAACTTCTTCCTCCAATATGTATTGCACCGTAATACAATGTCGTCAGGATATTCTGTATACTGTCCATCAGTCATTGGAAAAAAGAAATCACAAATAATGTGGCTTATCAGTAATTCCATCTGTTGTGGCCGCTCAAATATAACGTCCTTATTGAAACCCACTAAAAGCCGATAGTACATACGTATTGGGTACTGAAATAGGCACCATGATAATGAAACCACTTACTCCGTCTTGATTGGCTCGTCCATAAATTATAATCTCGTTTAAATATCACTGTAATATTCATGTAGTTAAGTAATGACACTATTCGCAACAATTATTAAATACGGACAGTCTGTCAACTGGTTATTAAAAAAGACCACATGGCGTAAACGTCAAGGCATAGGCGTTCAGAGATTTTTTATTGACACACTTTTTCTTTTTTACCTAAAGGTCTAATTTACGCACACAATTTGTATATTACCCATATGAAAAGATGAAAATTTTACCTAACTTCATAGTTATAGGTAAAGATGGATGGTGGCTAGTAGGGGAATACAGGACGCGTGTGTTCGTTCTATTTAGGACTCGTCAGCTGTATTTATCCGCATCCCAAAGTTGATGTTCACTCCGACACTCCTCCAGGGCTCAAACCCATTACCGTTCTCTCCAAGCGCCATTGAGTTATCCACTTAGCTTCCGAGTCCAAATAGTCACTAGCTTGCACAATCGGGTAAGGTTTTAATTCATTTTGTATTGTTTGTATGAATCTTCCCTTTGATGTTAAGGAATGCAATTGATTAGTCTCTTATTGACATATATGCATCGTGTGCGTATTACCTTGAGTTCACTGCTAGCCACCATCCAACTTTACCTATAATGCTTGTGAATTAAGATAATATTGAAGCAATCCACACACGACGCACATATGCCAATAAGAAACTGATCAATTGCAATTCTAAACATCAATAATAAACATCAGTGGTAATAATGCCTACAAGTATTGTAGATAATAAAATGCATTCAAATTATTTTTTCCATTAATATAAAATATCTTCAACTATAATTATCATTTCAAAAAAGGGATATGTACCACAGAAATTAAATAACAAACTTGAACCAGTCAAAAACTATTGGATATTTGTTTCGTACTAGACAAGTATGATGTATTTTTTAACTGTTATTCGAACACTTCTAGGTATTGAAGAAATTCTTTGCTCAACAATCAATCGATTATCACTAAAAGTATTAGTTCATTGTGGTTTGATGACAATAACAGTTAGTAAAATGTATAAAAGCTACATAGAAATCATAAGGACTTACAAAACTATCTTTTTTTCCAGATTTTGTAAGTTTTAATAAAGTAATGGCTATGATTGGAGAATTTGTAAGTTAGTCAAATTCTTAGTAGATTTTCGGTTTATAAATAGATAATTTGCTAGTCAGTAATCAAATAGTAGTTCGACTGGGTTAAAACTTCTATAATTTCATAAAAGATCATTTTCCCCGTTACGTCAACAATGAAATCATGATTCAACTCATATCGTACAAGATTATATTCACTCATCTAGTTAATTTACAAATTGGATATGTATTTTATTTACCTCACGTATCATGTACAGATTCTTGCACTGTGCTCCGAGCACTATTCTAAACATGAGGGTTAATGATACTACTCATTTACCCAAGCTAAAATAGGTGGGGCTAGTTTCAAACTTGAGAATTAGTGTCTTAAAATTAAACACCTTAACCATTTATCCACCTCACAGCCATAGATAATATTTTCAAAAGTCATTCACACACCAAATATAAGAGTTAATCTAAAATACTACCTGACAGAAATTTATTAAAGAAAACAATATAAATATGTTAATCTTACTATTTCTGCTAAACTGTCTGAGGAGTAATTCAAATTGTTTTGTGATACAGCTAATGAACTCTTTTTCATCGGTTTTGCAGGCTTTGATTCCAGTTTTTTTATTGACGGCGGGGATACAGAAGATTGACAACGACGTATTTTAACTAATCGTTTAGACACTTTTCTCTTTACTTTAGTATATTTGCTTTGAGCAGATAATTTAGAATTCTCTAAACTTGGACAACTATTTGTTTTAACACATGTAGATGCAGGTTTCAAATAATCATATCTGTTTTCATTGATACTACTTGAATCAGACACAAGTAAACTGCTAGAATCCTGTAAGTTTGGAGCCAATTCGAATGAATCTTTGTCTCTGGTTTGTTCATAGATAAAGCAGTGGATAATTGGAAAACAATTATATGCTAATATATATAAAATTAGTATAAGGGATTTGTGAAGATTGTTAAGTATCACAGTTTACATTGTGGACTAACATTAGTTGGACAACTATTGAAAACTGGGAATTATTTAAGAAGTGATGTTTTTTTCTGGTATGAGATTCCTCAATAATGAGTATCCACGAAGCCGCGGGGGCTATAATCCAGGAACTTCATGTTACACGGCGAGTCCCTGAATTGAAGAACAATGAATCGGAATCCATTAATGTATACGTCTAACTTCAGTCATTTGGAAAAATGGCACAACCATCTTCCGTAACATACATGTCTATCAAAATCTCTCGCAGCGGCTCAGGTGCATATATGCCTTGTATTCTCTGAGATTCATATTAAGCAACCTAGAAAGCTATGATATGAACTCCAAATATTTGACTGTTGTCAATCTCAGTGTACAGTGATAAAAAAGAATATAGAAAGTAGGTAGAAGAGCTTTTCTGAAATACAAGTATTGAGTATAAAAGACTTTGGAGCAAATCGTCTCGTGTCAAACCTGTAAGACACGGTTGCTTCAATCCAGGGAAATCCAACTGCACACATTAGTTAAGTAATATTGTCAACATAGTCGTCTGTTTCATTTTACACTCATAAACAAAAGTTGATTTAACATTCGGGTCAGTTTTCATCAGAGGCAACTGAAATAATATAAGCTTAAAATCGACCACTTTTACGTGGCACACTTCAACTGCTCTAATGTATTTCAAAATGCAGTAATCAGTAACTAAATTAAATTATTGGCAAAGCGCTAAACAATATTGAACTTTATTAACGGCAACAAAATGATTCGGTAATACAGCAGGTTGAAAACAGTCATTGTGAATTTGTCGACCTAAATATCATAGATGCTGAACTCATCTCACATATGCAAAACCAGAAAACTGACTATCGACCGTCTGATGATCAACTTCAAAATGGAAAATATCAATAAATGCTTATAAAACGTTGAAATCGCTCAGATAAGTACTCATATACGAATACGTGAATTTAATAAATATGTATGAATATGAACGAAAACGTTGATGAAACAATATTTAATTTCCTAAGGTAATCCTCAAAAACAAAATTGGATTCAAGACAAATGAACCTCTAATTCATTCCAAAAGCTTAATCAGTGATTTAAAAACGGAATATTTTATGTAAATTCTTTTATTACGTAATATAAATTATTCATTCACGGTTATTGCCTTCTAACTGTCTAAAAAGAATCAAACTTTTCTCAAGGTCATCCGGGAAGTTACATGAGTTCAAAGCTAAATCTTTAATATTTTTTTATAAGCTTGTAAATCTATGACTGTTATAGTGTATACTACTTATATCTGTTGACATAAGTAGAATGCGGTGCCAATCGGAAGTGTAAAACCTTGCAGCATAAGGTTAAATTGATCGAATAAAAGAGAATGGAATCAGATAATAATAGTTGATGGAAGATTTATAAATGAAGTATTGAATGTATGGTTTTACATTTGATGAAAAAACTTTGTAATTTTGTATAAAAATACAATCAGTTATTCTCCTACTTCTGTTTTCGTTCACAATACTTAATAAAACTATGTCTGAATTCAAAACATACATTCCTACATCATTTACCGCCTCCTATAAATAAAAAATTATAACTAACTAAATAAATATCAATCAATTGAATTAAACAAATTTTAAAGATAGAATTTTAGAAGCGTTAGATATTCGACATATATATATATATAACTCCGCCTGTAGTCCCTCCGGAGGCTACTGTCGGTTCCAAACCCGGATAAAGGAGTCGGGTCGGGTGTGGGGTTAATGACCCCATCTCGTAGAAAACTAACTCGCTAAAAAACCGCTAACCAGAAAAAACATTATATAAACAAAAATAGGAGCCTACTAAAAATAATAAATATTACTAAATAATACACTGATGTTTATAATGTAATAAAAGAGTATACACTTTTATTTAATTTACTTACAGATATTTATTTAACCAATTAAATTGTTGTTGTGAATTATTAGATAATGATATTATGTCATCATTTAAATAGAAATGTATTTGATTCTTTGACATAATTGTTAATTCTGGTACAGATAAACAATTTGATTGTTTTATAGAATATTGAATAAGCAATTCATAAAATTCTAATGTATCATCAATATTGAAAAATTCCAATAATAAACTTATAAATTGTGATGATCCATAAGTATTATTTATCTGATGAAATAAAATAATATTCAAGAATTCATTGAAATAGAACATGTGATATAAATAATTGAAGTAAGGAAAAACAAATACAATTAAAGTATATATAGAATTTAAAATAACTGTCAACCAATATCAAAGTCATAATCTTTAATATGAATGTCAAGATAGTGAGATCTACTGAACGGAGCAAAAACTTGGAGAACTACTACAATCATCATCAAGAAGGTACAAGTACTTACAATTAATTGTCTACGTAAGGTACTCAACATCTATTGGTCGGATACCATGAATAACAGCCTAATGTGGCAGAGAACAAATCGGCTTCCAACTGAAAAGGAAATTAGGACATGATGATGACGGAAATCATCAAACTAAATCACGGAGCAAGCACTAATTAGAAATCCTGAAGGGAAGCGGAAAAGAAGAAGACCTAGGAACACATTTCGTCGGAGACTGAAAGCAGATATGAAAAGGATGAATAAGAACTGGAAAGAGCTGGAAAGGATTGCTTGGGACAGCGTTGGATGGAGAGTGCTGGCGGACGACCTATGCACCTTCATGAGACGTAACAGGTGTAAGTAATGCAATTTGATGTAGACAAGGTAAACGCCTCAACTTATGTTATTAGTATAAGGAAAAGATAAATTAGGTAAGAGGATAATTTATGGATAAATCAATTAGTTTTAGGATAACAGGTATTGAATTTTGGCACGAAATTCATTCATCTATTTTGTTAAATAGCGTTTTCGGATTTTAGTTGGTATTAGTTAATAATGAAAAACTCAAGTCGAATTCTTAACCCTAACAATCAGCTATAAATCAGAATCCTTATTCTTCACACAGGTTTATAAACCTCATTTAGCCATAGTACGTAAATGGACATTCTCAAGGCCACTTTAACGTCTCTGAAATGTCATCCATAAATTATAGAGTCACCACATTACTTTTCAACATTGAAAATTTCAGCGATTTAGACAAAATTATTCTATCCAAATTTTTTTCGGATGATAACTGGATTTGTAGTATTTTCAAAGTTCAGTTCACGAGTCGAAACCACCATCCCGTACGTAGGATCGTCGATGTGCACTGTTGAGAAGTCCGATATTAGGACGAAACGGCCATCCTGCACTTCCAGGTTTTCATTGGTGGTCTAGCCTAGATCGACTCGTGAATTCAACTTTAAAAATAAATAAATAACCAAATTGAATTACTATAAATTTATATACTTGAGTGGAATAACTCAAACTTGTTAGTACAATTAAAACAAGTTTGATAGTACTAATGTTTTATTATTCAGGTCAAGCGTAAGACAATAAGTGTATTTGTTCGTGTTTTTATTAGTGAGTGTGAAAGAATGTGATATTTGGGATTAGAAGTAGAGCCAATTTGTTCACTTGTTACCGGTGTGATATTTAAACAGAATAAATATGGTTTTTCATATCAATTTGATGGATTTAAAAAATAGTATGTAATGTTAATGACGAAATAGGTTGTAGATCCTTGGATTTCATGGGATTATTAAGTCTTTTTATGTAGCTTTGATATTGCCTGGGAAGAGTAAAGATTACACTAGAAGACTTTCCTTAAATAGAACGCATCATATTTGACACAAGTTAACCTGTAAACACAATTCTCTATAAAAGTAATGGGAATCTTTTCTTTTTATTGACCTAATGCATTTTGAAGAATGATGACAGTTTTCAAGGATCAGTAAATTGTGAAAGTAATTCGACAATAGATCACATATTTTTACTAGAATAAAAGACTGATTGTAGGATAAATACCATCCAAATTTCATCTGATAGTAATCTAGTTTAATCGGAGTTCAGCTGATATTTCAATATACCATAAAAAAAGATACACTAAGCAATAAATAATTTCAATAGTTGATATGATGAATCAATTGAAGCTAGACCACCATGGAAAACCTCAGAAGCACTGGACTGCCATAACTGTTAAACTTGATAGACTTATCAATTTAGATTTAAATTATTATGTATCTATGTAATATCTAACAAAATTTTCAAGTATCAGTTTATTCTGATGAATTAGATTTTCTTTAGTAGGTGATAGAATTAAAAAGTACTTTTCTTATATTTTTTTTATTATAACAAAATAAGAACAGAAAGATATCACAATTCACAAGTTTCTTTCAGCTGATTAAAGTACAAACAGAAATGGGAACAGTTGTTTTTAAATTCTATAAATCTACTCAATAGTATAGGTATTTAAATATTATACAATTTCGGGTGATATATTGAAACTATGTTGAGAGAAAAATGTTTTTGTTCATACTTTATTTGAGCTAATAACTGAGAAATGCACGTTTAATGTATTCATTATATCTTGCATACATGATCTAGATCAAGTTTAACAGATATAAAATGTTTATATATATCACATACAGCGTGATGGTAAGACTATTACATAACCTTAGGTTTACAGAATAACAATTCTTAAATATGTGAAAGAGTACATTGATTAAATGTACAAACTATATTTCATCCACTAGAAGTAAATTCATTGACTAGTGAAAACGTAAAAGTATATTGAACTAGATGGCCAACATAACATATTCTGTAATGTCTCAACTTATTTTATCATATTTCATACACAGAATAAATGTTTCTCAAAAAGAATTTTCATATTTCTTGTTTATTACACTTATTAATTGTATCCATACATACCATGATTTCTTCTCATAAACTATCAATAAAATTAATACCGGTTGTATAATCACAATAAATGTTGCATGAAATCTGATATGTAGACACAAACGATTTTGTAATTTCATAGAAAAATCAATAAATTATTATTTCCTATATACACTCATACAGCTAATACAAACACTTTGAAACTATCCACCTTTCTTTTTCTGGAACGTTAACATCACAAATCAGTATAACTTAAAAATCTAATCGATATCCAATAATACCCGCTGATAATTGATTCATTCTATTTTCGAATTGTTAAACAATATTATATACACTTATTTTACAATTTTGCTTATTGATCATCCTGGAGCAGATATAAAACGGTAGTATAATTTTTCTCGTGAAGGGAGTACATCTTTATCAACTGAGGTGGTTGTAACATGTGTTGCATATAACCAATCACCAACTACCTCGATGTGCGATATTGTCTGATGTAGAAGTAGGTTGGAAGAAAGCTAGGGGCGGCTAAACCAAGACATAGCACCAGTCCACGAAATCATTGACAATTACATTGATCGATGTCAATATGTTTAGACTACCTGATTGAAGTCTGCGTGATTATCATAACTAGTAGTTAAAGACTTTGAATGATATAGCTCAAAATTGTTTGCAAAGGCAAATATGCCTCCATTCTCTGTCTTTCTATAAATCTTAAGCTTCTAAATTCATCGTAATCTCCTTTTATTTCATCTCACTAATTCATAATTTCTCGGATCATATCTCCAATACCATTATTACTGTTACTAACTTTACTACTCTAGGATTTACCCTAACTAATGTGTGGGTGAGAATGATAATGATTGATTGTCTGCTTAGTCAGACATGTAAATAGTCTGACAGGTGTCAGATGAGTTATATATTCCTCTATCCTTATTATTATTACTACTCACTTATTACTGATTGTTCATTGTTGTTGGATTGTGTCGGATTTTGGTGTGGAAATATATTTACGTTGTGGTCAGGCTAATCACGTGTTCTTGATCTGAATTATGTTGACGTCCTGTAGAATAGACACGGGTTGGGAATCTAGTATAGATATTCGTCTATACGTGCAAACGTGGAAATCCAATCGTTATAACATTAGTCGAAGTAAAAACCGAGCGTTATAACACTAACAGTTTCGGTTGTTTTTTTTTTTGATAAAACGATTTAAATTATTCTTTTGAAAATAAAGTTCACCTAACTGATAATAAATTGCCGAAAGATATTGTACAGGTTTTTTCTAAGAGAAAAAAAAAGGTTCTTCATAATAAAAAACTTACACGACATTGTGATTTCCCATTGTCTACTTTCATTGGATTATCATTAAAATGTTTTAATGAATCCATATGACCAATCAAAATAGATTCATTATCATAATTTATATTATTACTATTATGATTATGATTATTCTTTAATGATGCATTATGTTGACTTTTATTTATAGGATTCAAATTTTCATGTATTAATAAATTATTTTGATGATTATGATTGAATAACCATCGTCTACCAGTTACACAAATATGATCAGGTTCATCTAATCAAGTATAAAAACAAATAAATAAATACTATAAAGGGATACTGTATTTACTGATAAGATAAAATATTACATTTATTAAAATGAATATTGAATGAATTAAAACACTTAATTATAATAAGGAGTAGAATAGGATTAAAATGCAAGAGATCAGTTTCATCTTATATAGAATTTTATAGCTTTATCAACTTATATCCCACTGTTGATGTTCACATTGAGAGGTAAATATAGAAATTTACACTTCCAGTCACAACGCATTCATCACTGAGCTATTGAGTTCAAAATATCGGCAATTTGTTCAACAGGTATGTCATTTATAGAGTTAATACAAAGGGTATAATGATCACGTTATTAATTGAGATTTCCAAATAGGATAAAATACGCTTACTGGATTACATTGTTAGCCATAATTCGTCTCTCATAAAAATTTCATAATAAAATTCCCATAACCGGTGGAATCCTGATTGGATATGCATATTCTAAAAAGAATTGATCAAATTTCTGTCCAAATTCAGCAATGAGATAATGTTATGGTTAACATAACAAAGTGACCTGATTTAAATAGCCACTGGAAGCAGAGAAGCATTAAATGGTTATTTCTTCCTAATATATCAGTCTTCAACTGCGACCGTTGACAACCCTATAGAAGATAGAGCCCACGAGCCCCCGGTAAGATTGTAGATGGGCACTATTGAAGAGTCCCATAATAAAATAGCTGTTTAGTTCTTCCTGACTTTTTAACGGCTGTTTAATCATATACAGTTTGTAATGCTTACTATAAAATCCAAAAGTTTTCACAAACCTACTGTATAATAATGGTATAATTCAGACACTTATTAATGATAATAAGAGCAAAAATAATTGATTGCAGATTATCTAGTGCTCCATAGATCTGATATTGTTCCGTTGTACTATTTAAACTTGGATTAATTTTAATTTGGTTATTTATTCTCTGAAGAAGTGACTTACACTAAGCCACGAAACGTCAGAAAATCCAATTTTCTACTCATTGGGATATTACAAATATATATTTTTATTTACAACAATCAACCCAATGCTCAATTTCTTCGAAATTATCAAATCAAACCTTGGTAATGACACCTATTAACTAATTAGGTTTTCTATTCCTTCCAATCTTGATTTCTCCATACACAGTTTTTGTGTTATTAATCTATTTGATCGTTATTCTATTTTTTTAAAAAGAACTTAACTAGGTAACATAGACAACTTGTAGAATTAATTCTTATCAATATTTACAGCAACTAAACCTTGACGTTCAACTATCTTAAATATTTACTCCCCCCCCCAAAAAAAAAGCCTAGAAACTATAACTATACCAGTTACTAATCATAAATATCTAATCAGTTCATGAACTTTCATATTAAGCTTTTCTTTTATGACTGATTGTTGTGGATGCGGAGGAATAGACCAATAATTATCATGTTAAGTCCAATGGTGTCCTTGGACTTTAAATGGACATTTCCTATTGGTCGATATCTGTTCACTTGTTGAATATTGTACAAAATGTTGTTTTCTATTTTATGGTACGATGTGGTATGCTTGATTGGTATATAAACAAAGTATGTTTGAAATATAATGATTCATATCTCAGAGGTTGTGACTTGTGTTCTGGACTCAACTGACTGGGCTAGACAGGGAAGTGGGACCAATCGAGACTTTAAGCCGTCTGTACGTGTTTACGTGTCGTTGGATCGATCGATAAGTACGCTGCTCTCTAATTTTCCAGTCAAGGACACAACAATTAGCAAAGGGTAAAAATCGACCGCAACTTAAATTCATAACACTGATATTATCATGAAAGCTAGTTTTTTTTAAAGAAAGATCTATAATACTAATATATTTTGTTCAATTAACTAAATACAATTAAGTATTATAAAAATAAACGAATAATTATTGATTGTCAATTCTTGAATAATATCCAAGTAGTGTATATGTTTCCTTCTTCATTTTTATTCACAATTAAATATTAAATCAATGATTAAGTTGAAAGTGCTGTGTTTTCAATGTAACCAAAAAGGAATAATGGAATCGATTGATAAAAAGACTAAGTTTCATCTTTATAAATTTAATTAATTTAATTAATGAAACCAAATTCTTAAAACAAACCACATTAACAAAAACATTTAAGTAACTTTATAATATCTATCTTATATTAAATTACATATTATTCTGAATACTTCAATAAACAAAACATATAGAACTAAATAATGATTGAGAAGATTTGTAACTTAGGTAGATGATTTTACAAATGTTCAATTTTCTTAGGTAGAACGATTTAAATACTGATCTTTTTTTATTGTCACTTTAAACAACTTTCTCAGATCAGCTTGACAATAAAAGTTCAACAATTAAACCATCTAGTTCAGTGCGCTGACCAACATCAAGAACTTAATAATTTTATAACATGATATTTTGTGAATATAGAGAACAAGAACGAAGATTGGTGCAGAATAATATGAATTCATTTTATTTCGTTGGGTTATCATCAGCTGCTTACAACCTAAAATATTTAAAATTCAACATTATTACAGATATTGACATATTTATACATAAGAGTGTGATGAAGGATCATTACATGTGTATGATGATGTAGCGAAGATTCAGATAGTTAATGAGGTCATAGAAAATTTGTTTCGGACCAATAAAGTTTGGAAGGGAAAAACGTCTAAAAACCAGATCTATGTTTACAAAAGAAAGAGACAGTAATAAATATTTTTTTGCTCTGTTAACATTAAACCCCCTTTTTATTTATTACGACATTCATTCCTTCAACTCTTTCAGAAACTTAAATTACGTCGCTGTCATTTCCTTTAATTCAGAACTGACTGATTTCAATTCAAATCTTTCTTTATTGCCATTATTCTATTTTTAATTGCTTCATTATACAATCATTTATTGCTTGTTAACTCCATGAATTCTAATAATTATTTGAAAGATTAAGAAGTTTCCCTTCCAAACTTTATTGGTCCGAAACAAATTTTCTATGACCTCATTAACTCTATCGGAATCATCACTATGTCATGATACACATATTCATCCTTTATCACTCACGTATGTATAAGTATGTCAATATCTGTAATGTCGTTGATTTTCAAATATTATAGGTTGTAAGCAGCTGGTGATAATCTAACGAAATAAAATGAATCCATATTATTCAGCATCAATCTTCGTTCTTGCTCTCTTTAATATAATAAAGGGAACTATGTGCATGAAACTTTGTGAATAGTTAATACAAAGGAGAAATCAGATAAACTGACATAGTCTTAGCCATTTACAACATTGTAAATGTAAGCTTACAGATTTTAAATAAGGACTATTTAGTTTTCAGTTAAGGGTTGTGAACAGTGTTAAATTTGATTGAAATCATGAACCGATCGATGTTAAACTATCATTGAAAACTTGAAAGCACTGGACGGCCGTTTCGTCCCAATATGATTCAAACCCAGGACCTTCGATCTCGCGCGCGAATGCTTAACATCTAGACCAGTGAGCCAACATCCGACGGTTTTAATGTCCAACTTCAACAGATGCTTCTAAGTTTTCGATGGTACTCTAACACTGGTTGGTTCATAATTTTGATAATTCTATTTAATTATTTATTCAATCCCGAAAACCTTTCAACAATATATGTACAACTAGATTAAATCCACCTTTCTGTTAAATCTTTAATATACTACTTATTGTCGATTCGTTGTTTACAAACGTTTTCATTGTTAATTCATATACTACCTATTGGAATTTTACTCTCTGCTATTTCATGAAATAAACGTATTATAATTCAAAATGTTAATTACTTTAAGGTACAATGTCATATGGTACCGGTATTTCTCAAGTTCTGATCAACAGTCAAAGAGATTTCCAGAGTTTAAAGTGAATAATAGAGTTCAAAATCTAAACAGAAATCATTCTCTGATCGGTTTGGGTCTGTCGTAATCGATCACTGAAATTAATCCAAAATTTTAATCAATTTACATTCTATTATAAATGCTTAAAAGCCTACACTCAAATGTTTCGTAGTCTATATAGCACAGTAAACTTGGATAGACAGTCATTAAACACCAGAAAGCACTGTATAGCTGTTTTATCCTAATATTGGATTCAGTAGTGTACATCTCACCAGAAATCGAACCAAACTTTCTCTAAACTACTTGAAAACTAGCAAACATAGAATGTCAAGTTAGTTGACTGTTAGCTAAACGTTATTCATGTCCAAAATCAGAAGTCTAACTCGATTAGTCATTAGTTATTCCGAGTTTCTTTAAACATAAGAATGTGACGAATCCTATATTTCTTTATGCAATAATAAAATTAAGTGTCTTCAGTACATTAGGATACTTCACCATGTACTTAGATCTTTAATTTTAAGAAATTATTCCAGATCGAAAAACCATATTACTGAAGCAAAGATTTGGCCAGTAAATACATCAAACTTTATTGTCCCCCATAATAAATCTGTCCAATAATATATAATCTATCAACAATTCTCTCAATCTCGGTGTGGTGTCACAATATATCAATTGTTTAATATACAAGTGACTGATTTTTTATTACATGAACATAATGTTTATTACAAGTTGTCATTAGTCGGCAGACTACTTAGAATTTAAAAGAAACAATATAGATGTTGCATCCTAATTCGGAGATTTTTAATTAGTGCACAATCATGACGCAATATAGCACGAAACTCTGAAGATTTCATTATATTCATATCTGTGTTAAATGTACTTTTCAAACCCTAGTATTTATCAATACTATTGAAATGTTACAATTAGACTTCTTTATTCATTTTAAATAATCCACTTTAAAGGAGATATTTTTCATGGGACGTATGACAACATTAAATCAATCGGGAATTTTTAGATTTTGATAGATAATCTTGCATTCCTAAATTATAAAATGGAGTATAAATAACGTTAGTTGGTATACATATTTATTATAGCAGCTAGCACTGTTAGATACCTACACGATTTATCTTGATTTTTGGACAGGTGATTTATTCTAATGTTCTCAGTCATTTTGTCATTCTCATGTGTAACCTTCAGTATGTTTGTATTATTACGCGATGTGACGATATTCTAAGATCATTCATGCCTTTGAATATTGAGTTGCATTTTAATTGAGTTGGCGATTCGACCTTCTCCATCTCTCATCTTAGCGTCTTGCTGAGTATGTGAGTATACGAAATAAAGCCGTCCAGCTTAATTCACATTTGACGTTTTATCACCCCCGTCACCCGAACAAGGTTAGCCTAAGTAGAACGTACGTATGCATAACATATATATATATACGTGTATTTATTCAGAAAATTAATCCAGAAATTTTAACCACAGTCAGTTATTCCAGATTGACGCATTAGAACTAGTGATTTCGACTATTTGTTTCAAAAATACTACAAAAAGCAGTTATAATGTTAACGTTAATTAATAATAACTTATAAGTAACTTACCTACCTCACAACTGAATTCATCGTTCAACAGAATTATATCACGTAATATCAGACCTGTTTGATTCAAGTCTGAATTTTGTGATCGAATGAATATGAAAATGCTGAAAACAATAAACGTATAATCAATAAAATGTGCATGTAAGTTGTTACAGAAACTAACAGAAAATTATCTAACACAAAGTAAAGTAAGTTTATATAAATAAGATCCGTTTCTCTTTCAAAACTACAAATTTCAAACTTCAAAACGTGGGTAACAGCTAACTATTTCGCTAACAGGTCTGTGCAACAATTAAACGAATTCTTTGATCAAGCCTAAGTCTGTGTCATTGTCTGCAAGTCATCGAGTCAATAATTAACACTCATTAGCCATGTTGTAAAACGGAGTAAATAAAGAAGTGATCTAAGCGGAAGGGATGTTCTTGAAACAAAATTGTTTGACTGGCTGATGTTTACTGGCTTACGATAACAGCTGGCCGCGCAATTAAAGTTTCCTGGATGTGATCACGGGGAAATTTGTGGATACTTACTTTGATAAAATATTTATTCAGTCTTCTAGACTATGGCATTTTTGAGAATGGTATTATACCATATGTCCAATTATAACTATTTTGAACTCTCGAACTTAGTTGTATGCAGATAACAGTTATATAAATGGACATATGATCATTCAAATATTCAGATCATGAGTATCAACAAACAACCTGGACGAATTTCAAAACGCAGTGTGAAATCGGTGTTGTTAAAACCTTAACTACAACCAAAATGAATTTACTTTTCTTTCCTATTGTACTGATTTGTAGTATCATATAAAATATTTCTTTATATTACCACAATAGATAAACCTATTTTGACTTATTAAAACCTATTAAACTTTACACCATTCCACATTAGCTTTGCTTTGCGTTGAACCATTGTGTTGCACGTAGTAGATGTGAAGCTTTAACAATAGGTGAAAAATCACAGTAAGAGGAATATAAAGTAACAATTTAATATAAAGATATAAATGACGTATATGCAAGAAAAAGTAACTCTGAAAATCAAGACGATAGAATCAATCATACTTTTAAAAACAATTTATTTCCTAAGTTTTAATTGGCGATTCTGGTTTTTGGAACATGATTATATCTGTAGAGGAATAATATGTTGGTGAAATACTATAAGGCCAAATTAATCTATCATTTGCGTAGTAAGGCTGAGAACAGTCTCATCAAGACGGATTCCTCTAAGTATCTATGTTTAAAGTATTTAGTCAAAATAAAATAAGATATTACATCAGGTTCATCTTGGTCTGAAATAGAAATTATGAAAAAAGTGCACAAAGAGATTCTTTTAAAAGTCACTTTGAGAGGAGTTATTGTCTGGACATATTCAGACATACGCGCTTTGTTTAGAAGGTTGATTTTGAATAACGGATGCAATAAAATTCAGATGTCTTCCGTACTCGTTAATATAGACAGGGAACGCCTAAAAAGAAAGCAACATAAAAAATAAAATATGGATATTTGTCAAACCAAATGAATAAATCTTACAGTATTGGTCAAGTTTTAATGCATTTATTGTTCGCTTATAAATTCTGTCATTCGTTATGCAGATTTTGTAAAAATGTTTACTCGGACGCTATTGAGGATTTGTAGACGATTTATCAGTACGATCAGTGTCCCTGTTGATTTATTAAGCTTCTTTAAAGTTAATACCACTGTCGAAAGAAACATTCATGAAATTCAAGTGTTGTAACATGAAACTTTTCGGTTGCCAACTAGATTTCATGCTACCACGATCTCTATAATGACTACGTCTACAAACCAACATGTCAATTGTCATACTGATAGAGAGGTGGGAGCTTGTACATCTTCTGATGGCTGAAACTTTTATGATGGAATTACAGACGAGTAAAAATCGACTACTTTATAGGGTTGTTACATATTTCGAACAGTTTTCGACTATTAATCACAGTCTTCCGAGCACTAGATTTGATTCATTAAAACAACGTTCATCCCATTTATTACCAACGGTGAATGATAATCATTATCTCCGATTATTCATTTTTAAAGGCTACTGAGTTTTCGGAATGAATACTAGAAAAACAATAATGGAGGGATAAACTGTATAAGCAATAAAAATTTCGTTGCTAACTAAACTATCATCAGCATCACTTATTTTGAAGTGACATGATGTCAATTAAACCGGTCAAAGATACAGAACTCCACTTTTTCAATCAGTTAGCTATAAACTAAATGTGAAAGAATATGTACAATGCTAACTTTTAATGCACCTCTCACACATACCTTCAGAAACCATTAAACTACAACTCAAACTGATTTAAACTTGTAAAACCATATCTGTAGCATCAAAACTATTCCAGTTCTCCTGCAAGTGTTCAACGTAAAAACATTATACGTCAAAACTATGCAGATACGCGTAAATCTCCACGCTAGATATATCAGATATGTAATTAAAATATAAGAGGTGTGAAGTCAAACTTTTGTCATCCGTCTAAGTGGCTGATTAGTGGTTTAATAGATGGCAGAAATATTTATATCTACAAACAATCAGTTTCCAAAAGCTAGTTAAGTTGCAGAATGAATATCACTGTTTCACTTAAGTATGAAATTATTATTATTTCATAATGATCAAAATTATTAGCAAAACGTAATCCAATAGGTCTTGATGAATTAGAGACAAAATTCTCTGTAGATTAGGCAAACAGGGCAACAAGCAACTGTAACTCCAACAAACTTCCGTTAAAAAATGGCTAAAAGAAATATTTTTAGAATAACTACGATATTCGACATGTCACTTGGTCAACGTGAGTTATCTATGGCTGGAAGAATGTAGTTGTCACTTTAATACATAAAACAGGATTGACACAACTTTCATCCAACTACAAACCTGTCGGCCTCATCAGTGTCGTAGACAAAATGCTGGAAATAATAATCAAAAGATTATAATGTCATTCGTGAAACCCAACGACTTGCTAAACAGCGAACAACATGGTCCCAGAAAAAGTTATTTTGCACAACAAATTTCCTCGTAGCAAGAAAGAAATAGATTAAAGCTCTGGATAATGGATAAACACTGGATTTTGTCTATAAAAACTTCAGAGAAGCATTTGATAAGGTGCCAAATTTAGATTACTCTTGAAGATGGAAAATCTAGGCATCATCCTACCTCTCCTAATATAGCTTAGGGATTTCTTGGCAGGTTGTAGAGAGAAAGTAAAAACAAATTACAAGCGCTCCACTTGAAAACAAGTACGTAGTGGAGAACCACAACGCTCTGTCTTAGGTTATTTACTTTGTATATTGTATATAAATGAACTCTCAAGTAGAATTGATTCCCAGCTGCTACTATGCGTTGATGACGTGAAAAATCTGGAGCGAAATAACAGGAGACACAGATGCCTGTACACTTCAGGCGGACTTAGAAATTCTGATTAGCGAATCTGAAAAATTGGCTGATGCACATCAGCACGGCCAGGTGTGTATGCATGTAATTTTGGGATACAATGGTAAATAAGTACAGTATAGACGAAGTACCTGGGGCGAAAGTGGCTCATGATATTATGGCCACGGCCTACTGATATGAGATCACCGATAAGGGGTTTAAAACCCTGTGGGCATTTACCAAGTTAGGTACTATCATGTTCATTACAGTACACACAACCTTAGTGGGAACTAAACTTGAAAACTGCGTCCAGAATACAGACCTCTTCACTCTGTCCTACCTCAGATTAAGAGGTGACATGACGATGATGTATGAAATATCAAGAAATATTTGTGAGTCTGATATATCCTCTCTTCTTCTACCTTATAAGTCTGACCAACTCAGGGCACATCGCAGGTGAGTAGAAAAGCCAAGAGCGAACAAAATACCAGTGGCATACATGTTTTCGCACTGAGTTATCAATTCTTGGGACCTGTTACCAGAAGCAGCGGTGTCCGCACCCACACGTGACTCATCCACTAGACACTAACAGAAACATACTATAAAAAGAAAAACATAGGCTTTCTGTAAATGTGACTATGAAATCAACTTACAGACAGGTGAGCTTTTAGATAAACAGAGTTCGTTCTTATGACTAAAGATAATATGACTGACTAAGGATAAGCATTGTCTCCAATTTTCGATTCAAAAAATCGGATGCATGATTACTCTGTATAAAAACTGAGCAAATATCGAAGAATCTTGTTTTGCAGGAACTGAGAAACATTTTCACCCAATACTAATGAATGAATGATGAAAACTATGGTTTTACACATGCATGTATTCACCTGATCGACTGCTTTCAAGATGCAGCAGTAGAAAACATCCATCTTATATGTCAATGAGATTTTAACCGAATCGTTATCACGAAAATTCATGACAATAAAAGTAAGTACATGTACTCACTCATTATTGAATTAAAATGTCTGATATAAAAAAACCAATAAATTTTCAAAATAACTCACGACGTTGCACAAGTCTTCTGATTCTTCCAGTTTGAAATTCTTTAGAGATAACTTATCACTGATAAGTTGATGACTCCTCTCTGACTTATTGTGATTAGAAAACGGTTCATGTGCACTTAATGAATGCAGATTCAAATACTTTTGTACAGTGCATGATAAGGTACTTCCAAAAGCCATGAGGTTCACTTAAAGATGAATCCCAATATTGTACACGTTAAGTTGTTACTCTATTAAATTTCCTCAACATGTTCAATATCCAATATCTCGATAAACGTGTATAAACTGATAGATTCATTTTCTCACGCTTCTCTTTGTCAAGTTGTGGTTCTAAATCGTCGATAATAAGCTTGTATCTCTAATAGTGTACATTTAAATTGAAGGTACTCTATGTGCAGGTATAGTACTCAGGCCAGTGTTTCTTAGGAATTCAGAGAAACAGACGCACCAGTGAGAGACAGAACGTATTTCGAATGCTTCAAATAGAAGTCAAAAGCAGCAAAGAATGAGGGCAGAATGGCAGTGGCGAATATAAGTGAGATTGCAAATGCATTACAATAATAACTAATTTACCATTTGCATATGTATTGATGTGAAAAGTCAGTTCTACGTCCTTTTTGTTTAATACAGACAGTTTGACTTTTCAGTTGCATTAGTGATAGTAATTTTAGAGGCTCTTGGAAACTAGAGTATTTATAGGGTATTTGATTCATTTAGGCGATTTAATCCAGGGGCAGTCGCTCCACCCGCTATCATCCTAATGTTGCATCCAATGGCTAGATCGCCTTCTTTTTTTTGATGAACTAGTCAGGTTGGTTAAGCTGACTCAATGCAACATTTTTTTGTTACATCTTTTTACTTCTGGGTAATGGAATGATACTGCCTAAACTTTTCAGAGGTCGAGTTTCAAATTTAATTTTACGTTTACCTTTCTATTATCATCACGTCCATTTTCAACTCCTTGAAATTATCTAAAGTTAAATGACTTTTAGCATTTTTATTTTATTTGTAAAGACTTTCTGGGACTAGACAATGAGTTTAAGAAACGAACGGGGAAAACATAACGACCCCAAAAGATGTCTCTGCAACTCTATAAGCTTGACTGCCGATTTACGCAACGTTTAAGATCCAAAACATGTGTCTATGCGCATCTATGAGCCTCATGTCACTTGTGTGAAAGAACTAGTGCTTTTTGTTAGGTGGATGGTCATTTGTAGGTCGCATTATGAACTATCGTGTAAACCGTTAGGAAATATAACGTTTCTAATAATCTTAAATATCGTCTGACACCGTCGGTTAGAAAAATGATGAAATTTTGTTAGTTTAAAATCCTAAAATTTCATTCAACTATGATTTTTAGCCTTCTATTTAGCTACAGACTTAGAGGCGTCACTAGAGGTCGCCAGTGAACAATCATTTGAGTGTAATTCGTCATTATACATCAGAGTCATTGACTATGAGAAGACGTTTGACAATATGGATAGAAGAATTTTATGGGACCTTCTTCGACACAATACCGTACCTCAGAGATCGTCACCATAATACAGTATTTCTACGACGGAATACATTGCAAAGTCATACAAAAAGAACAGCAGACAGACGCATTCCAATCACAATCGATGGAGGATCTATGGAAGAGGCGGAAAATACCACGTACTTGAGCAGGATCTCAATGAACAGGGAGGATTTGTTGTGGGTGTAAAGGCAAGGACTGGCATGGCATAGACAGCACTCCTACAGTTGAAGAACAAATGCAGTTCAAAACGATTGTCATTCAACATAGAAGCCAGAATCATCAGTACGAATGTTAAGACAGTTCTGTTGCACGGAGGCAAAACTTGGATCATTAATACAACCATAATCAAAAAGATAGAAGTATTTACAAACTGCTGTTTACGTAAGGTATTCAATGTCCATTGGTCGAATAACTTCACCAACAACCTACGGTTGCTTTGGGCTGAAGGTAAATTAGGAAAATACGTTGGCAATGGATAAGACCTACATTCAGTAATTTATCAATCTGCATCTCGAAGCAAGCCGTAACTTGTTGACGTATAGTCTATTGTGACAAACTCTACTATGTTACAACATTCAAACTCTGACCCTGAAACACACCTGATCCTCTGCATCGATGTATTTCAAAAAGTTGTAGGGGAAGTACTGCAACAACGAGTAAGTGAAATAACACCTATAGCATTTTTCTCTCAACGTCCGTTACCAGCCCAAGAACATTATAGCACCTTCGGACGTGAGTTGCTATCCATTGATATGGCGGTAAAACATTTCACTTCCCAATTACACAGACGATAATTTACGATAATGACCGACCACAATGTCTTATGTTTTCCTTCAACATGTCATATGATTGACAGTCACCACGTGAAGCGCAAAAATGTAATTACATTTCACAAATTATGCTCTACGAGAAAAGATATCAATACGCTAGTACGAAAACAATATGTAAACCTCGAAACTATCGCCAAATTACAAGTACACGATGTAGACCTAAAACTCAAAAGTTCAACTCGGTTCTTAAATTTATACAAATACCTCATTCCGATTTATCAGTTAGCAGTGATATTTCAAACAGTAACAATTGTCATTTTGTCTTTAAAACTCGCCGACGATGGGTCTTTCAACAATTACACGAACTTTCACATCCTAGGACCTGAGCCACAGGAAAACCCATCGCAGGACGTTTTGTCTGGCTAAAAATCAAAGCGGGTGTGAAGAGGTGGACACGAAACCATATGAATTGTCACTGTAGCATAGTCCCACTACACACATTCAGCTTCTTTAGGGAGTTTCCACTACCTGATAGACGCTTCCAAAACGTACATCTAAATATTGTTAGTCATCTTCCAACATAGAACTCTTCATATGTATTCTTATTGCTATGGTTAGGTTTACCAAATGAGCGATATCACTTCTTATCAAAGACACGTCAGAAGAAGTTGCATTAGTATTTCCCGACCATTGGATATCAAACTACGGAACCCCACCAATTATTACCAAAGACCACGGTCCTCAGTCCGTCCTATTTTAAGTTTGCCGAACTTTTGGGATTCAACCACACTAGGACAACAGCCTACCTTCCAACAGCGAATGGCTTGGTTGAGATTTCACGGTCAAACGAAAGGCCCGCCATGAGCCCTTCGCGAGTGGTGTGTCAGGACCCCGCACACGGACAGTCACCGCCTTCGGTTTCGTGAGCAAACGACTAAACTCTAGACCACTGAGTCAGCGACCGACGGCTTTATTGTCTAACTCCAATTTATCCACGAAATTCAATGGACATATTCCACTGTTTTCAGTGGATGATTGCCATATAGTCAATACAGCTCAATTTCACTGGCCACATCTCACTAGAACTCTGAAAATTCTGTATCAAAGATAATCACTGGGAACATGATTATTTTCAATACGGGCTGTGGAGCTTGTTTAAATTCATTGAAATGTAATTCATGTCATAAACACATGAATAGCCCTTATCTCCTCTTGATAAGCAGAGAACTTTACAAAGTCATCCCTACGAAGGTTTATTGTCATAACGTTAGGTGAAAAAAATGCAAGAGTCGGGATCCTAAGTGTTTGGAAAGTGGATCACCTATGAAACTGCTTCCCATCAATTACGTATTAATCTCAGTTGTATATTTCATTTTAAAACATTTGCTGACTTAAGTAAATCAAATTTATTTCCGTCAATAGCCATCACTTGGTCACACATAATATTGCGTATCATCTACCAACTAGTATTCTGTTCCTTAATTTTACCAATAGACAATTTGTCTAATTCATCAATAAGATATTCTTCTATGACAATAATTCAATAAAAGTGAATCACAAAGCTTTCCCGTTTTACCACGTCAATCTCATATCTAGAAAAATATTTCCATCACTTCGATGTTGTTCTTACTTAATATGACTATATGCAGAAAACAAGGATCACTATCGTATAAACAAGAGGACAATAATAATGAATGACGGAACTAGGATTTAACAAGAAAAATAAATCAGCGAAAATAATAAACAGGCAGTATACATACACAACAGAAGAAACACTCTATGCAAGGCATGAGAATTTTGACTCTCCTTACTTTCTCTATTACATGCACACATCCTCTTTCGTAAATTATGGAATGTCAGTTCATTTAGATATCAGTTGAGATTGACAAGAAATAGAAATGAGATTACAAATAATCCTCTTTTCATCATGAGATTATTATTTATCAGTAATACTATTATTACTAACGTGAAAGAATATTATCATACAGTATTGTCTATTATTATGTAATAACTAATATGATAATATAATTCATGAGAAAATATCAGCAGTTTGGTACGGCTTCCCTGTATTATTCCATTTTTTTATAGAAAAACACGGTTCAGGTGTACACACAGGGAAAACGCTGAGAATTGTGAAATGGAATTTCGAGGAATGGTTAGTAATATTTATTCAGAAAGACTATAGTAATGTAAAAAGGGAACAAAATAAATTGAAATACGAAAGAAGGCAAAACTCAGATTGGACAAAGAATAAAATAGATGAGACTACAGAAAAGCAAAAAATAAATTTTATCATCGACAAAACACAAAGGTTATGTTTTAGAAAAAGTAAAAATATTATTATCATGAACTAGTGTTGACATGTTGACATTAGTGAAGGATTAGAAATGAAATAATTTTGACGGAGAAAAATGCTAATGAAAGCGGCTCGCTTAAGCTGTTTCATTGCAACAGCACCTTTCTGAGCTGTTGTTGTGTTCGACGATTCAAGAAAGAATATCTCACCAAAACATGGAGCTGTGAAAAAATAGAAAGAAAACAAGGTCAATAAATGGAACGAGTTAAACAGCAAAAAGAAGAAAGTCAATCACTAGGTTATCAAAGAGCAAATTTCTCGAAAAAACTCAATAACAGAACACAAGTAACTGACTTGCCAGGTAAAAATTCTAACCACGCTACAAATGTGAGGGATAGAGACGTGTTTGACTGATAAATTGAAAAGGATTGATCGGAATTCTAACCCGTAAACTAACAGCCCAAAGTCGAACGCTTTCACCGCTGAGACATCGCTTCATACCGTTGATGTAGTAATTTTGATGTTTGTGAGTTTATATATTAGACGTTAGTAACGTTTGTGAAGAACAATAGAAAAAACTTGAGACGTCACTACTATTATCATATACCATCAACAGGTAGTAGCTAGATCCCAAAATTACTGGTGATAAAAGACGATACTGGTAACAGGTGAAGAGAGATATTAGAAGTCACAAGACCAAGAATACGTATATTCATATACAATGAGTTGAAATAAAATGTGATGGAGAACAAGCAATCTTTAAATTGATTTATCTGTATAAAACTAAACTTAAATAAAACTCGGACAATTAATAAAGGTTTGGTGCTAATGCGGTATGGCAAATTGGACTGATGCATATATATGGATGGTCCTACGTTGTAGCTAACTGACCGACTGAATAAAGGTTCGATTTCAAAAGATTCAAGATTTAATCACTACACGTTTTAGGCATATTATGATATCGTTTAAAAATCCCCGTCATATTAAAAGACTAATATTTGAACGAAGAATATTCTTTTCGATAAATTCTCTTCAGGTTCTACAATTATATATCCAAATTAATAATCCGAAAAATGGCCAAATTAAGGGTAAAGTACATCGTTTAGAGCATGTGAATTTAGGATTGTGATAAACAAAATACAATAAAATTGTTAATGTTAATATGACTCATATAAAATGTTAACTTGAATCTGCGTATATGTTAAATGAAATTTTAAGATCCATGATCAGAATAAATATGGGTCAAATAGGGTGAGAGAGAAATAATAGTGCAATTACAATTCGATCAAATAAGTAAGACGTAATACAGAGGGATGAATGCAAAGTGAATGAATCATGTAAAGGGGAGATTAATGATATTTAACCAATAGTACGAATAATAATAATAATAATAATAATAATAATAATAATAATAATAATAACAATAACAATAATAATAATAATAATAATAATAATACAAAGATTTATGAATAAAGATAACAGGGACAATTACAATTGACTACGAAAGGTCATAGTCAAATTGGGTCATTCAATAGTTAAGATTACGATTGATTAATTGGCCTTGGTGTTGGCCAGGGGAGGAGGAGTGGCTGAACATATTTCTTCTGTACGCATAGCTCCGGTTTCTTCATTCGGATGGCTACTGCTTCAGCCGTTTGAAGGACTTTCAGTCTGACCAGTTTTGGCAAAAAATTACTGACCTTATAAATAATAGAAAAAGATTGGTTTATACTGGCACTATGACCGGTTTGTACTAAATGGGCCAATATTGAGCTGTTCACCTTCTTCATCAAACCTTTGTTCAACCACGCCGGAAGGTGTTCACGAGCACGAAAATGTAAATTCCTAGAACTTCGACCAATATAACTCGCTCCACAGGAGCAGTTGAACTGATAAATACAAAATGAGGTGGTCATTCTAGGTAATTCATCTTTTAGCTTCGTTGTAACCATTGGGCGCGTAGAAAATACTAATTGCAGTTCTCCGGCGTTAAAAGACTTTTGTATTGTCCTACGTAGTCTCTGAGTTAGTATTTCGCTAGCCGCATCCCCTCTGAATTGTAGACGCATGAACAGGGATTTCTTCTTCACTGTTTGTATTTCGCCTACTTTCGCCTTCGTGACCATATATTTAATTATAAACTTTCTAGGGTAGCCGTTCTCCCTGAGAGTATTATGCAAGGTGGTAAGCTCTTGTTCGACTATATCAGCAGAACATATAGTGCGAATACGGTAGCTAAGGTTTTTGATCAAATTTCGTTTGTACTGTAGAGGTACAAAGCTCAGGAAATTCGTATACTGCCCAGTCCAAGTACTTTTTCTGTTTATATTCCTTTTTAACGATCCATCCGCTCTCTTAGTCAAGAGAACGTCCAAAAAGGCTATTCGGCCATCACTCTCTTCTTCAGATGTAAACTGAATGGCTGGATGTACTTCATTAAATCGTCTAAGAACCTCTTGGGGCGATGTATTATCTTTACAGAGGATGAACGTGTCATCCACGTATCTACAGTAAAATGTGAAGTTGTCAATAATCTTTTTTAGTGGACCATTTTCTAGTTTGGCTAGAAAAATATCAGCTAGTATAGGGCCCAGTGGTGAACCCATTGCAACACCATCAGTTTGTCTATATATTTCCCCGTTGAACTTGAAATTTACATTCATGGTGCATTTGAGTAATAACTCTTTCACGACGCTAATAGGGACAGTAGTTTCAATTTCATTTTCTATCAGCTGTTCACCTATATATTCTACAGTCTCTATGAGTGGGACGTTTGTGAATAACGATGTTACATCCAATGACATCATCTTCAGTCCCAACGTATTTGCGTTTTTGATTTTATCAACAAATTGGAAAACATCCTTAACACTATATTTTACAAGCTTTTCATGTAGAGGTTTCAATACAGTTACCAGCCATTTAGCTATAGTATGGTAAGGAGAGTTATACATATCTAAAATAGGTCTTAATGGGACCCCCGTTTTGTGCACCTTTGGTAATCCATACAATCTCGGGAGATGGGTTCCCACTGGTTTAATCATTTCATATAAACCCGATGGGATAGCCTGTTGGTCCCTGAGCTTCTTCAAAGATCTGGTAAGCTCCTTCTCTATCTTATTATTCAAATCTTTCTGGTCAGTTGTTTTTTGAAACTTTGATTTGTCATTTAAGACTGTACTCATTTTTTCAATATAATCACTTTTATTAAGAAGAACGACACCTGAACCTTTGTCAGGTTTTGTAATCAGTACTGTCTCATTCTTAAGAAGTAGGTTAATAGCTTCCTTGTGCTTCTTTGTGAGAATGCTTTTGTAACTAAATTTATTGTTCTTATATTGGTAACAGCAGTCTATTTGACCCATATTTATTCTGATCATGGATCTTAAAATTTCATTTAACATATACGCAGATTCAAGTTAACATTTTATATGAGTCATATTAACATTAACAATTTTATTGTATTTTGTTTATCACAATCCTAAATTCACATGCTCTAAACGATGTACTTTACCCTTAATTTGGCCATTTTTCGGATTATTAATTTGGATATATAATTGTAGAACCTGAAGAGAATTTATCGAAAAGAATATTCTTCGTTCAAATATTAGTCTTTTAATATTATGATATCTTGTAAACGCTTAGATCTTGTTATAATAAGTTAAATTATAGCTAAACAATAACATGTCATCAACTTCTGTTACTATAAGTATCACCTATCCAAAAAGAAATCAGTATACAAATTACAGAAATTAAAATGCCCTGGCAACAGTAATCACGATTATATTGTGAAAAAAACTACAACAAAACAATCAATGATGATATAAACTGTGAGAAAAACGACATGTTTTTCACTGTAGATGGTTAGTTTAAGATATCAGTCATTCATCAACAACGTAGAACTTCTAACGTACTTACATCAGTTCGAGTTGCCATACCACATTAGCACACACATACAATTGTCGATTCAAATCCCATGGTGGTAGAGGTAGTAAGAGTGTAAGCAGTTATCGTAAACACTAGGGTTTGAAGATGCTATTCAAGGAGTATAATCCAGTGAAACAAATTTGGAAAGCGAAGAAAAAAAGGGACACGAAGAATTCAGAAGATTAGAATTTGGGAGAACACAAACAGTGGATGCACCTGGGCCATTGCAATCGATTTTGAGCCATGTCATTCAGGGTCTCTAAACATCGGTTTCTGTCGTCTCGTGGTCCCCAACCAGGTAATCTACACCTACTAACATGGCTCAGTCCACTTGTCACTGACTTTATGGATTTGTGCTATGTGTTGTTCTGGCCACCCATAGATTCCTTTCAGCCTAGTCCTACACCACAAAACATCGCACATCGAGGCAGTTGGTGGTTGGGCATACGTAACACATGTCCCAGCCATCTCAACTGATGAAGTTTCACTACGTCATCAACTGATTTGCCATCCTTACCTAGTACCCGTTTCATAACAACTGTGTTCCTTACTCGGTGGTCCCAGGATATACCAGCAATGTTTCGAAGACACCTGTGACCGAATACTAGTAACCTACGAATATCCTCTATTTTTACCGGTCATGTTTCACACCCATAAAGTAGGACGGAACGAACTGCTGAGCAGTAAACTCGTCCTTCGGTTGGTAGACGAATATGTCGACTACGCCATAAATGACGCAAGTTGGCAAGAGCTAGTCGAACCCTCTGTATTCGTGCTGAGATTTCGTCACACACCAGACCACAAGGGCTGATGAGACTCCCAAGATAGGTGAAGCAGTCGACACGCTCAATTACTCCACTCCCTATCATTAGTTTGGGTGTCGATGCAACCAAATCCTGAAGTAACATTTTGTATTTTGAGGGGGAGAATCGCAAACAACAAAGAAGAAAAAATAATTCTGTTATCATAAAACGATCGTATTATTATTACGAAGATGACTGAGAAAAACAAGTATGAATAGTGTTTGTAACTGAGATGAGTGGATAGGTGATCACTTGACCTTATGAGATTGATGTAATCAAGTGACAACAATACGCAAATCCGGATAATTGACATAAAAAGCTCATAATGAATAGATATCAAGAGAGAAAATAATTGATGAATGAAAATGAATTATTTCATGTACGAAAATTACATATCAATGAAATATTTGACATAAAATGAACTTGGGTCGAGTAAAACAATTTATTACAACATTCAAATTTACACTGGATTTGTAAAAAATATAAAAAGAATACATTAAATACACTATTTTCCCTAACAAACTCTATCGTTCTTTCATCCCTGTTATCATTTTGATTGCTTTCTGCTTCCATTTCTCTATTTTTTCTTATTTTCCTCTTCTGTCTGTAAAAATTCTACTTTTCATTTCTGATACATACTCCTTATATCTATCGACATAAGGAGTATATACAACACAGATCGACACCTTGGTCAAGTAAACACTATAAATTAGGAAGCATTGGATAGCTGTTTCACCATAACATCGAACTCTTCAGAAGCAGTGTGCATTTTTGGGTTTCGCAGTGAACAATTAACCTTTCAATTATGAGGCTGGCATAAAATTATTTAATACTTCCTAGTTTAAAATGATCGTCAAATTAAAATTAATTATGAAATTCAATAATTTTCATAAACTTTCTATAGTAATAATAATTCTACACTTAACTTACCAAGTAGGTCGATATCTGTGCCATTCTGTTCTTTGAAAGTCAAACAACGTTGCATAAATGTGATTAAATAATAAAATAAATTCTGATTACAAATAGGAAGATGCTGTAAAGCCTATGGTATTTAAGAGAAATGAAGAAAAAGTAATTTTCCACAAAGGTGAAAACATATTGATTATAAGTAAATATCAAATAAGAAAATTCATTACGTATACACAAGATTAAAAAAAGCAATAAATAATACCTGAATCATTGCCATATAAAGCGATTACCTATGCGTAGTATAGAATTCAGGTTATTTGTACAAGAAATACTATACCTAATTATTGCCAAGTTATATAACTGAATTTCGAATGTAAATATATAATAAGTATATAAGGCATTCGGTGAGGTATCACTGAGAAAGATTCTAATCAGTTTACAAGCTGAAGTAGATAGGTTACTGGGTTGGAAATTGTAATAAAATGTTAAATAAATTGAAACTTTCTTAAAAGTCAACAATGTTTCATCATTATTACAAATACAGTGAAATCGTGCAACTAAACGACAATGCTAAAATTCTCATACAACATTATTTTAGCGCTATATTTAGTGTGATAGTGGAGAAAACTGTCACATATCATTTGTAATCCCCACTGAAGTAGAAAGATTTTCTATTGGCTGTTTAAAGTTAACCATCAGTAGCGTGGCGGTTTGATTAGTCACAATCAACGTGACACCTGGATCAAATGTGTTTGAATCCAAGTTGAGAAAACACAAAAGTACCATGTGAGGGAACTGACAAGTTGAACAATAGAGGAGCTGAAATAATGTACCAATTACTCTGAAAAAATAACATGCATTAAGAAAATGTTGCAAAAAAGCCTATAAGAATATTGGAACTCAATATCGAGTGTTAGTCAAATCAACCAAAGTCTTCAAAAAAATGATCGTGGTTATTGTGAGGACCATAACTAACTAATGTACATCTATTTACATGGTTCATACCAGCACTTAGTAACTTCGTGAGCTGAAGACTTGTTTTCGTTCAACGGGTTCTAGATTTCTTCTGATGCACTTCTGCATACATATTACATGTCGTAAACACTTGAATCGATCAAGATGCATCACTTCATCAGTTGATTTATGCAGCCTTGCCTAAAACCTTATTCTTAACACCAAAATTCCCCACTCGACTGATCCACAATAAGTATATGTTTTAAAGATGCTTACAATTGAAAATCTACAACCTATGCATGTTTTCTACTTATCATCTGATAAGTGTTTGTTTTGATTATTGGTTACCCTTTCTACATAAAACACGACAAAATATAATGAGACAGCAACTGAACACACAGAGAGAGTAAAAACAGCAATGAAATTGAAAACAAAACAAAGCGAACGTTTACCTGTACAGCAGATTCAAAATTTGCTAATGAATTAAAACATTTCTCATGAAATTCTTGTGGTATCACAGATTCCGGGAGTGTATTCAAAAACAATAATAAACACGATGTAATTGAATGTACAGAAATTGTTTCAGCTAAATGAGAGAGAAAAATAATAGTAGGGAAGTGAGATGAGAAGAATGGGAGAAAAGATAAACCCACACACACAAATGAGCTATCATTGAGAAGACACATAGATGAATAAATGAAAGTGGATTACTATGAAGCTAACTGTTATTACTTAGCAATAAGAAAACAGTATTGTAAACAGAGATTGATGGTGACTAACAGTCCGATTCAGGAAGCACGCGTTTCGCCACCATCTATCTCTGTTTATAATGCGTTGGATTTGAGGCCATATCAAGACTATCTGTATAAGATACACTTACGCCAATAAGAAATTGATTAATCACAGTCCTAAACATCAATGTAAAGATTTAAGCAACCAATACAAATGAATAAGAAAATAGACTGATATTAAATCAGTTCTGTAGAATAATACTTACGAAAAGGACAATTAGCTGGAGTTGTATCCAGTATATCACGTATTATACCAATGTCAGAAGATGGACCCATTTGACGAAATAGATCAGGCTTCAAAAGAAATTAAATTTATCATATATTATTGTTGTTGTTAAAAGTGGAAGAAGGAAACAAAAACAAATCTTTGTGTTTAAGGAGCATATATACATTAAATTAGATGGAAATCACATCTGATATTTGACTAAAAATTGTAATTTACACTGAAAGCTATTTAGTGTATAAACTTATTATAATTACTTTTTTTATTGTAAAAAAGGAGAAAAAAACTTCTGGAAATATTTTTTCAAGGCTCCGTTTTCTTATCACAAACCAACATACAATCTGAACAGGGTTTGGATAAGCTCATTTCAACAAACTACTGTTAGAGCTCCAAGTCAGAAGATTTTTAATAAGAAACATTGATAAATCTAGAAGTTGAGCACACCGAGTAAGGATAAAATAGAGACATATATACTAGGGATACATGTTCATCAATCAGTAATAAAAAATTTCGTATGAATCGAATCATCAAGACCAAATTACAATGGCAACTTTCAGTAATTTTAAGTGACATTAAGAAAACTAATGAGTGGATAAACAATCATAATGGAGCAAGCTTCCTTAGAAAGGTATCTACAATACGAATGTCGAAATCACAGATGATTAAAAGCATTGACACGATTAATCAATCTAACAACTTATGAACCTTAAAACTTCTAAACTCCAACTCATAACTGAAGTTATCAGAACAAAGATGATGAAAATGACATTTACAATACAAAAATCTAAAAAAAATTAATGTGACTAAACAGTTTCTACAAATTTGTCGAGATTCACCATAGGTTTATTTGCAGTGTGCTCGTAGTAACTACGGTGTAGAAATTTGTCTAGATGACTGTACCTTATAGACTCGTTTGACTAGCATCATTTGCAGCATACAATAATATCGTCCATCGGTTCTCCAGTCTCTCATTTCTTGACCACGATCACATAAAATATTGTTTCACAACAGACCGATCTCCTACAAGTGCTAAATTATTGAATCATCTTTTAAACAGGTCAAAAATGCGAAATCTAGTTAAAAATATTTGTATAAGTAACAGATTTATTTGTAACTGCGTTTGCGAAATCACGCTAAAACTTGCAAACGTCAACTCTACTAAGATTCGTTCGCTGAAGGTCGATGGTATCGTATTGGGGTTACCAGTTGCACACTGAGAACGAAATAAATGTTCAATTCGATAAATATGTTTTTAATGATCTTTTTTTGTTGATATTAGCTTGTGGCAAAAACCTTTTTTTTCTTTTTTGGAGTATTTTCTTATACTTACTTCTGTTATATATTCATTTATATGATTTACAAGACGAAAGATTTCTTTAGGAACATGAAATGGGTTCCGATCAACTAAACTGCATAATTTTGTTTTAAAATAGTCACTATTTTCTGAACGAGCCAACTTTATCTAAAAAGTATTTTTTAAAAAAGGAAAGGATTAAATGAACATATGAAGACATTCAGAAGGAAACTGATTAGATGATAAGTACAATAAAATAAATGAGATCAATCATAACCTGGAAATAACTCAATAATAACTGCATAACATTAAAAACACAGTTTATAGAGATCTATATTTAAAAAAAATAAACAGTATTAGAGCAATAAGATCTTCATCTGGATCTACAGTTATAAAATTTAAAATCATGATCATTTTTGTGTTACCATAAATAAACTATTCAATGTTTAATACATCTATAGTTCTAAATTGAAAACAATAACATTGTAGATGATGTTAAGAAAAAGTTAAATATTAACAATAAGAGAAATTCCGTATGTTAAAGGTAATCAATGAGTCTCATTAAACACGTAAAAGTACATTCAATACACAATAGAAATTGTTGTCATAATTATTGTAAAAAATAATACCTTTATTGTCAGTATTATTATTATTATGGTATCCGGACAAAGAATAATGTGTGGTAACCGTTAGTAATTATTTATGGACTAATATTATACGCATATTCTTATTGTATGATTATTAAGTAACTATATTATTTGTATATTCATATTCCTTTCATTATAAGCTTTAATTTGACCTATTGACTACTATATCATATGACTTACTATTCTTCAGATATTCCCAATTTATTAGTAACAATTTCTAACAATCACAAACACTTTCTGGTTTGATTTTATACAAATGTTATTTTCCAATTTATAGTGTGGTATCGTCTGATTTTGTTTGTATATGGACCAAGTGTGCTTGAAATATATGATTCGTATCGCGGAGGCTGATATTGGCATCCTGGATTTAACAGGCAGGACAACGCAGAAAATGGGCCAATCGGAACTCTAGGCTGCTGGTGTTGGTGTATGAGTCATTAGTTTGGTCGTACAAGTCAGTGTATCTAAATTAGCAATCGTATTTCGCGATAACTGTATAAGCTGACATAGAAATTATTATTATGATTATTATTATTATTGTATGATAATAATAAGTTTGAACGATGTTTTTTTTCAAAAAGAACTTCACTACTAAACATTATAAGCAGAGGTGGATGGTGGCTAGTAGTGGAATCCAGGACGCGCGTTTCGTCCTGTTTCGGACTCGTCAACTATGAAACATATCTGCAAATATATTTACAGCATAGAGCTATTATGGAACTTCTGAAAAGCGGACATTAAATACTAGGTGGAAAATCCAACTGATATGTCTTAAATACAATTAAATGTTTACTGTAAAGTTTTCAGTTAAACAAAATATTATTTATTCAATATAATACTGTATCCGCGAGATGATAGCAAGCGAAAGTTAAGAACTTGAATGACATGGCTCAAAATCGTTTGCAATGGCCCAGGTGCATCCACTGTTTGTGTTCTCCCAAATTCTAATCTTCTGAATTCTTCGCGTCCCTTTTTTTTCTTCGCTTTCCAAATTTGTTTCACTGGATTATACTCCTTGAATAGCATCTTCGAACCCTAGTGTTTACGATAACTGCTTACACTCTTACTACCTCTACCACTATGGGATTTGAATCGACAATTGTATGTGTGTGCTAATGTGGTATGGCAACTCGAACTGATGTAAGTACGTAAGAAGTTCTACGTTCTTACTGACTTACTGACAATATAATACTGTAATTTTTATTCGAGATAAATTTCAAATTAAACATTGTTATCATATTTATTATTTATTCTTTTTAATTTAATTCATAGTAACTGACTGGATACAATTGTATAGATAAAAGAATAAGTTGATATCATATCCGAACGAAGGATAAATGATTGATCACTGTTAGGAATTAGTTATGCACTATTGTTTCATGCATTCTTATTGGATAACTATTAGGCCACTATATATATATATATATATATATATATATATATATATATATATATATATATATAGTGGCATTCCTTTTATTTGACCTATCGCCTACTGTTATAAGATTTACCATGCTTAATTTATTTCCGATTTATTAGTTACAGTCTACCATACTCACAGCCACTTTTGGCTTGATCCTGGATGACTATTTTTCATTTCATCGTGTGATGCGGCCTGATCTGCTTATATAAAAACCACATAAGTCTGGAATAAAATATTAGTGTTCTGGACTCGATGGCAAGGTAGGGAGAAAAGTTACTGAATCGGAGTAATAAGAGCTTAGCGCCGACTCAAGATTATTAGTACTGAAACAGATTCCGATTGGTATTTTTATCAATTGATGTTAGTGAGTGGCTACAAGTCATAACAATTGCCATTACAGTTACTTGTAATGCTTCAGGACTCGTCTTGATAATTTCAGTTGGGTACGTTGGTGTAGCGTAGCAACTTGTACCGATTAGCATATGTATCAAGCTCTCCTTTGCATAAAACTGAGAAAACGAATGAAGGAAATTTTGAAATGCATTACATTACCATTATATAACAATGTATGACTTGAATTAAGAATTACATGATTTGTGACTGACTAGTGAAATCCCCTGAACATTCCCTAAAGTGTTTTCTATTAATCACTGCTCCAACCAACTGTAGATGGATATCCAGAATAGTCTTAAAATCTAAAATATCACCTAATCTATTCACGACCTTACGAACAATGTCATCATCTCTAAACACCTAGACATTCTAGAAGACAATCAATGTACCAAAAAAGTACTAGATAGACTGTAATTCTGCACTTTTTAGTCCGCAATATATTGAACATTTTACGACATGAACTTAAGAATCCAAGCGAAGACCTTTCATGCTACAACGTTATCATTACCTACGTAAATCTATGAATGAAAAAAAGTGAAAAATACAATATAGGTCGTACAAGTCTACTATCGTCGTGGTCTTTTAAAAAATATTTCGTGATTGACAACTGTGAAAAGAACTAATATATGAATACGCTGTGGAGAGATATATTTGAGGAAGGACAACAAACAATGAAAACTACTTTTTGGACATAGATACACTGAATGTTTCAATCACACTTGGTTCAAATAATTTTACGATTTCCCTAATTGAAAGCTTTTGTTTGACTTATAAGGTAAAATCATATGTTTGGTTCTCAAATAACTGTAATTTAATCTAATAAACCTAGTGTGTCAATTCTGTAACCTAAATGCCCTACTTCGGTATGATTCTTAAATTATGGTGAGGTATGCTTCAGTTGCTGGTATATTTATTTATGTAGACTTTTGGGTCAGACGAACCATCAGATATAAAGCTTAGTATTTCCATCATTCCTCTCACCTCTGAATGAGTCTTATCAAGGAAGCTTATCAGTATTGCTTAACAAGTCATTTAGCCAAGTTATTAGGATAGTCTGGCAGAAGTAAAGTCACTCACAATTCAATTCACGGAAACGATTACAAAATCATGTAAAGTAGCATAGCGTAAGGATATCAACTAGTTTCGAGTCAAATACCTAGGATATCTAACGTGATTACCAGGTCATGTACATAATACTGCTCAAATTTAGAACATCACATGGAAGAACATTTGATAAAGTAATTATTCAAAACATATGATGAGAAATTATCTTCTCAATTCAAATATTACATCTACAGAAAATACCTCTCGTTTGTCTCAAAATCACCAAAAAATTGTCCATAATGGTATAGCGTTTTCCCATTTTCGATATTGAAGACAGAATTTAGTCAGTGTCGAAGTATAGATTACTTGGACGAATGGCTTAATGATGATTCTAGATGAATGTTTATTATGATTTTGGATACCGGCTAGTAATGGAGTCCAAGAAGCGCACTACAACCTCTTGGGAAGAACTGAATACACACACATCTGTATAAATTAATAATTGGATATTGTGACTCAGTCAGTACCTTAGTGGATAATGAGATAGTGTGCAAGCTATTATGTACTGGGTTCGATTTTCAATATGAGTATAAATAACGCAATATCAGTGAGTCGAAAATGAAACAAAATACCTACAACTTAAAATTCCATTTCATTGTTCGAAATTTTTGTCTTTCATTTATAAGTTCATTTACTACGGGGATCGACAACAGACACTTGTAACTAACTTTTAATCACCATCTTAAGTGTGTGTGACGATTAATAATACTATTTAATATCTCAAACTGCAATAGTTTAGAGTAGGGTTTATACCTGAAACTTTGTGTCTAAAAGTTGAATATGGCTTTAACAAATTAACCATTATCCTTTACCCCTGCAACACACACACACGAAAAGAAAATATATGTTTATAAAATTAAAAAATTTTTGTTTACCTGATCTTGTAATTCATTAACTGAAAGTTTATTTACAGGGTCTGATTCTAAACTCAATAATAGAATTAATGGTAAACCAAAACTTGTTGGAATGAACTGAGCATTAATTGAAATAAAATAATCTTTCCCATCTTCTAATTGTAATACAACAATTGTAGATAATTGAATAGTACCACTATTCAATGCATACACTTCTTTATAATTAACAAATATTTGAAATTCTAATTTAATAGAAATGCCTTCAAGAAACGAAAAAAAAGATGAAGAGACGATCAACAAATAGAATAAACGTCAGTAATTAATTTCAAGACGAAAAAAATCAGTATGGGGGTTTGTGGAGATTGTAATATTTCAACGTCTGAATTCACGAGTCAATGTAAACTAGACTACCACTAAAAACCTGGAATCAGTGGACGACCGAAGTTCTCAGGTTCAAGACCAGCGTGCAGGATCTTGGACGCACATTACTGATGAGTCACATACTGAGACGAAACGTTCGTCCAGTGCTTCCAGGTTTTTAATCGTCTAGCTTTTTTATATATTTATTTGAACACATAAATATTGGTACAAAGAGGCACCAAATACATATGCGCCATACAAGTCACTTGATTTGTGTGTGGGCTGTGATACTGCCCGGGTGCCCAGACTGAAGTAGGTGGTTTTCTTAGAAGGCCACCGCCGGAGCCTTCGACCTAAGGGTCTGATCCACAAAATAGTAGAGATGCAGTCCCACGGTAGCCGGTGATCAACAATTGGTTTATAGGCCATTTGTTCATATAGGATCCTGCAGCCCATTTACATGCCAACTGATAAATTTTGTTTTATATTTTGTAAAAGAAATTAAAAACATCAACTAACACTTAGAATACAAATGATGATTACTGAAAAATGTGTCATATGACAAAATTTTTGTTTTAAGTTGCTTTAAAATAATCGATTTGACACTTCTTTTTTTCTTATTTTCAAAAACTCATTTTATCAGATTCATAACCGTGCACTTGACTTTGAGTCTAGGGATTATTAATACTACTTGGTTGAATAAATGGAAATAAGTAGATTGGGTCTCGAGCCAACAACTCAATGACAGAAAGTCAAATTCCTTAATCAGAGAACCAATTACCAGTTCACGTAAATAAGTAACGAAGTAGGAGTTTGTATACTATGACAATAAACCAGTGAAGAGTGGAGCTTGAACTATAATTTGCATGAAGAAGAATCCATGAAACAATGAGACTTGCTAAGATACCTTCATAATACGAAAATAAAATCTGTTAAATAGGTTGTTAGTAAGACATACAAGCAGAAAAGTCGATCCAGATTAATGCAAAATTATACTACTGATAAGGATACTTCGAAGTAAATAAACTATAGAGTTGAGTTGATGATTATAACTTGAAAAATACTTCTGAATGACCTCAAGGACAGAAAGACAGGCAGACAATAGACCGATCACTGAGTAGTAACAATATCATTTTTATTTAGTTCATTATTATTGATCAAATTCTGTTGATTAAATTGTGATTTAGCCAGTAGTCTAACTGGCTCAATATCATGCACAGTATGTTGAGATGTTAGATGGCTTAAGGTAGTTGGCAGAATATCCTGTTTATTCTACGTTTTGTATTCATCAGTGATGTGTACGTACCTGTAGTCATGATGGATATGGTGCTTCCTGTGGGTTTTCCTGCCGACTAACAACAGGCAGACACCAACCAAACCACAATAAGCGAACTCAATCTTAACTATCATTGTGGAGTGCGAAATACACTTTTGTAGAAATGATTTAAGTCGTGCTATGCAACGCGTTCACTAATTACAGGTTTGTATTCTGAGCTTTGAGAGATATAGTTTATGTTCGACGGCTATTGATACTACTACTATTACTCAACAGCCACACAAATCGAAGTAGATGACGGGGTTCAAACTATTATCAAAACAAAACAACCTCCTATACTACCACTACCCAACACAGAGAGTATTCCGGATAAGGCAACGATGGAGTATCGACCACCACGGTGATTGGTGGTTAATCAAGTCATAAATGTTTTTACATTCTTTTCTGCTTGGATGAAGATAACTTGACAAAAGTTGGATGATAACTAAGTATTAACTTTCATTTAAGCAACCAGTGAATCCATTTTTACATGTTATCAAATTAATTGTTTAGTCAGACTATCAATTTCCAACTAGAAATTGAAAACCAATAGAAAACATAGGCCAACCCAAAAACTGATTGGTCATATTTCACTACTTACAGTAAACTTGATCGTTTTTGCAAATTAACTCAGTTATTTCTAATGGCAGAGATTAGCAGAAACAGAAAGCAGTAAGCTCTGGCAGATGGCCAGTGTACTAGTAGCATTACGAATATTTTATTCTACTACTTTGATCATTTACTTTAGTATTCTTCCCATTTTTATTTTCAAATCAAGTAAATACTTATCAGTATATTTCGTCTGGATTTTTTTCAGTTTCCATGCAAAATGCCATATGTATATATTTGTTAAACCTTGTTTATACTCTATTGTGAATGATAAGTCTTTACGTCCCATACTTTAATTATGAATAAAATAAATAGAAAAATGAATGTCCGATTAGAACAATCACACAGTACTAAGTTGATACATTACAATTTTCAGACCAACTACGTATTATTGATACACTTTAAGAGTTCACATCTAAATCCCGAGCTTGCATATCCTGACGATCCCATCAGACAACATTAACTGAGACATTCATCTCTGAAAGTCCCATCACATCAGTCAGATTAGCTAGAGAGATGCAAGACTAAAAGCAGTAACCATATGGTAAACAAGGCGAATTCGTATAAGTACAAGGGTAAGATTGTAGTAAGTCATTTCCGTCACAAAACCAACATTTGTAGTGCTGCTACTTTAACAATAACGGAAGGAGGGAGATGAAAATGCAAACTGAAAAATGTAATACCTCGTTTTGACACACTGATATCCATCGCCAGTGCTAAAAGCTTGAAAGAACAGAACACATCTAAAACTACTCACAGAAAGCCCGTATGTGATAAGCCTCAACGAATTGTCTCTTGAGCATTGCAGTCCCAAGTCATCAAGACCACTCCCAACCCAGTTTCTCTAACGGACACTACAGGAAGTACCTTTTCAAACATAGATAACTGGGAAGTGACAACTACTCACAAATTCCTAACAACAATGGAGATCACCTTGTTCTTCTTAATGATAAAGAAAGCATGACCACTGTAAAAATAGTTATATATCACACTCTCAGTATTGTTGTTAGTAGATATTAGAACTTCGTAGTGATAATAATCACATTTAAAAAATCCTTTTACAAAATCAGTCGCTGTCTATGTTAGAATGATACCGAAAAATTAACGTCCATTCGTTTGCTCATGTAAACGCATACCTTGTTTCACGGAATCACATGATGGGTTAACTGAAAGCCATGGTGGGAATGATCCAACACCTTCACGTAAAAATTTAAATTGAAAATCATTAAGGCCAATATTAGTTAGAGTTAATGATTGACTGCATAATTCGTGGAAATGTACATAACCGAAATCTAATTCTTGTCTATCCAATTCGGCTTGTGGAAGTGATAAATTTGTGGTTAAATCTATACTGAGTAAAACGGATTCATAAGCACGTTGAAATGCTGAACGTATTATACGACGCAGCTAGATTAAAGAAAACAGAACATAAGGATGAATATATATACGGATCTACAAAAATAAACAATTTATCATTCGATATACGTCAAAGTTTTATCATAACTGAGAAACTACTGAAAACCAGGAAGACTAGACAACTGTTCTATCCCATTATGGGATACTTCAACAGTAAAGACCCACGACGCTATAAAATCCATCCAGGTGTCTTTCCCTTTCGCTTAGTTTACCTACTTTAGCATTAAAGTCACCAGCCACTATTACTACATCAGAGCGCCTAGCTTTTCGTAGAAGATAGGAAAGCTTTCCGTAAAACTCATCTTTTACATCATCTGAGCTGCAGTCAGTGGGAGAGTAGGCAGAAACGACGAAGAGGCAATGACGAGTGTCCCTATCTTTCCGAGTCCTTATTGTTCCGTTTAGTCGGACGGCACACAAACGACTGTCTACAGGAATCCAGTCTACGAGAGCTAGTTCTGCCCTAGAACTCAATGCTATACCTACGCCAGTGAGGCCACGGGAAGCAACATCAGGGCTTCCAGATACACAAAGTGTGAACCAAGTCGGTTCTTTATTTTGGCATGGTGAGGTCAAATGAATGACGCTACTCGGATCCTGTATGCGCGTTTCGGAGACGCAGCACACATCGATGGCGCGAGATTCTAGAGTCCTAGCTAAGGAAATCTGGTGTCCTATTTGGCATAGTGTTCCGACGTTAAAAGCTCCTATGTGTAGTTTAGAGCATGGTTTCAGGAGACCAGGAATAACGTTCCGCGTACTCGGATCGTTTGCCCTAGTGGTGCGAGGCGATAAAGGAACGGGAAAAGGGGTAGTCGTGGAGATACAAGATTTATTTGGAGGTGTAGGAAGGATTTGGATGTGACTAACTTGGTCTCGTGTGCTGTAACGGGTATGAGGACTGATATCACTTCCCGGTTTCCCACACCGTATAAGGGTATTTCTTGAGAAACCTGAAAAGGAAGTCGGATTAGTGTTGGTCTTAACGACCTGGGAGCGTGACCGCAGAGTTCAAGGGACAACTTCTTGAGGACGGTCGCGCACGGCCTTTTTGTGAGAGGTTTTTAATGTGTTAGCTCCATCCTTTAAAGGGCCTTACCACCGGAGACGGAAATCCGTGAGGTAAGGTGAGGTGTGACATTTTTAGGGTCGACCTTTTCTAACCCCCTCCTTCCTTGTGAGAAGGCATTATCGCTACAGATGCTGGTTGTCCGAGGGAAACACCTTACTGCTGTCACACCTCTCTACAGTCAGCAGTACGACTTCGCCCTCAGGCCTTGAGTTGCTGCTTTGAGTCTTACCGTTCTCCAATCGAACAGCATGGCATGGTTGAACCTACAGGAACATATGTTCCAGCCAACATAGCTCGGTTGGGTCATCACGATAGGCAAGCCCGACCACCGCGTCAAGGTAGCAGCTACGGTCGGATGAAATGTTATATATTTGCACATTAATGAATTTAATAATTATCGAATTCATATTATCCTAGATTACTGAATTACGGTTTATAGAAATATCTATATATGTATATAAAAACTACTTACATCAACTGAAAAGTATGCAGAAACAGGTTTGTGATCACTGCAAACAAATTCTGGATGTGAACGATAAACAATTGGTTCACAACCATCACCTGACCATATGATACGATCACAATAGGATGGAACACGATTTTTATCACTGTTTGAAAAGTAATTTATATTAAAAAAATCAAAGTTAATTAAGCACTTATTTCAGTAAATAAACTGGATAATTTTAATACATGATAATGTAACATAAACTATAAACATACAATTTGCATCAATCAGAATAGATAAAAAGTAGGATTTCTGGAGAGAACAATATTTTTATAGGTGTAATTCAGACGTTTTACTAAAATGTAACAGATTGAGACCTGATTAAAGGTGATATATTTATCAACATGAATAAACGTTCAACTAAACTGACTCAAAAAGAAGATATATCTTAAACGATCTTAAGGTGAAATATAAACACAAGTAAAATATTTTTTTATAGATGAGAGAATACTACTACTAATCACAGTCACTATATATGATGATAATATTATTAGTTAATAGTTTTTTTTTAAATATCACCTAGCTTCTAGATAAAAGTATATGATGTAGAGAAACCACATGATGTTAACTCTTTCAACTTATTAACAAATTTAACTAAGAGTTTACTTATTGACTGAAACCTTAAATAAAAGTAGAACCAAATACAGTAAATTAGGGTCAAGTCAATCAAGTGTATCAGAAAATTGCTATGATAAACGTACTGATCTATTTTTTTTCTATAACTACATATATACAGTCATGATATTAGATTGTCTGGTTTCAACTATTCCAGTCAACATTATGAAGTGATGTTATTTAAAAAACTACTTATATTAGAAAGCGATGAAAAGTTGTTTCGCATTAGTATAGGACTCTTTAAAGGAACGCACCTACTACCCTATAAAGTATCGAGTCTATGACTTTAAGATATCACAACGAACCATTTATCTTTAAATCATTGCCCAACTTCAATGCATGTGATGGTACGCAACAATCTTACAAAGCCATTGATAGATAACTAAATCCCTCACAAATGACATGGCGTCCACCCTGCTTAAAACGGTTATCTAACTATTACTATTCTCCATGATGTCGACTATGAATTGCATAACCACCCAAGGTAATAAAATTAGGACCAATCGAAAGTGTAGTCATATTTATGATGTATTATCTAATGGAGTATTTTACGATAAAGTGAGTAACTATTAAATCACACAGAACATTTTTGTCGAATTCTCAATGACGATTTCCAAACACAATTCATACTTCTATTCGATAATAAATAAAATATTTGGTTAATTAACTGGTCTGCCCATATGATTTCAATCGATAAGAAAATTTTCTTCGCTGAATTCTCTTTTTCATATTCAATGACACTATGGATTATTTTAATTATAAAAAAACATGAGTTCAGATATTAAATGATTTTCTTTGTAATACACTGTTATAAACAAAAGAATTGCCACTCGATTGTAGCTATTGCACTGACATGATGGTCAGCCTTGTATAACATGATAAGCTAATAAGAAAACATCAGCTGAAAACAGTCATCTCTGAAATTCTTATCATATTATTATTATTATTATTATTAATGGCTTTATTCAATATTATGTTTTAGTACAATATAGAATTCTCAGCACAGGGTATTTCAACAAGTTACTTACGCAAAAAACAGTAACAAGTACAAAAAAAGGAAAAAAGGTTTATGAAAAAAACTGAAAAACTGTACAACTTCTCAAATTAGAGACATGTTAAGAATGTAGGTTATTGACTAGGTGGACTCTAACAACCTGTTCGTCACAGAGTATATTTGCTAGGTAAGGTATTATAGAACCTTTATACATTTGCTTGCGTGCATGGATTTTAAAGTAATTACGTCTCGTTCTACAGAAGCTATACAAGGAGAAAGACAAGGATGAAGGGGATGGTTAGTATCTGATAAAATAACACCTGCCAGGAGTTTGCATCACATTAGATGTCTATCCACAACCATATTAATTATGACCTCGAAAGTTTCACCACACACCTTGCTAACTGCCTTCAGCGCTCTCCCCAATACAGCAAAGTCTTTTCTCAAAAGCCCGGGAAAAAATAATAGGTAATGTTCAAGAATTGACAAATTGTGAGAGTAAATGACGAGCAATCACAAGAGCATGCAATCTTTTTATGTAGTAATTCAGACGGAATACCTTCTTCGATAACAATAAAACGTGAGAAGACCAAGAGGGATCAGAGGAAAAGGTAACACCAAGATAATTGATTTTCGACACTGTGTTTATCAAAGAGTCTCCAATGGCACAAGCATTATGGGATCTCAAAATGGTATTTAGATTCCGTTCATGTCTCATGCTAAAGTTAACAGCTTGACATCTAGACGGATTAAGTATGAGATTATTACTAACAGACCAACAATCAATACGAGACAAAAACTCATTCATTTCTATGGGATGCAAAGAGGAAGAGATAGGCATAAGTACAGTGAGATCATCCGCATATTTCACAAAAGTGTTTTCTGTGGAAGATGGCAAATCATGCAGAAAAAAATAGAAAAGAAGAGGTAAAAGAACAGCTCCTTGTGGTACACCTTCATGAGACGGTAGAGACTCTGAACACTTTCCTCCAAATACAGTGTACTGTTCCCTTCCAGAGAGGTAGGGACATAGCCAGTTGGTTATCCAGCTGTCAGTGTTGACGCTGGTCAACTTGTTAATTAAACGTCGTCTTGGTATAGAATCAAAAGCTGAAGTATAGTCCAAAAAAATTGGTTAAAAACGGTAGAACTAAAAATGGTAAACTCACAATCCACAAGGCAAATTCTTTCTGACAACAGTAAAAACTGCAAAAGTATGACTGTAGTAGGATGTTTCCATTAGAGGAGAGAGGACTGAAAAAGCCGACCACGAAAATGGGACAAATTATCTTGATCCACTGACATCCATAGCCAGTGGTCAGTCCTCAAAATAGCAGAAATAACGCATCAAAAACTACTCAAAAATGGTGTGTGCATTCGACATTAAGAAGTCGTTCTTTGAGCACTACAGTCAAGCTCTCAGGTCATCAAAACAATCTCTAACTTAATTTCTTTATCAGGTGCTTTAGGAAGTATTTTCTCATAATGTGCGGAACTGGAAAGTGACAACTACTCATACACTTCTAATAGTATGAGAGATCACCTCGACTGAGAATTATTAGAAAGATAGAAATGAATTAATTTCTTCTAGTTACCCAAACTTCAGCAAACATGATATTTGATAGGTTCGGAATTACAACCTTTGGATAAAATCTGATGCTACGTACATTAGGTCGAAACTCAAAGATGCATACCTTTACAGTTTCGGTCAGATCGCAACTTACCTCATACACTATTCAAGCCCTTCAATAAGGACTCATTTCATGTCACTTCAAGTCAATATTTTCAAAAAAAATTCAAAAAACGATCTAATCAGAGGGAACATCACAAGATAATAATGAATTATTAATTAAAGAACAAAACTTCTTTCATCAAACTCCACATATTCAAGAAATAAAACAAACAACTATCGAAATTCATATACCATATGTACACCACTTACCTAGAATCGTAAACATTAGAATTCATATCGAATTTGTAAGTCGGCGCGAAATTGATAATAGGTTCATGAAAACCATCAAATAAATTACGATTCTCCATAAGTTTTAATAACTAATTCAACAAGTATATAAAAGAGAAAAACAACAAATTCATACGATATACATTTAGGATACTTTGATCATCATTTACAGAATATAATTTGTATTAATTATGAATGAAAACTTGACAAATAATACTTTATAAATGTTTTGATTTTCCAGTTGTTGATATTCAAAACAAAATGTCTGATAGATCTATCTGTTAGTTGAAATCTTTATTGAATGGAACAAGACATAAATGTTGATTTATGGGTTATCTGAATACATATATGATAAACGATCTCGATATAGTTGAAACTGGGATTTATCCTGACAACTTCGTCTCTGTGGTAATGGGGTATGGTAACTTGAACCGATGTACATACACATCAGGTTCAACGTTGGGACTGACTGATAGTTGATATTCCTCATATTTGATAACAAGATTAACCGACTACACCTATTCACCAAAACTAATTTGACTAGACCTTAATTTCAAAAAAAACAAAAAAAATTATGCCACTCTCTTAAGATGTTTTCAGGGATAGTTCACAATCACCTAGAATGACTTTAACATCACTTAATTTTCACTTATAGGAACAGCATGGACTAGTAATTTGCTAAGGAAATCTTATTTTATTCACTTTATTGTTTAAAAATATCGGGATTTTTTTCTGTAAAGACAACGGTAATATTTTTTTCTGATTCATTCTCCCGCATTGACCTTTAATGTTATACATGATTGGTAACTGTCACTTTTGTTTTGTTAAAATGCTTGTGTTTCATGGTCACTGTTGGTTGCTGTGTTTATAAACGAAGTCTACCCATCACAAACTTGACATTTTAAATATCAACCTATTTTTGAGCACTGTTCCATTGAGTTGAGGATGACAGATAAAGTGTTGTGCATTAGTCGTCTGGTATGATGGAATCATGTATATACAGTTTCGTGTTACAAGAATATTCTCACAGTTCATGATTAAAAATCATCGTACGCTGACAACAATCTTTTCATGTGCAAAAATCCTAGCGTTTTCTGAATCAATTTCTATGTGGTATCCAGAATATCATTTAATGATAGTTCATCACTTATATTACATATCCCAGTTACTTCAATTGATGAAGATTCATACCTCTGTCAATCACTAAGAAATAATAGGTGCCTAAAATCCAATAACTAAAATTAGTAACTTTGCAAAACAAAGAGTTTATCACTTCTGTTCGCGTACTTATTCGAGAAGTAACATATGAAATCAATAACCGCAAAATGTTTAACAGTAGTGTTAAGAAAAAAATGATCATTAACTATTAACTAACTTCATCATATTTGAGTAAAGAAGAAAAATCTTTTTCGAAAATAGATTTACGAACACTAGGTGAATCCAGGCCACTAATACGATAATTTAAATCACCAAATACGAATATAATGCTAGATGATGAATGTAAGAAAATAGAAAGTCGTACATACAATTAACAATCAAAATAATATATAACTAAGAAATTAGGGAAATAATTTATCATCCACCTTTAACAATTGGAACGATAAAGTATATATTTGTATACTTTATATACAATCCCACTGCGTGTATGAAGGGAGGGTAGTGATATTACCCTGTTTCCTAAACTAAATTAGATGGAATGAGACTCTTACTTGTGACCTTGTTGTTAGAAGTTGAACACCTCAATCATTAAGTTATCGATTCAGTTCTAACAAGGGTACACGTGCAGATATAGACACAAATGTGTTCCATGTGGAGCAAAGGTGTTTACAGATTACTAGCAGTTCAATTCATCATAAACACCAATCGATCATAACGTTTGTTTGCTTATAGCAAGAATTCCATTAAAGTAGAGATCACTTTCTCTAATTGACTTCTCTTCACTCAATCGTTTATTCCGTGTAGTAAATTGAATTCAGATTCTGATTTCTACACTCTCTACCATGATTAGCTGATTAACTCAATTTTCTGGAGTATTTTAAGTAATAACTCGGACAAAATCCGAATAAAATTTATCACAGTTAACAAATTTCTCTGTGATGAAAAATAATAACACAGTAGGATATTTCTCTTAATTGTAAAAACAAAAATACATTAAAGCTAATTATAGTTTTAAAAGTATAGACATAAGAATGTAGACACTTTACTTTTATTGAAATTAACAGCTTCAAAGTATAAACTGTATTGTTTTACATGAATAAATCTGATATATATACTGACGTAACAATTACCTCCGCATAATTTAATCAGTCAGTCAGTCAGTAACAACATAGAACTTCGTACGTACGTACATCAGTTCGAGTTACCGTACCACATTAGCACAGAAATGCAGTTGTCGATTCAAATCCCGTAGCGGTAGAGGTAGTAATCGGAAAGATTAGGGTTTGAAAACGTTATTCAAGGAGTATAATCTAGTGAATTTAATCAAGACTAAATGTGATCGGAATAAAAAGAATGAAGACAATTCTCAATGAAGGCAAATTCCTTTTTCGAAGTTGCACAATTGTATGTACAGGGAATTTTATTATTGGTTACGAAATGTAAAGATAGTAATCTATAAATATTACGATTGTACAGTTTCGAAAAACGAAAGTTATCTTCACTAAGAACTGATTTCATTCTTTTTAATAAACCAATGAGCTATTCTTTCATTATTGGATTAATTATATTGATACGATAGTGAATTTGTACAAAGTTAATACTGTAAAGGATAATACACATATTAGTAGTCAGTTTCCGTTAAAATAGCACTAAAGTGAGATTCAGTCAATTGTTTACAGTGTTTTATGGTAGTGGCGTTGGGTTCTCCGTGCTAGATGATTTACTTGTAGAGCTTTCATATTATTATTCTGGACAACATCAACACTTCATGTTTAAAGTGTTAATACCAAATAGTATATTTGTACTCATGAAATGTACTACTAAAATCGAAAAACGAGAAATGAAAAACACCACAGGCTATATAGAATAGGTGGATTGTGGTGAGCAGAGGAAACTAAGATGAGGATTTTGTCTTATTTGTAACTTAACAGTTACATATGCCTCCATCCTAGAGCTGGCGTTCACACCCGCAACTCAAACTCAGTAGCCTTCATTCTAAACGCACAACGTAATATTCACTCTTTCATATGTATACCACTAATTTTTAAGAAATTGATCCATTTATTAGCTAATTAAATGCATTCGTTCTTTAGGTCACTTCTGATTGCCATTGACTGGCCTTCTTATTAAGCTAATTTTGATTGGCTCTCCAAATCATGGATGCTGTGCGGATTGCCTCAATATAGATATTTTGTCAAGTCTTATACAGAATAGGTGTATCGTTGCTAGTGATGGACTACAAATCACATTAATCTCATCTTATAGACGATTTATAACATAAATAAAGTATCAATATCTACTTTTAAAAAATTCAAAGAAAAATGCATACAATTGAAATAATGAAAACTTACTCATGATCTGAAATAAACGCTTTTTCAGATGATTGTATGGGATTTTTCGAGTTCATTGGAAATTCAAATAACATTTTACGTGTAATTTCTCGAAAATCTTGATTACGACGATCAAGATTCGCTTCACCTGCAGCCAAATGACAATTAACAAAACATAAAGAAGAATTAAATATGGTCAATCGAATGCCAACACCACCTTTATTACCCTGAAATTAAAAAAAGAAAGAAGGAAGGAAGGATATGGACTTGAAGTTATTCGTAAGTTGTAATCACTATGGAGCCTATAGGACCCATGTTATCATATCACCAGTAGTAAAACAAAATGAAAATAACTGAGTAATAAAAGTGACCGATGTAATCTAATAGAAATACTGATAAGAAAAACTAAGCATTGAGAATATATTTCGAAAAGACAAAGTGGAAAGGTATGTGCATGAAGGAATATCCAGACTTAAGATAGAGAAGTAGAAAAAATGCACCTCAGCTATTGTGGTTAATTCTGAGCTATGTCACTCAAGATTCGGTCACATTTCGTATCATTATACAGTATTGATCGATCAGCATTTTAACGTTTACAAACCATGTTCATACAATCTTAAGTGCATAATTCATAAAACTCGCCAGATCCAGATTGATGAACTAATAAATGAAAAAGAACTAACTATTCCATATGAATTAACCAGATCGTTTGTAGACAAGCAGTATAATGGTCAGTACAATGTTGCCCAAGTTATTCGATCACGAGTTATGATATTCAAAAACTTCTAAGTGTTTGTGCAGTAAATTTCAGATGATCAGTAGATTATGAAGGGGGAAAATGACGAATGCCAGTGACAATGACAAAGCACTAACCATCACGTTGAAAACACCTGTAGGTACAACTTGACAAGAGATTTCTTCACGACGTAAATGAGAAGATAAACGAGCTGATATGTAAACAATCATTATGATTCCGGCTAGGCGAACACGTTCCACTCGTAAATAGCCACCTCCTGTGTAATGAGACCATTGAGCAGCATATGATTTTACAGAACCTGTTCTTTGAGCCCAAACAGAATGTGATGAAGGTCGTTTGAGTAAACCACCTAAAGCTTCTTCTAATTGTTGAATCCATCGTTCTTCGGGTCCAGTAGAGCTAGTTTTATTTAGAGTAATTACACTGAAACTTAAATCCATTTCTTGAAACCTATGGTAAAATGAATGAATGACAGAATTATAAAAAAAAATGAGATACTAAAACCGCAAACAATGAAAAATAGAAAAATTCTAAAAATAGAAATACACTTTCCTTTTTATTTAGAAGAAAATAACTTGGTTCAATACGTTTGAACCATTAAGATACTGTAGATTATTGAACTAAAATTTTAAAAAATTTATTTAAGGAATGCGGATTTGTGGAGATTGTAATAATTTTAATAGTTGAATTCACAAGTCTATTTAAGCCAGACCACGGTAGAAAATTTGGAAGCACTGGATGGATCGATTGAAGTTCGATATTAACACCACTGGATGCTGGTTCATTGGTCTAGAGGTTAAGCGTTCGTATGCAAGACCGAAGGTCCTGAGTGTGATCCCCGTATGTAAGGTCGTGGATGAGCACTATTAGGACAAAACGGTCGTCTAGTGTTTCCAGGTTTCCAATGGTGTTTTAGCTTAGATCAACTCGTGAATTCGACTAATAAAATATATTTAAAGGTTAATTACCAAGTTCATCAAACAAGCAAAAGCAATTTACAATTCCATTTATTTTGACTAAACAAGCTAACAACGGTATTCTGATTTAATAATTCAGTTAAAATATTTTACGATCAAATACGAGTTTGAGATGAAGAATGAATTAGGGTATTTTTTTGTTTCGCGATATACTACGCTACCATGATAAAACGATTATACGAGAATGAGACTGTTCAAGGTGACTGAGTTTATAATACCGCTAGATTGGGGTATTCGAACAATATACCATAAATTGATTAGATCACTTAACATCAGACACCTAATTTATGATCAAAATAGAGAACCAGAGTAACGCTAGGCAATACTCTATTCAACACAATTACAGGCCATCACTCTCAGTTTGTTCGGAGCAGAAATTATTAAGAGAAAAGGAAGTTACATACTTAATCATCATTAAATTGAGTGAATGTTTGTCCACACACAGTGACCAATCATATTTAGTTTCACTACTACACATCGCAGACCTACGCTAAATGTGAAGGTTGTGATACTAACCGTTTACCCAGACCAATGTGCATAAGGCAGGTTTCGAACCAGGGACTCATCTGTTGATAGTTGATTGACATAACCATTGAGATACTGTTCCATATATATATCGAGAGACAAAATTATTTAGTCCATTATCCTATATATGCTAGTCACGAGTATACTTTGGCTGAACAGTTTCCACTGAGGGGGCAGAGATACATCAAGTGCTTGTGTTCACATGATATCTAAGAATCAAGCGGTGGATGAAAGATTATAAACGAGCAAAGAAATCGGAAGAAGCCAATTATGGACCGACTGAAGATCTCAGATATGTACATGTCTAGATTGAAATCACAAATCTATAGATATATAATTTGTATACATTATAATTCGGTTAAACAATCAAACCCTTTATCACATTCAGTGCTCTCATTTGTATAGTGAGTTTGCTTTACTGTAGGATGCGAATACGGTAGCCAAACCAGGCGGTGGAAGGGCACAAAACGAAGTACACAAACAAGATGGTTCCAAAGTTCTTTAATTTTTATAAATTTCCAACGGGATGTTTTTTTTCCAGATGACATCAGTGTTTCACAAAAGAAAAGATAACGATAAATCTTCAGAATTGAAGGTGAAATTACCCAAATACATAAATATCAGCAGGTGGTTGACCGTTAGGTGATATAAGCCATTTATCCAATTGTATATTACCATTAGTATCACTTCGACCATTCACATTCCATGTACCGACATAAATGCGAATTTTTTCAATCTTAGAATATTCATGCATACGTTCAATTAATTTTCTTTGAATAATATTACCAGCTTGATTGAATCGTGCCCGAAAAACACGTGGTTCTAGATATCTTATAGAATCAAATGAAAATAAGGCGATATTATACATAGTGTTAAAGAGATTACAATAAAATATGATGTTGAATTTTGAGTAGATTTGAAAGCATTGATACTGAATCATATTATTTTTTAAGTTAAACAACTTGAAAATGATTCTGACTGTTAGAAATGTGAGCAAATTTAACAATTCAATTCAATAGGTTTAATGATGGTTAGTTTAATCTGTAGGTTGTATCCGTCAAAAATTGAGTTCCTTTGGAGTATAATTGAAGTACCCTTTTATGTCTACAAGAATATGAGACAATACAATTGCTGAGTGTATTTACAAACTAGAAATCATGCAATAAATGTGAAATATTTGAAGCGATTCTAACTCCATGTAGTATTAACACTTAAAAGTATGCGATACCACATTAAGATGATTTTCAAACGGGACCATTACCTAAGTATTTCACCTACACCTCTAATCAACATCACAGTCGATCGACGTCACAAGATGCTGTCCCATACTAGTCGATCACCAACAATAGGTTCATATACCATTTGGTCCGTTAGGATTCTGGAGCCCATGTGCACAAGTGGTTTGAAATTAGAGTTTTCCAACCCTTCTACGTGGATCCTTCGTATCCACCAACCTGACTTTAGCGCTAGACAGTCAGTTTCAGTCCTCTCATTTTCTAAAACAATACAAAAATTATTCAGTAGAAATAGTTGATGATATCAATCATATTGATGCAAATTTATTCATTTTTAATTATGACTAAAATCTTGAGTGATTCCTTGTTATTTATTTAATCACTCTTTTAGAATCAAATTACTGTTTTTTTTCCAATATAATATATTTTAATTATGTAGTTTTACATCAACGACTAATTTTAGTTAGAAAACCAGGAACCATTGGATAACTATTTTTTCCAAGTATATGATTACTTAATAGTATGCATCCACAACCTCATCAAGCATGGAACAAAGAGCTTTCAGGTCAAGTAATGGTCATTTAGCACTATCAAATTGGAATCCAATAGTTCAAACCTAGAACTCCAGCCAATTTGCAATATTACTCAACCAACATTTATGGCTTTGGTAGTAATTGTCACAAATCCTACATGATTGAACTCTATTGAAATCACAGATTCTTATATTAGAACTGGAACTAAAAAAAATCAACTAGCCAACATAATCCTGTACGCAATAATTTACAGATTGGATTTCATGTTATTTATAAACATATATACATCTGTTTTAGCCTAGACTAACAGATTACATTCAGCACAGAATTTATCCAAAATCAAAAAGTATGGCAAAGTGTATCAATTAAGAATATTAATCATAATGAAAATGATGTGAAGAAAAGAAAACAAATCAAAACTCTTATCATATTCTTACTCATTCTTATTTTTACTCAAATGATCATCGTGAACAGTAGAATCGGACGTGAGATCCGCACAGCTATGTGCTGATGTGACTGTCTGTGAAATAAAAGAAATCGAGAAAAGAAAGGGGAAATTTTAAAAGATATAGTCAACATCAAAAAACATTCTGATAAATAATCTTAATCTCCTTTTAATTATGCGGTTTTTACTAATTATCAACAGAATGAGTTAAGTTCTTCTAAAATAAATCTTTGAATATAGAATTTCCTATTATACATTAATATCATTGGGATATTCTAAAAACTATAGGTTTAATTATTAACAATCTATAATTGTAATACTTAAAATATTGTGTTTTATAATCGGCTTCTAGTTAGAATCCTGAACAAAACAGAAAAAATCTGTCAGAAATTCTTTGACAAATAAACAGTAAACAAAATAACAGGTTCACTAAAAATTTTAAAATGTAATAAATACAATTATATAATTATGGTTTGAACTAAAATATTATTTCATCGAAATTATCGACTGATATAAGTTAGACCATTAATGAAAACCTGGGAGCAGTGGACGGGCGTTTTGTAATAGGATAGGACTCCTCATAATGCGTATACATGATTCTGTATGCACAAATCAAACCCACAACCTTCGTTCTTTCAGAAAAACGCTCAAACTCTGGACCACTGATTCAGCATTTAACGATGTTAATGTCAAACATCAATCAATCCACGAAAGTGTGCGAACATGTTTCATGGTCTTCAGAGGGTAACTGTTTCATATCAGATACAGTTGAACTCCACTGGTCACAGCTTCCTAGTAGAACTCTGTAAATTCCCTGTCAAAGCTAGTCATTAGTGAGTATGAAATTGTTATGTGTTCATCTAACCTGTGACAATACGATTCAATGATTTTTTCATTGAAATCGTGAACTGATCTAAGTTAGACTACCACCGAAAAACTAGATGCACTGGACGGCCGTTTCGTCCTGATATGAAACCCCTCAGCAGTGGGCATCCACAACCCGATATGCGCGAACTGAATAAGGATATTTGACACCGCATGAAAACGTTTAACCTCTAACCACTGAGTTGGTATCCAACAGTGTAAATGTTTGACTTCAACGATCCACGGGGTTGTAGATGCACACTGTCGAGGAGTCCCATACTAGGAGGAAACGGTCATCCAGTGTTTTCAGGTTTTTAATGATGTTATAACATAGATCAGTTCATCATGTCAATCAAAAAATAGACCTGATTAAAAGCAACTGAATTCAATAAAAGCTCTAACCCTATTTCCATAAACTTCCTTTGTTCTGCTAATGAGGTGTGGCAACTTGGACCGATGCATATATGTGCCTGGTCCTACGTTGTACCTGACGGACTGACATAAACTTCCTTCAGAACACAATAATACACAAGTAAATTTGACTAGAATTAAAAGTAATGAATAAAAGATTACCAAGCATATTCACACGGCTTATTACAAATGATAAAAACTGTCAAGTTATAAATATGGTGTTATATATTTTGAAATATACCATTATTTTACGGACAATAAATTCACCAAAATATTTCTTCTAAATGATGGAGAAGATTTGTAGCAAAAGTAGATGCTCTAGCATTCTCTAAATTTGTGGACAGCTTCAGTCAGACGGTCTTCATCAACATAGAGCTCGGTATAGATGTGTAGTGGCACAAATTGTTACTTTACATTAGCAAGACAAGATGAAATTAGCACAGTGTATAGTAAAAGAGACCGAAATAATGTGGTGATAAGAGAGACTAAGAACAGAGAATTCGTTCGGAAAGACAAAGTGAAAATGTACATACGGAAAAATATTGAAATTTAAGATTACCACCCATCTCTCCTTATAATGCTTGTGATTTAGGCAATATCGAGGCAATCCACACAAGATGCACATATAATAAAAAACTGATGAGTTGCAGTCCAAAACATCGGTGGGAAGATTCAAACAAACAATACAAAAATGAATTAAATGTTAAACTTGATAAACAGAATTTGATCAATCAGTACAAAAAACTTAATATGAAATTAATTACTAATATGCGAACTATCAATGTGGGAATATTTCAGTCCAATAGAAACTAAACCGGAATCCAACTTACCCACTAGTTAGTGTCACTGATTAGATCCCAAGACCAGAGTCAATTTTCTTTTATCATATTTACTTTTAATGGTCAACTTATCAATTAAACACACGTTCACTTTAACATGAAAAGATCTGTATCATGTTAACAGTACAGTGAAAATGTAACAAATCATATTTGGTGAATATAAAAAAATGTATAGAAAAGCAAGTTACATCATATTAAACAAATATATCAATAAAATGTATTATAACTTACACGGTGTAAATCATTCAAGGGAATAGCCATATCTAGTTGATTTGATGGTGAATTCTTTCGAGTAAGTGGAACTGATCGGTCAATCAAATGATTCGATAGTAGATTATCATTATCATGTAAATGATTTGCCGTATATGGATATAATATTGAAGATGATTGGGAATGACGCAGTTTCGTTGAATGTTTTACAGATCGTTTTAGTTTAGTTTTGTTATAACCATTATTATTAGTATTATTGTTATTATCATCAACGTTAGTAGTAGGTAGTTTTTCAATTTCATTTTGTCGTGTTATTTTAACACTATGATTGAATGAACCAATACTGGAACAACTACTACTATTCATATTTATTGTTTCACTTATACTAGATGTATCATTAGAAGTACTGTGTGGTAAGGATCCACTTAAATGACGATTATGTTTATTGTCGCCATTTAATCCAGCAGAACTAGTGATATTCACCCCTGGTCGAGGTGTATTAATGATAGAGGATGAAGTGGTTGTCTGTTCCATTTGTTTCCTAATAAAAAGCGAATAAAAACATTTTCGAATTGATTTAGAAACTTTAATTCCAAAAACACTAAATTGAAGTTTCATAATAAACACACTGTTGTTAAACCACAATGTTTGAAATAAAACACTTTTTATTTTCAAATAATCCACAAACAAGAGTGTGCTTTTTTTCTTAAGTATCATCATTAGGTACTTTTGTGTCCAACAGTTGATTTGGTTATCTTAATGAAACATAAATAATTTCATATTAAACTGAAGCCAATATCGATCATAATTTATAATGTCCTAATTTTCAATATTTCAGGTATATGAACGGTAAATTTTCACCGAAAATATTTCAAATTTACTGTAATGAATATCTGAGTAGCTAATGAAAATTTGGATACACACACACAATTGTTTGAAAGGCTTTTTGTGTTTACCCATATTTTCGTTGTTCAACTTACAAAAATTATCCTTCTGGATGCATGATAGGCATATGAATAGGTAAATACAGCATAAGACATGGAATAACCATATATATAACAAAATAAAGTCATTAAGCTCAAAAAATTGGAATTTTTTAGCTATATATACGTAATGTTACATCCTAGAGAAGACTAAATTATGGGTAACTTATGAGAACTATTTATGAACTAATACTGTACATATATTCTTATGATATAACAATTAAGAAACTAAACTACATAGTTAATAGTTGGATTCAGGAGTCAATTAGTCTAGACGACAACGGAAACCCCGGACGGCCGCTTCGTCTTAGTATAGGACTCATTAGTGGTACACATCCACGATTCCGCTCGCGGGATTCGAACCCAGGACCTCTCGGTCTCGCGCGTGAACACGTAAGGATGAAACGGCCGTCCAGTGCTTCCAGGTTTTCCATGGCAGGCTAGTTTTACTTGACTCATGAATTCAACCACTAAATTACTATAATATCCACAAAACCCCCTTTCTGATAATAAACTCTTATTATAAGCTTTAATTTGACCCATTGATTATTGTCATACAATTTGCCATTCTTCAGATATTCCCAATTTATTAGTAACAGTTTCTAACAATCACAAACACTTTCTGGTTTGATTTTATGCAATTGTTATTTTCCATTTTATGGTCTGATGTCGTCTGATTTTGTTTGCATATGAACCAAGTATGTTTGAAATATATGATTCGTATCGCGGAGGCTGATATTGGCATCCTGGACTTAACAGGCAGGGCGATGCGGAAAATGGGTCAATCGGAACTCTAGGCTGCTCGTACTGGTGCATGAATCATTAGTTTGGTCGTACAAGTCAGTGTATCTAAATTGGCAATCGTATTTCGTGATAATCGCATAGTTAAGGATATAACACATAAGATAAGATCGCTTGAGTTAAAAAAATGTATTCTCTAATTAACATTATACAACCACGAGAATCTTAAAGAAATTTTATTCTCAACATTGCTTTTACCGAATAATGGAGTAGTTTGAATTATTTGTAGTTCAATTTCAGCCAACGAATTAGATGTGATATATAACGTGACACATATGTGCATCGGACCAAGTTGACACATCGCATCAATACAGAGAAATGACATCAAGCAGACACCAGAGAATTAGAAATATTCACAGTATGAGTAGTAGAAAACACTAGACATAGACACAAACTCGAGAAGGATGAATTTATAGAATAAAAAGAATAAGATGATCTTGAAACTGAAGATCTGAAGAAAGAGAAAGAATAGATACATCTGTGCTAGTGTAAGATCATAAACCACATCACCTGACATGTTCAGTCACTGGTTACGACAATCAAGTGAACCGAAATTAGGTATCTGTCAACTAACAAAACTATTCGGACCAACTGACAAGGACTGATGTCACGTGTCTTGGTTTGGCCACACTTAGCCTTCTAAGGGTATCTTGTCATGTAAATGCGTTGTGGAAACTTGAGGCAGTGTACATACGTCCCAGACTCTACGTTGGTATTGATTGACCCTAGCCTTCTTCCAACTTACTCTTACACCAGAAAATATAGCACGTTGAGGCAGGCAGTGGTTGGGCAAATGTAATACATAGTCTACTTTGGTTCATTTGAAAAATTTACCAACAAAAAAAACTAATTTGAAAAAGTTTATTTACTCGTCGCAAGTTTCATGAATTCGGTTCTAAGTTAGTGCTCGTGTAACAAACTCTACTAGACGCTACTTAGGCAGTGTAATGAAGAAATAGATATGAAGCTGTAACACAAAAAAGTCAAACATTTTAGCAAACAAGCATCTGTTTCATAACTGACAGTTTAAGAATAAAACAATCATTTTAAATTAGTACGTATTAAAATTATTTTGTAAAGCAACACAATTTCATGTTATATACATATACACAATTATCCCAGAAAGTTGATAGTTCACTTCTTAAGCCACTGACCTCATATTGTTAATTTTCTCAGTTATCTACATCAGGTTAAATCTTTCAACGATCCCACGCTAAAAAAGGACTTAGTATCACTTGACAGAATGTTGCCGTCGCATTATGAAATGAGTTGACCCAACTTGATGAAGATTGTAAAAAGTCAACAAGTTCATTTAAAACTATGACCGAGTCGTTACCAACTACACAAATCAACGGAGACATTGGAGGTTAATTAAGGACCGAATAAAAATTTGCGTTATCGTCTCGGACTGTGAGGCCAGATGATATGGTTTTGAATCCTACAGGAAGGATCAGTCCCATCAATATTCCAGGTACACAATATTAACAAGATTAACAAGAAACCTACGTTCAGAGTTTCCTACCAACTAGTAGATACAACCCTGTGATAACTCCAAGTCAGACAGACAGAAATCATCAATATATAGCCTGGCAAAAATGTGCATTGGCACAAGTTCCCACACCTGATTAGCACGACAATATGGGGATAACAAGAGATTAAAATAATGCAGATCATATTAATACTGAAGTTTTAAACTACACACAACACTCCAAATATAGAACGTACCAATATTTTTGTAACCAAAACGTTTGTTCAGAAGAAGAGGAATTCAAAATAGCTAAAGCTTCTTTACCCATCTCATAGGTTGTCCGCTCTTTAGATGACTTAGCATAATTAAATTCCGATAACTTTGTTCGATATCCGGAAGACAAATGAAGAGTTTTCTTCCGAAATTCCATGGCATCATCTACATTATTAAATTCCAAAGTAAAATTGACACTCTAAAATGAATTAAAAATTAGAAATTTTATTTTCAAGTGAACTACATAATAAAAAAGTATAACTATTTAATATAACCATATATACTACTGATTTATTGCATTAGTGTAAAATGAGTAGTAATGAGGAACAAAAGAGTTAGAAAATAAGTCTGAAGAGTAACAAAAACGGAACATCTAACAGAAAAAGTTGTACAACCAAACATATGAGAACATGATTCTGTTTGAAGATGTATACTATGACGTATAATCTTTTAGACACCTTGGATAATATAATGGAATTGTTTAAAATGTATTTCTTTCCTTTTAAGTACAAAATTTTTTAAAAGTCAGTGGTCAATGACTAGTCTAACAAAACTGTGCAGTAGTAACTGAGACGGTCGATTGCACATAACTTAACAGATTGTTGACTAATAAAATCTCAGAACGGATACAAAACGTTTGTTTGGCTTTTTTTCAAGATATAACACTAGTGGTACAGGTCATTTATCCATTCACCTATCAAACAGTGCATATATTGAGCAACAATCTGCTCTGTATTACTCAAAAGCTAAATTGGCCCTTGAACACCTTGAATAAAACTTTCACAAGAATTAGGACAACAGATATAAACGAACAATATTGTTTTCAATTAGATCCTCATCAGGATTTACTTTAATATACAGTAATATTTATATGCATACACGAAATTATAGAACTAATCAAGGCAGTTTATGAATCAGTGATAACAGTGGAATAGATTGCATAAATAAAAATAAGTAAAGAGTACAACTTGGTAGTATGACGGCAGGGATACTAGCTGTGATAAGAATCAATGTTTCATAATAGGAAGTAGGCCAATGACTTGAAAAATATAGATGCTGAAACAACATTCATAAAAACTATGAGATTACGTAGTAGGAAGTCTTTAAACAATTGGGTAATGAAGCGTATATTTGGAAAAAGGGATGAGAGTGTGAAGAAAAGTAAACGAACAAAGAGTACGGGAAATAATAATGAATAAAATCTTTTATTAAGGCCTGAGAAATAATGCTGGCATCTGCTGGGATCACCGGGTAAGTAATAGTGAGGTTAGACGCAGGGTATTAGGGAATGATGGTAAATCAGTTGATGAGGTTATGAATCTTCATCGACTGAGATGGTTGGGCCACGTATTACGTATGCCTGAACACCGATTACCACGATGTGCAATGCTAACCGGTGTAGGGGATGGTTGGAAGAAAGTTAGGGGTGGCCAAACCAAAACGTGGCATCAGTGCCTGAAGTCACTAACTTCTAGTCTGAGCCATGTTGGTAGATGCAGACTACTTGGTTGGAGTCCGCGTGACTATCGTAACCAATGGTTGGAGACTCTTGGTGACATGGCTCAGAATCGATCACAATGGCGTCGGTGTATACACTCCCTGTCTTCCCTTAAACTAAGAGATTAAAATCACTTCATATCTTTCTTTCTACGAAATAATTCTTTCTTCCTATACTATATCCTTATTGCAATCTTTCTCCTATATATTACCACCTTTGACCTAACCACTCCTATGAATCCGGTATTCATCTTGCTGTGCTAATGAGGTATGGCAACCTGGACCGATGCACATATGTGCCTGGTCCTACGTTGTAGCTGACTGACTGACTGACTGATTTCGGCCAAGAATGACTAAACAGAAACCACTGACACTCAAGTACCGACAATTCCATGGATTTCCCAAGAATCCTCCCAATCACTAATTTTTTCTTACTTGCCTTACAATGCACCCAGAAATTTTAAGCAATTCTCATATCACATCATTATAAATGTAAAGCATTTATGGTGTAAAGCACTAAATAAACATTTAAAGATACTGTACGAAACTGATAATAATAACAGTTTTTCAGTATTATCCAAGATGTAAGATACACTATATCCATCGGTTTGATATTATCAGTAAAAGCCTACTGTGACAGAGAACAAATCAGCTTCCAGCTGAAGAGGAAATTAAGGTAAGAGGCTGGAAGTGGGTAGAACACATTGAAGAAATCATCAAATCGCATCACAAGCCCTAACTTGGAATCCTCATAATGAAAGGCAAAGAGGCAGATCAATGAACATATTGTGCAGACAAATGGAATCACATATCAAAAAAGAATAAATAGCGCTTGACAACAACTGAAAAGGAAAGTGCAGCACAGGGATGATTAAAAAATTATGACCAACGGTCAATGTTCCAAAAAGAGAAAAAGACTTAAGTCCTTTATCGACAACTGAAATACAAAGTGAAAGATAACACATACGAGAACACTAGATCTCTATAGAATAAATATTCTATTAGGAATTAGTAAGTTATCACAAGTATTCACATTTGTCCTGAAGAAAATTTCATCGTTAAAACAGTAAAAGTATAATTTACTGGTAAATCTTTCAGATTTAAGACAGCCACACTTCGGGTTTTGAGCGAAATTTAAAACGCAGTAACGGTAAGCTTTTACTTTGTGTAAGAAAGAAGTAAAATTTACCAATATATAGATACCAGGATGTGTAAAATTGATAAAAATGATTAATTTGAAAAACAGAGATGAACCCGAGTAAATCACAAAATGTGTTGGGCAAGTGTAGTCCCCAAGTACAACTTATAAGAAAGGAAATCAATTTGAATTAAGATGAATTTCTATTAACATTACATTATTATCCAGTATGAACTCTATCCACGGACTTTCAATACAATTTTACTACGATTTATGTTTGGTGACAAATACTTAATTCATCAATCCAAATCATTGATTAGCTAAAATGTACTTTAGAAGTGATGTACCGAGGTTATCATCAAAAAGCTTCAATTATTATACTGGTCTTTTTGTACTGGTTAGTGCGGCAGTGAAAAAGTGGATAGTAGTCATATTCACTGTATTGAATTTGCAGTTGCGAAATACTAGCACAGTGAACAAATTGATCAAACGATAATGAAAAAGCGATTAAGTTGTCGAAAAAAAAATGATAATAATAAAGAACTAGTATTAAAATGTACATCGTGTTGTAATGTGGTTTATAAATTTATCAAAATAACTTATAGGTTCTTGAGATTTAAAATCAAATGACCGTTTGCATAAGTACTTATTGACAAAAGTATAAAGTATAATCTCACACCAAAGTCAACTCCCAACCCAAACTTTTAACTGTAAATTTTACCGTAAAACTATTAATCAAACACCTAAACCTACTCGTAATTCTTTTTGAGTTTTTAACTAATAAATTATTTTTACGGTTGAAATCACGATTTGATTGCGGCTAGACTACCGCTGAAAACCTGGAAGCACTGGACAACCGTTTCATCCTAGTATGAGACTACTAATCAGGGAGTGTCCACGACCCTGAACACAAGAATCGAACTCAGAACCTTTGGTCCCGAGCGCTAATGACAAACCTTTAAACCACTTGCTCGACATACAACGATGTTAATGTCTAACTTCAACCAGCCCATGATCTTGTGCAACCCTTCATCTGATGAGTGCAGTTTATAACAATCTCACACTCAACACGCGTGCAAGGCCAAAGGTCGTTGGTTCGACTTCAGTGTGGGGAGTTGTGGATGACCACTACAGATGAGTCACATACTAGGACAAAATGGCCGTTCAGTGCTTCCAGGTTTCCAGTGGTGATCTAGCTAAGATCATTTCGTGATTTCAACTGTGAAAATATTACAAACTCTATAAATCCCACACACTGAGAAATTATTTGTTTAAATCACTCGGATGCTGACAGGCTAAAAGTTAGATTTACTTACTCTTTAGGGCACTTTAAAAGTCGCTGAAAGTCATCATCCGTGAAGTATGATTTAACTGTAAATACTAATATGAAAATATATATCAGTAATTTAGGGTGAAATTCTACAGAGGTAAAAGAAGCTTACAGAAAATTGAATATTTTCTTTATCTATTGGTTTCTGGTAGTTACTTTTTAGACTTTTCAGAAACACTGGATTCTTTGAATATATTTCATTATCCGAATCAATATCACTTGTGTCATTCACTTTAGGATGTGATGAGTCATTGTCACGATTGGAAACAACATAAAGTTTAAGCTGTTGATTTGTACGTTTCTTTTCATCGGCAGATATGTTGACCAATCGCTTTCCAGTAACAAGAAGGCAGATACCAGAGTCTAGAAAAGATAAAAGTTTTCATGTGGTAAATACTACATGTAATTCCCATAAAAACACAGGTTTTTAACATTTATTCACATAAATGCGTTATTCACAACATTAGCTGCGTATGACGGAACTACTGAATAATTCTGAAGTTTGATGAGATATGTAACCCACTCAGTCTATCTAATAACTACTCAAAATGAAATCGTAAAATATTTTATCCATAAATTTTAGACGCACACTAAGTCGTTCTTTTCTGATAAACCCATTAGGACCACATTTTCTCAAAATCCAAAATGGTCGTAGAGGAGTAGCAACTTCGACGATGGCGAGAAGATAAAACGTGAAAGAACGAAGTAACCGAATTTAATTTCGACGACCCCCAGAAAAGTTTAAAACGAAGAGAATAGCAATGAGATAATTGCATTATCATAAGTGAGGTGGGAAGGGAGTGTAACTTGAACGGGACAAGACTGATCTACCCTAAATTTTGTATAGTACATATTTTATGACCTTGGTTAGTGTATATATTGAACACATTGCGGTACTTCGCTTAGTAAAATATATTTTACCCCTGTTATTTTACTAGTAACATAAGGTAATAAACAATTTTCAACATTAATAAGTAGTGAGTAGTTGGGAACGAAAAATGTGAGACAACTTTGTTTTATATCAAAGCTTTAATAGTTCAATGTTTGTATGTTACAGTGAGAGAGATGTGAGTTTAAAGAGTGGATTGCCCCTAAACTTTGGAGAGTTATTCATTAGATTAGTGATTTACACCAGTTACCTATTCATTAGATAGTTATCAGCTTCTATCAAAGCACCAATGAGAATATCAGCGATTAATAGAATGGAGATATAGTCTAAAGACAATTACCAGATAGAATATCAAATAAATACCGTTAGAAGTTACTTTCAGACGAAATGAAAATACTGAATAAAAGTAACAGATTAAAAAGACAATATGTCGAAATTGGATAATTTAACTATGTCGTTTAATTCGGATTTGCGACATTTAGAAACTCTTGTAATTTATATTAATATTCAAATGTTTTATTCGGTCGCACATTGATTTTAGTTAGGCTACTGCTGAGAACTAGGGAGCACTGAACAGTTGCTTCGTCCTAATATGGTGTCAGTCTGCAACTAATATAACCTACAAATTAAACCACAAAATTCCTTCAAATAAACAATAATATTCGGATCACTAGTGACTTCATTCAAGATGTTTTCGCAACTCTAGTTGGAAATAGTCACTAGTGGAGGCTTAGAAATGTTAGGAGTGGAACAGTTATCATAAGTGAGACTGTATGATCCTAGAGTTGTATCACAAACTGATTGGACATAGAACTGTACCAAGTAGCTCAAATGGTAAGGCATTCACTGAGAGAGAGAGAGAGAGAGTAAAAACCACTTATATAATTGTACAGTCCAAAATATATGAGTAGTTATACGATAGCGAATAGTTTAAATGTGATTAGATTGTTGCTTTCCAATGCCCCATTGTTGTTCTTGTAAATATTAATTTTTAAAATAAGACATTTTGCTCAGTGTATTATTTCAGTCGATAGCATATCGTGATTTATTTGATAGTAAAGATTTCGAATTGATTAAATTTTTCCCTCTTTTTGCTTATATGAAGAAAAATTGTATAAACTATTAATGATCAGTTGGTCATATTCAACATAGAGCCTGTCACAAATATGCATTACCCTAAATTTATAACATCAGCATTAGCACACAAAAAATGAAAATAACGAAATGAATAGCAATAGACAAAAATGATAATGATAAGGCTAAACACTCAAAATTTAATTCGAAAAGACATGTATGAAGGAATACGGAAGCCCAAGATCTAGAGTAAGATAAAGAATAAATCAACCTGCAACACTGTGATCGATACAGAATTATATCATTCAAAATCCCTAACCACTGTGTAAAAGATACCTACTATCCTTGTTAAACTCATGACTGAACAATTAACGAACATGTTTTTGGACTAATACATAGGCAAACTGATTGCGCTTAACATAAATGTTGAACAGTATCTCACACGATATACATCGAAATAACCGAGTCAGATGAAACAGTTAAAAACCGAAAACAATGGATAAGGGTTGTGCAGTATCGTGAATGGGTTGAAGTTAGAAATGAACACCGTTGGATACCGAGCAAGTGATTTAGACGTTAATCATAAGTGCGAAAAAACCAAAGGTCTTGAGTTTGACTTCTGTGTGCAGAGTCGTGGATGCTCATTGCTGAATAGCCTCATACTATGACGAAATGGCTGTCCAGTGCTTCCAGGTTTTCAGTGGTGGTCCAGCTACGATCAGTTCGTGACTTAAAAACTGGAACTTCAACAATCCAAAACATACACTCACAACCTCAGTCAGTTAGTCAGTCAGCTAAAACGTAGGACCAGGCACATATATGCATCGGTCCAAGTTGCCATACCTCATTAACACAACAAGATGAATACCGGATTCATAGAAGTAGTAAATTCAGTGGTAGTAATATATGAAAGAAAGATTGAATATAAGGATATATTACAGGAAGAAAGAATTATTTCGTAGAAAGAAAGATATGAAGTGATTTTAATCTCTTAGTTTAAGGGAAGACAGGGAGTGTATACACCGACGCCATTGTGATCGATTCTGAGCCATGTCACCAAGAGTCTCCAACCATTGATTACGAAAGTCACGCGGACTCCAACCAAGTAGTCTGCATCTACCAACATGGCTCAGACTAGAAGTTAGTGACTTCAGGCACTGATGCCACGTTTTGGTTTGGCCACCCCTAACTTTCTTCCAACCATCCCCTACACCGGTTGGCATTGCACATCGTGGTAATCGGTGTTCAGGCATACGTAACACCTGGACCAACCATCTCATAACATATAATAATGATAATAATCTAAACTTGCGTGAATACATATATCCCTTATTAACTTTGCTAGACTTTAGGAGTACAATGGAGCGAAATGGTGGAAAGAAAGAAAAAGAGAGTAAAAGATTATGTAACCATAGTAATTCAAACCCATTCACTAACAAATTTTAATATGCACATCAAAACAGTGCAATAATCGATCTTATGACCTGACGAAAACAAACATCAACATGGTAAAAGTAGAAAACTTATAGCAGCAAACAAATGTAAGTTTATATGTCATTATAAAAATGCTGATTAGTTAACTATATAAACGTTGGTGTTAGTTAATTAGGTTTTAACAAAGACAACATTTATATGCTTTAACAAACCTACAACTCCACAGGTGTCAAATGACTGTAGCACTTAGCAGAACATAAAAACAATGTTTTGTTAATAAACTTAGTATAGTTGAAAAACATTTTTGTCGCAACAAGCACAGTTGTCCTTATTAATTGAATATGTATAATTACTTTGCTGAAGCTTACAAATGTAAGATTGTAAATACATGAAATCCTGTAAATCCTTACATAAATTTTATTTAATATAAGATTGTACACACTTTATGTGAAACCTGAAGTGCAATTACATGAACGACGAGACTATAAGTTATGAACGAACCAATCAGATTACAGATGGATCTTGGATTTTAGCGCGAAATTTATTCACTTATTTGGCGAAATACCATTTTGGCATTATAGCTGGTGTTAGTTCGTGATGAACTTATTAAATCTAATTTCTAACCCTGACGTCCAACCGTAAATCCTAATCCTAATTCATCACACCGACATATAAGTTCCATTTAATCCTAGTAAGTAGCTGGACATTCCAAGGTCATTTTAGCGCTGCTCAAAGGTCGTCCATAAATTATAGTCTCACCGATTTGAGACCTGAAACCAAGTGATACTTGTAAGCTAGTAATTTAACCAACCACTAACTATTATGCAAAACATTATTTTCAGCTGATAATATTATTAATATTATTATTATTCCGCGAACCTAAATTACTTTCAACATGACAACAAAAATAAAAGCGGGACCCAGATAACAGGCAGTCAGTCAGCCACTCACAAGCAACATAGAATCTGGGCATATACGTGCATCGGATTAAGCTGACATACTATATCAGGGCGGCGAGATACCAGAGTAGTGAAAGTAGTAATAATATCAACGGTAGTAGAAAATGGAAAGCATAAACAATACAACTTAAGAAAAAAATTCGTGGAACAAAAAAGCACAAGAACTTTGGAACTCATGATCTACGAGAAGATAAGGAGTAAACGTGCCAGTGATATTTTGACCGATTCTGAACCATATCACTTAACTTCTCCAACAATCGGTAACGATAATCATGCGAACCCCAACCGAGTAATCAAGCCCTACTAACACGACTTGGAACAGCTATCAATGACTTTATACATTGATGTCGCGTTTCAGTTTGCTATATGTACCTAGTATGATGAGTTCCACCTCAGCATTGGTCACTCGGTTTGCCAACATTAATAAAAACCAAGTATAACCAACTCTCATTAAGATCTGAAATTACTGATCTCTTCAATTTTCTTCCATTAGGATATATGTACTGGGAAAATAAAAATGAAAATAAATGACAAATTTCCAAGGTGTTCAAGTTCCAGTTTAAAAAACATATAATCTCAGATCGTAAGTTGTTAACAGCATTGCTACAATGGCCAGAAAAGACGGATTGATTGCTCAATGATCTACAACCTTATTCTCTGTCAATTATTTATTAATAGACAAGTAACTAATGACCATACTACCTCAATTTCCTAATATAAATTAACTTAGTCAGTTACCTCATGATTTGGTCATTTGGTGTTGATTCAGTTTGAATTTAAAAACTCGGTTTTGGTTACCTCATCTATTTGAGCAACCGTATCAATCAATTGAGAAATTACATAAATATTTCAGTGTGATATTGAATACAATTTGCTACTAAAATATCGGGTACTAATTAAACCAGCAAATTTTGTTTATAATGTCTCGACTCCACGATTCTCTTTCGAGATTATGATGGTTGGAATAAAATAACTGTAAATTTACTTCAAAAACAAAGAAATATCTTACTTGTTGCCTCACAAGAGAAGTCTTCATCCAAAACAATCAAATCAATTAATGCTGGAATATCCGATTGATCCGAAATCAAATTCTTGGCTCGAGAGAAAATAAATAGGCTAGTTTTAAAAAATCCCAAGAAAAAGCAATAAGAAATAAAGACGGGAGCAATAAAGAGCTCACTAATTGGAGAAAACTGAAGTCATCACACCGAAGTCTCTGAAATTCTTTTAGAGATATCTCTAAACGAAATCTACACATTTATGACGTCTTCTTTTAAAAAAAAGAAGCTGACATTGAACATTTGGTTGTAACAATAATGCATATACGCATTTCCCTTAGATATTTTATCGCTTGGGTCCTTATAGCTATTTAACATACAGAGCAAAGGGATATAGGTAATGTCTTACAGTCTATGAATAGCCAGTTGTTATAGAGTGTGGGTGTAATTTTTTGAATGGATGGGGATTGCGATCGTCAAAATTAATTAAAGTGCTGACCGGTATATAAACCCAATGGTAAGATAAGGCCGAGTGATAACTTTATTTGGCTGGAGTATTGGCCACAAACTCCAAATGAACTGATATTAAACAAAAAATCATTTCGCCAGAAGAAAAGGTTTTTGTCTAATATGAAGCCCAAGGATTAGGCATATCATTAACAAGTGATTAAATAATGAGTGACCTACAAACTAATTTCTCCCAGTCGCCTACGATATTTAATCATGTCTATTTTGTGTTTATATTTTTAATATATAAACAAGTTATTTTATTATACGAAAAACTGCCCATCTGGATAAAGGTCTTGTCTTTCATTTCTAATTATCTGGCAGTCTAGGTCAATAATATGATCTCGTATTAGTAGCAGTAGTCGGTTAGCTGGTGATAATAGAGACATTAGTGGCATCACAAAAGACTACTCGATACCCGAATTGCTGTGCATATCCAACCGGAGTTAAGCTCCGCTACCAGAGTAGTCATTGAAATCACTGACGAATTTGAACTTCCTTCACATTTACAACCGATCTCTGAGTTGTCTACAACTTCCAGTCGTTTGTTTTATATTACAACGTAGTATGAGTACAATAATGTCCACAAGCCAATACACAAAATATTTCACAAATCCTACCTACGAATCAAGTAGTGAGAAAGTGAGACTAAATGATAGAAAGCTCACAGTTCAAACAAATGTGTTGTGAACATTAATTTTGAAAATAACATGAAACAAGAATTTCGCGACGAAGTACAAGTTTCGAGGTAAATCCTGAAGTTACAACTTTATGGTTTCGATCAAATTTAACCTATTTATTAAAAAGTGGATCAGTTTACTCAGAAAAATGAGTACCCATATTACAGCAAATAGCTTCTTAGTTGTTAGACAATATAAAAAACTTGTTTCTCAATTTTTAAATCATATCACATGGTATTTGTACTGCTTTACGTCACCTGGGGAAGAACTGAAGGTGCGTCTTCAATAAACACAAGCACGAGCATAAAACTATTAAAATGGCAAAGCAAATTTAAGTTACTTTTATGACCTGTCTGAATACTAGTGTAACTTAAAACTATTCATTACTGAATTACGAGTAGCACTTCATAGTCAGTAAATTTCAGCCCTCATAAAATAAAAAAAATATTAAACATACGCGCTTTTATCAGAAGAACGATTCTGGACGACAGAAACTATGGTCTCAGTTCGTGACCTATCATTTAGTATATTTACAGGGAAAGCCTAAAACAAAGGAAAATGAAACAACAAACCGAACGTTTATATTAAGCAATTCTATACTATTGTCTCTCAACAAATGGAGTACATTTTGCAGTAGTACTTGTAATATATACTAAAGATTACTTTTTTGGAAATTAATTGTTTGTACGGAATTGTGTTCGGGTAGTGAAGATCAACCACATGAAGCAAATTTATATAATTTTACGACTGCTGCTTTGGGTTCTTTGCTCGAATTTGCCCACTGTAGTCCCAAACAGTTGCACAGAGACGTTTCTTCCAGCCAGAATGACAAAAAGAAACCTTTTCCATTAGATATCACAATAACACAAAAAACACATGAGAAATAGTTGGAGGTAACGCCAGTACATTTTACTGAGGGACCGAAGTGCTAAGTCATATTGCTGTTGAATATCACTACCCCACTCATTTTGCGCAGTGTTCCCTAAAAAAGACTTTTCACTGTATATAGACCAATGAAAAGTTGCTAATGTGGTGTGGCAACTCAAAATGATGTACGTACGTACGAAGTTCTACGTTGTTACTGACTGAATGAATGAAAAGTTCACTAAGTTAGTCAGTAACTTTTAGTGTGGAATCAGCAGTGCATAGCCACTAACACAAAAATGATTAGTCTAGTAGTCGATTTTTTTAAACTTCGTTATATAGCTCCGGTACCTTTGCAACCTTTAAGGCAAACAAATCTCAGGGACTTAACTACACAGGATAATAATGAGTGGGAAAAGTGCTACATCTTAAGGCAACAACCTATAGGCGTTTTCCACCACAGTGGTTACATACGCATAATGCACATTTTGACCACTGGGTTTCTGATCTATCACTAAGTGTATTTATAAACTAATTATATATATATATATATATATATATATATATATATATATATATATATATATATATATAAACATGTCTTAAAACAGACGTTTTAGCATCACGAATACAAAGAGTTACTGTCAAAACTCTTGCCCGAGGAAAGCATACTAAATTAGCAAAATTACTTCGTCGAATTGTAGTACTAAACATATTCGCTCCACAGAATATTTGAAGTAGGAACAAAGTACAATATACATATTTCTACGTAAAGACTCACAAGTGCACAAAAATCATCAAGTAGATCCTGTTTGTTTACATGGGAATCCAAATATGACTGTACAACATTTTTACACTTCAATGTGTAGTGAATTAAATCCATCTAACTAACAATACCACACTTTGTCATAGCAACCCTGAGAAAACCCAAACCCGCCAAAAGACATCTTTGAATTATGCGCTAAATTCACGTAAAACTCTAAATCCTGTTTTTTTCTATTTCGATATGGACATGAGTTTTGGTAGATGTTCACTAGAAAACTTATGACATGATTACGGCTTCACTTATTCGTAAATCTCAAGGATCAAGTTTAGTTCCCACTAAGGTTGTGTGTATTGTAATGAACATGATAGTACCTAACTTGTTAAATGTCCATCTTTAAGCCCATAGGGTACTAAACTCCTTATCGATGGCCTCACATCAGAAGGCCATAAGATCATAGCTCACTGTCATCTCATGATCCTTGTGAACCCGGATCACGGGAACAGGCACTTCCCCTACACCGTGCTTATTTACCATTGTCTCCCCAAAGTGCATGTACACACACCTGGCAGCATTGATGGGCGTCAGCCATTTTTCAGACCAGCCAGTCAGAATATTTAAGTCTGCCTGAAGTGTACATGCATCTGTGTCTCCTGTTATTTCGCTCCATATTTTTACATCATCAGCGCATAGTAGCAGTGGGGACTCAATCATACTTGAGAGTTCATTTACAAACAATATGAAAAGTACACAACCTAGGACAGAAAGTTGTGGCACTCCGCTAAGTACTTGTTTCCAAGTGCAGCACTTGTAATTTGTTCTTACTTTCCAGCTTCTATAGCAGTCTTTTTCTTCGCACCGATGTGACTTTATCATATGGACTACCTTTAAGATACCCTAGTGACATTGAGAATGCCCACCTACTTAGTAGGGCTTAGTCAGGGCTATTAACCAATGGCAGGAATTAGGGTCATAATCTACTGTTAACAGTTAGGCTTAGGAATCAGATTTAGGATTTTTATTACGAAATGACATCAGCTAAAATGCCAAAACATTACTTAGACAAATAAGTGAATGATTTTCGCGCCAAAATCCAAGATCCATTTCTAATGTGATTGGTTTGTTCATAAATAAAATGTTTTGCTGAAGTCTATGTAGACAACATAAACTGAATTTACATTATCTAGAGGCTCTATCCATTTCTCTCTTGCTATGAGGAGATCTTTTGTGCAAGATGACCCTTTCCTGAAACCATGTTGTTCTCTGTTTAAAGTGTTATTAATTCCCACAAATGTCATTATGGTCTTTTTGATTATTCTTTCTAGTATTTCAATTGTGACCTAAATGAGGCAGACAGGTTTGTAGTTTGATGAGGGTTGTCATGACCCTATTTTATGTATTGGAGTGATGATTGCATCCTTCCAGTCCGTAGATAACTCACAGTGACTAAGCGATATATTGAATATCGTGGTCAGTGGGGCAGCACTATTTTTCGAAATTATTCTCACTATTTAAGAGCACAGTTCAACCGGTCCTGGTGACTGCTCCGTGTCTAAAATGTGAAGGGCCTTAAATTAATCTTCGCGATCGAAGTCCACAATAAGCAGACGAATTTTCGACCTTGTATTTGTATCTGGTCATTCGCAAAGACCTGTAGCGTTCTTTCGTAATTTCTGTCCCAAGGCTGATAACGATGTTAAAACATTTCTTCTTTTGTATTAGTAAACGTTGGGTATCACGGTCTATCCGGGGATGGCCGTGCTTCTTCTCCTTTGAGACTGTTTAGGGCGTAAAAATTTGAGTTACTTGAAAACTGCATAAAACTAGCTCATGTCACTTCTGCTGATGCCCGTGGGTACATTAAGGTCACCTATCATAAAGCTTTTACATCTGTTTGATAAAAATTCGGTTTTATCTAAGAGGAAGACATCCCATACATATAGTGGACTTATGTATACTACGACTAATTCAATGTCTTTCCTCTTACATATCACGCACTTCTGATGTTGATCGCCTTTCTAAGATGGCAACGACAACAGGTTTTTCTGTATCTGCAACTGTTTTGAGCTCCTCCATCATCACTGACATATATTTCGGATCCAGTCAGTTTTCATGTGTTTTCCAGCGTTGGGTAACTCTTGAGAGTCGGCATTTTTGTATACTTTCGGAACCCATTTTTTGTTTTATTCTGTGGGACTTATAGATGTGAACTGCTGCCGCTCTTTCTGGAAGTAACTTGCTTATTAAGGACATAATAAGGCTTAGGTCATTTTCAAATCTAGCCTTTGGTTCGTTTTCACAGAATTCTCCAAATTTAAAAAAGGTAACTGATTCATCAGTGAGGACCCTACTAAGAAGCTGTGAAGGTTTAATCCTGAAATGTTATCCCGGCAGTTTGATTTGAAGTCAGACGTTAGGGTTTCACCCTGTTTCCTTATTTTCTTTTTATGAGCACAACTATAAGCCAATCATCGACCTTATGATATCTCCCGATCACATCATCGACATCGCTCACGCTTCCATAGTCCGCTTTTCATTGTTATGCGAATCCGGATCTGAAACCCTCGACTCTTATATCTAAGAGCTCCCTACAATTTGTTTCTTCTCAACGTAAAATTTCTTTTTTCTTGAAACCACTTCTGCATCTGTGTGTTTGTTATCCGCTACGCTATTGAAGTCCACCTTGATGGTTTCATTCAAATCCATAACTGGACTAAGGAGTGTCCTCTTTGTAAACTGACACTCAAAAATAGCATCAAGAGCTCAACAAATTAAGTTTAGGCACTCATCTACAATAAAGTTGGCATACATTTGTAAACTTAGTCTCACTTCTGCACCACCTGAATTTTCTGAAGTCGAAAGTCTCGTAAACCGTATATCTTAAATTAATAGAGAATCAAATGAAGTAGTCGTTTACGAGTAAACGGTCTCTTGACCATAAATGTCAAATAAAAAAGCCTTAGAAAACGGCCTTACTACCTCAATACAAAACCTAGATGTAATTAAATAAAATTGATTCAGTTTGTTTGGTAAGAGGTGTCTATTCACCACATGAATTTGTAGCGGTAACTAAACTATTTTCAATAATTTCTCACCAGGTTCTACAATTATAAATCCAGATAATAATTATAGAACCTGGTGAGAAATTACTGAAAAAAAATACTTTTCGTTCATATAATTATGTTTTAATATAACGGTAATTTTTCAGCGAGTAAATAAGCCCCCAAAATAAATAGTTCTGTAGGTCTTCGACAGATGAACCTGAAATTTAGACTTGTTTCACCTGGTCTTAATATAGATTTGTTAAATAAATATAACTATATAACCAATCATTATTACCAATGCTCACTATTTATAGCACATGTACTCCTGAGGTGAATGACTTTGGATTTGCTTGATTTTATTTATGGAAGGTATGAAGCGCTAAATGAATCCCCAAAATCAATAGGCTTGCAAGTCTTCAATATTTGGTGCTGATCACACTAGATTTAATGGAGCGCTCAGTCACGCTTTCGCACCAGATCACGAGTGGGAACGCCGTGCACAATTTCTCCTGCAAACGATAATCAGTTTAGACCAGTCACTTCTCGATATGCTAATAACCTATCAAATGTGTCTTCAAACCTCCGTGCTTCAGACTTTTCATTTCACTGGGTGGGCACGTTTCGATTATAGGTGTTACTGGTTGGTTTTGTCAAAATAAAAATACTTGAGGCATCTTCATTGGTGAGCCGACGTGATCTGGTACACCGACTTGCAAATTATGAGTCTGTTCCTTTTTGGAACATCGTATACCACTTCTTTAACTTTTATATAATATGATATTTTTTCGTACTTTCTGATACTGAAGTTCAAAAAGCTATAGCTAATCTGAAACGAGGAAGAGCAACTGGTCTAGACGGATTGGCTCCAGAGGTCATTAAATATGGCGGTCCAGTTTTAGCAACCAGGTGAACTAACCCCATGTGAATGACCGCAATCACTGGTTGTCCCAATATACACGAAGGGGTAAAAATAATCCTATGAAAACCACAGAGGGATAAGTTTGACTAATATAGCATCTAAAGGGAGATTGATTATTGGTGGTAATCTTAAGTGCTGGTAAAATGGTGAGGGCTGTTGTCATTTCGCGTCTGCCTGCACCGCGAAGGTGTTCCTATAGGGGTACCTGAAGTAAAAATTGGATTAAAGGTGGTCTTAGTGACCTGAGAACGTGACCGCAGTGCCAAAGGAAAAACTGCTTGAGGTCGGTCACATACGACCTTTTTGTGAGTAGTTTTTGTGCTTGCTACATATTTGTTGGAACCTTACCACCGGAGAGCGTAAGCCGTGGGATAAGGTGAGGTGTGCATTTTTAGGTTCTACCTTCTCTAACCACACCCCTTCTTGTAGGAGGGCAGGATCGCTGTCATGTGGGTTGACTGAAGGAAACACCTTACTGCCATCACACCTCTGTACAGTCGAAAGTACGACTTCGCCCTCAGACCTTGGGTTTACTGCTTTTAGTCTTACCGCTCTTCAATCTACTTGTCTGGCATGATAGGAGCTTGAGGAACAATTGTTCTTGCCAGTATAGCTAGATTGGTTTACTACGATAGGCAAGGCCGGCCACCACGTCAACGTAGCAGAAACGGTCAGGTGGCCATTAAGTGTAGAAGATACTCGTAAGTTACTAGTACTTGACGACAGATGTTTTATAAATATTGCTCGCATCTGCTGAGATCACCGGGTAAGTAATAGTGAGGTTAAACTCAAAGTATTTAAGAATTGTAGTAAACCAGTTGATGATGTTGTGAATCTTCAGCGACTGAAATGGTTGGTTCAGGTGTTACGTATGCCTGAACACCGATTACCACGATGTGCAATGCTAACCGGTGTTGGGGATGGTTGGAAGAAAGTTAGGAGTGGCCAAACCAAAACGTGGCATCAGTGCTTGAAGACACTAACTTCTAGTCTGAGCCATGTTGGTAGATGCAGACTACTTGGTTGGAGTCCGCGTGACTTTCGTAATCAATGGTTGGAGACTCTTGGTGACATGGCTCAGAATCGATCACAATGGCGTCGGTGTATACACTCCCTGTCTTCCCTTAAACTAAGAGATTAAAATCACTTCATATCTTTCTTTCTACGAAATAATTCTTTCTTCCTGTAATATATCCTTATATTCAATCTTTCTTTCATATATTACTACCACTGAATTTACTACTTCTATGAATCCGGTATTCATCTTGTTGTGTTAATGAGGTATGGCAACTTGGACCGATGCATATATGTGCCTGGTCCTACGTTTTAGCTGACTGACTGGCTGGTAGATAGTGTTACCGCTTAAAGTGTTGTCAAACTAAAATACATGTGGAATTTTCAGGTATAAGAAAACATAGTTACAAGACCTCGTCAACTCTTAGTTTAGTAAGTCTCCTGATGAAAAATTGCGCCCATATGCATTGCGAGACACAGAACTACACAATGGGAGTTGGTCTAATTACTTGTAAACCATTATTACAAAAGGCATAAAAGAATTCACTTTTCTATCCGTAGTAACGTAAGGAAAATATATTGGGGACACACCCTCACATTCCTAAAACTTATTGTGATTGTTAAGAAGCAGAGCATTGTGATGGCCCTTAAATCCCTAAAATAGACAGTGCTATAATTTTCGACAATGAATTTGACCAGTCATTCTGTTGGATACACCCTAGCTGGAGACACTCGGACCCGGATCAACGCTAAATCACGATCGATGCTCCATACTACACATCTCTTATCTTTGTTTCTAGGGCATTCACCGACAACAGCGTAGTCAAGCACTGAATATCTGTGATAACCATTAACAAAATATATATCTCAGTGCCTGGAAATCCGTTCATAGAGCTCTTATAGAAGCTCCATTTTTCTGGCAGTTGCTTTTAAACAGAACTTTGTCTCGTAGTACTGAAAATTTTATTGGTTGGTAAATATAATTCAAGTCATCATGTTCGATTGGGCGAAATTACCCTATCATTTACAGAAGCGCTTAACTCGTATAGTGCGCCTTCATTGGTTTACATGCGGCGTAGTGAGTATAAGTATTGAAGCTTACCTCTGGTCTTCTTGTTGAATTGGTCATTTCATCATCGGTAACCTCAATTTTTACGACATTGACTGGCAGCAGCGACTTCAGGTAATATTCACAAGTTAGTCAGAATTTCCTAACGCGCTTATGACCTTTCACTGATGACTCCGGAGCCATGATAAAGTCTCAAAAACTTTTAGCCTCGACCACACAGTTTCTTTATTGTTTATGTGCACTTCGGTTGTTGAGTACACAAAATGCTACTTGTCGATACGACACGATGCACATAACCAAGCCTATGTAAGAGTCTGTACGCTTTCCAAACATCCGTATATATTGTAGTACTTGACTGCAGCCAGTCTTACTGGCGCTTTTATTATCCAGTTGTAAGTCCTTTAAGTTCGCCTTGATTTCCCCACTCTTGTTTGTTTGAAAACCTACTACTTAAGTAGTAACGGTGCCCTATATTAATTTGGAATGCAGCTTCAAAACTAATTTCACAAACTGAAAGTCAACTAGATATTATATAGTTCAGGACTTTAGTTAATCTGATCGTCCTAGATACTCTGAACTCCCTTAATTCAATGATTGAAAATAGTATATTTCTTACAGATCATTTGTATACACATTATTCTCATAACCACGTTGTTGATTCATTTTATGAGGCCGGTAGATTGTGGTTATACTGTGTAGATTTTTGTATTAGACATTATCAGCATACATGGCGTTTTGACTTAAAATTAAGTCATAAAGATCCAGTTTACGACGTGATCGTTTAGAGCTGGATAGTATGGTCCAGTTACTCAGTGCGCAGGTATTTGTTCGTGGACTACACTTTAGGTAATATTTCAATGGAGGGCTACTTTATCACCCCAACTGAATTATTCTGACATCTAACTCAATGTTTGAAAATCGACTGCTTAAATAAGTGTTCTATGTTGTGGATAAATTAATAAAAGCTTCGTTAAAGGCATCGAGTTTGCTCAAACGTTTCTTTTAATGGAGTTGTCTCAATATTCTGAACACTTTTTTCAATTAAAAACGTAGTGGCCCTGTTGGTCTGACTCCGTTTTGTATGAATGAGTGTGCCGTGAACATAAATCTCCCGTTTAATTCTGTATACTATACCTGGGCTAACCCTGCTTGTGTGGCGGCGGTAATATGGATTAAGTTGGATTGGTTTATTTCATGCAATCGTTCACTCAGACATTATAATGAGAAGCAGAAAAATCAAAGGGAAACGAAGAAGTCAAGCGCGCTAACTCATATTGATAAAGCGTGACTAGTTATAGTCAAACAAAAATAAGGTAAAGACATGTGATAAATGGGGGTAAGAGAGACACACTCCTAATTAAAAACAGTCCAGTTTATAAGCAAGTAGTTGACGAAGTCAAGATGTGACTCAGGAAGAATAAATTAACTGGTCTATCTGGAAAATAAAACAAGCCATTTAAGCGTAAAATAAAACTAAAAACGACAAACTACAAGTTTTGTTCGTTATAAATAAAGATTATCTTAAGTCTCATATGTTTATGAGTTACTCGATAAGTGTGTACTGATTTCTGCTCATCTACCTTATTAAGCTCATATGCTCTGGTATGCTGCCTATTAAGTTATTCAACAAAATGTTTTTTAAACTAAAATTTTGTTTCCCTTTAGGTCTAACTGTTTAAATATGGATACGTCAATGGAAGATTTGTTTTCCGATTTTGATAAATCTACTGTTTTAGTTGAGACAGGTAAATGGATTACAGCGAGCATGCCAGCGAGTCATTGTTATGTTTAAACTGTTCTGATTTTTAAAAGATGTTTTTTACTCATTTCAATAACATCAATTGATGAAGCAAAATGTGGACACCGGTTTTAGGATGTTTCATACCATAAAAGTGTTTACCTAGCCAAATACATGCGTAGCTTTTTGGCCAATAGTAATGACGTGAAATTTTAACTCATTACATATTTTATGTGATCAAATATAGTATCAAACTATCCAAAGATCACTATTCATAATCAATCTCTTTAGATGCTATATACCCCTTCGTGTATATTGGGACAACCAGTGGTCGCGACCATTCAGATGGGATTACATCCACTTCCCAGATTTTAGCTAAAATATTAGTCGACATGGTTGCTAAAACTGGACCGCCATATTTAATGACCTCTGGAGCCAATCCGTCTTCAGTTGCTCTTCCTCGTTTCAGATTAGCTATAGCTTTTTGAACTTCAATTAGAGTCCGGGGGTCTACTTCAATAATCCATTCAGGCTATTTGGGAATGGTGGGTGTTTGTAGAGTAGCTAGAGGCCAGTTAAATTGCTCCTTAAAGTTTTCCACCCATCGTCCTAAACGTTCGGGCTGAGAGCAGATAAGTGTCATCTTTTCCCGAGATCACCTCACTTACACTTGACTTCTTAATTCCAGTTTCTTTTTAATTACCCTCCGGAAAATTCCCATTATATTAAAAACAACTGTCTTTCAATTAGTCTGAAAAACTGTCTGGTGTTACCTACAGCCGCTGCCTTTCTATCTCTTTTACTTTTGTTACCCACCACTATTCACGATCGTTCCATAGATCTGATGTACATATAAATAAACATACAGTACCAAACTTGAACTGTAAACCCACTTAATGAAGGTTAAGTGTTGAAATCTTGATGCAGCTTTGTTTGTCAATAGCTTTTAAATATTTTTATAACATGCGAATATATTTTAAAACACTACAAAAATAGTAATTGCAATTTGTTCACAGTAATCAATACGAACCGTCACATGCCTGATTGTTCAGTCACAACAGCCACCTCTTAAAAAACATTTTTAAATTGTAGTACAAGATTTTCGTTTTTTTTCAGTTATTATTATTTCTTAGTCTAACTAACTGTCTAATTTTATTAACTATCCCTGTACGGGACAAAATGTACGTTAGTTGTTGGACGCTCAGTTAGTACTGTATTTTTTCATACAAAACTCAGTACCACCAATGCGGATGAGACTTCCAGGATGTAGACAGTCCACTCGATCATATCACTCCATATAGCCATTTTTTTAGTTACACAATATCTTTTATTATTTATTGACTGTTAACTAGTTAAATCATTAACTAGATAGTTGAGTATGAGCCACACTTTAAGTTCAGAGACTACTGTTACCATTCGATTTCCCGAACCGAATCCCTTTACCGCTAACCCACTTTTCTACTTTTTTATTGATTCGTTTACGGTAATTTGTTTCTTAGTGAGCTACTACATCAAGAATTCTTTTAACTTTATAAATAAGTAAACAAGTAAGCGAATAATCCTCCTAACCTTGCCGTTTTTCATGTTTTTTTATGGAATGATACAATAATGTTCTTAGTATTAATTCTTAGCAGATACAAAGAAAAATAATACAGAAAAGCATGACGTAATGGTACTTGCTACTGAGACAATAGGCAATGAAACTATACGTATTGAAGGTGTTCACCAAGCTTCTACTCAAAGTCTATGCTTAACCATTGAATTACATGAAAACTCTTTGTAAGTCTATTTTTATTGTATTTTCAGTTATATATATATGTTCAAGTCGACAAACTTGTTTCTTATGTATACAGAAATGACCAACTTCTGCTGAACGAATACTTTGATCACAATTAGGTTTGAATCGATTTCCTTTTAGTTCACAATTCAGCGCTCCACCGCGTGAACATTGAAATACAATCGCAGGGTTTCCTGTTGACTACCTTCAACCACCATCTAAGTAGGTCCCTATAAACAAACTATGCTAATTTGTATGTTGTGACCGGAATGGTGTTCGTGTTCTACATTTTCACTAAATTTCATCACCAACTTTTAAGCTAAGTAGTATGACATTAATGGCCACAATGTTGAGCGTTTTATTGCTTCAAATAGCCAACGGAAGTTCTTCATTTTAATTTTTGTTGATGATAACCATTTTTTAGATATTCAACTGTTCAACTTTCATCACAAACTGAACTTGTGACAAGCGTTTCACCTTTAAACTATTGAGTCCACATTTAGTGCTTTACATCTTTAACTTTAATCAACTAACGATCTTGCACAAACATTTTCCAATATCGTCAATTGATAACTACCTCACACTTGACATAATCAAACTTCATTGGTGACGGCTTCTCAATAGAACTCCAAGAATAATCACCCCTCGGAAGTAATCACTAATGGGTACATTATTATTAATATTATCATGACCGGTTTGTGAAGACTGTTGAGTTTTATTTTTTACATCACAGACTGTACTATGTGATAATTATTTCAAATGTTTTGTCATAGTAGTCTAGTAGCATCTAACAACAACCAACCGTCAGTAAGTTTCATGATTCACTGTCTAGTATTCCTTGACCATGATACTTCACTAGACTCCTCTCAGATCAGAAAAATAATTGACAACGAACAGATATATATATATATATATATAACGATAACGTGAACAACAAATATTCAGTTGTAAAGGCATTGAAGTTTACACAAGAATCTTCTAACAACTCAATTCGTCCACTAGCTCTGATCGGTTGAAAGTGGGCCAATCAGCTCGTTTCGACTTTAGCTTGATCACAGCATGCAAACGTTAGAGCTTTATCCTACTAACAGTGGAATATATACGTTCAACTGGTTTGTATTGATACTTTATGTTGGGATTGGGAATTAAAACTAAAGCTCAATAGCCCATCTCTTGTACACATTACTTGCTTCTATAATTTAGAATTCTTTTGTTTTATTGATTTACCAAACAGAATTGATATTATTCATGAAAAAATCTTTGTTAATAATACTTTATTTTGTGTAAAATTTAATTTCAGGTTGTCTAGTTGCATTAATTTGGAAATTCCATACCATTATCCCTCATCGAGCACAAATTTGTCAGAGACGAAGAATATACCAGTTCATATCTGTACTCTTTGTGATAAAAATCACTTTATGAATGTAATTACTTATCCACAACATCAAACTTCGACAGTATTTGCTGATTTATCCTTCACATCGTCATCCTCCTCATCAATATTCACCTGTTCTAAACGTTTTATTAATATTCTTTGTGATATTGAAAATGAAGATATTAAATGCGATCCTGATCTGGTTCGATTATGTAGCCTTCCAAATGGACTAGTCTATGCTATTTGGTATACAACTATGAATAAGAAACTTCATTGTTCAGTTGCATTTCCATTGTCATGTTGTAAGCCAATCGTGACTTGGGCTTTTATTCGTAATCCTGCAGCTAATTCTACACTGTCTCGTATAATTGACAATACATTAGCAGATAATCGTTGTACTCAAATCGAAAACAATACTGTGAATGATCTGCTTATTGGTTTAACAAAAGATGGTGAAGGTGTAGGTGTTTGGTTCGATTCATCAGATGTTTGTAACAAAAAGTTAGTTCTTATTTGTTTGTTTCCTAATTCGAGGCGCAATTTTGGCTAGTGCTAGGAGTAGATTGGAAAAATGCTGATAGAGGCTGAACCTAAACGTAACATTGATCTATGAAATCATTAAATATCGATCTAAACCACGTTAGTAGATCTAGATATCTGGTTTGGGTTCGCGTATCTATCGTGACCTGTGGTTCATGTTTAGCGATACGGCTCAAAATCAACTACGATGTCGCAGTAGCACTCATTGCATTGACCCTTAGATACTGATTTTCAAAATGATTTTGTGTTTTTTGTTTCGAAAAGTCATTTTCAAATCATAAGTATTATGCCTAGACCTTTTTTTTTACTGTCAATAGATACTACTACTCTGATATTTATCTTAATTTTATTGTCCTGATATGTTGTAGCAACTTCAATCGATCCACATTTCTCAAGCTCCGCGTTGCCTATATGAGTGAATAACTGACTTTTTCACTGGTCATGTTTCAATTTTTATCATCGTCATAAGTGTTCTTCATATCCTATTTTCCATCAATATTACGTATAGATAAACAGTGGTCATAATCAGTATTCTGAATTCGATTGTCACAATTTATTTAGATTATTAATGTGTACTACTGGGCGGTTTGAACTTGTCATTTAGTAGTGTCTTTTCTGAAAAGATTTATATCATTTTTAAAGGTAAATTTTGCGGATATACCGACCGTCACAAAGCCACTCACAATATTCAAACAGTACTTGACATTTGTGTTCGCCATGGTTTGAAACTGTTAAACAGTGTACATCCAGGGCCGTACACATAGATGATTAATTCCATGAACTTCAAGTTCTTATAAATCTAAGTAACATATAAATAAAATCAATCATTTGGTAAAGTTGTTGATCTCCATTAGCTGTAGCGATTCGCAACCATTTGCTTCAATGTGGTACACTCAGTTGTGTAAATAGAGAAAAATCCAAATACTGTTAAGACAAAGTAGGTTTAATTTTTCCATAATGGGTTTATAACTAGCTTATTTCTCGTGAAAGGCTGTGAACTCTGGTTTAGAAATATGCGTGAACACTAATCACAATTTGTATAGAATATATGGAATCTGGCTAGCAGTGAAATCCAGGAAGCGCATTTCGTCTTATTTGGAACTCATTAGCTGCGTGTACCTTATTTGTCTATTTGAACACAATCATTGATACAAGGGAGGACCAACATATGTATGTGCCACAAAAAGCGATTATCATTCAGTTTTTGTGTGGACTGTATTACTGTTCGGGTACCCAAACCGTCACAGATAATTTTCTGACGAGACCATTCTCCGAGCATTTCACTTACACGTCTAATCCACAAGGTAGTGGGGCAACGTTGGAAGATGCAGTCCAATACTAGCCGGTCACCAATAATATATTCATATTCCATGTGTTCCCTCAGGATTCTGAGGCTCATGTGCACCATTGTTTTGAAATCAGAGTTTTTCAATTCATCTAGGTGGACCTTCCGTATCCATTAACCCGGTTTCAGTGCCGGACATTCGATTTTTGTCCTCTCAATTTTGTAAACAATACCCCGTCGCGAGAAGGCTGTGAGTAAAACTCCCTTGGCAATGGCCATATATGTATAACCATGTGAGCATTGCTAGAGGGAGTGCGGACCCCCCTACCCCCAGCCGTACCCAGAGTTGATGTTCACCCGGAGACTCGAACCCAATGCCTTTCTCTTCAAACGCCATTACGTTATTCACTTAGTTTCTGGGTCCAGGTAGCTACTCACTTGTGCAACAGGATACGGGTACATTCAACCGACGATTTCCAAATAGGACAAAACGCGCCTCCTGGATCCCGCTGCTATACTCACGAACTATTCTATATCAACCTGTGTCATAGTGGCTATTGCCCCCAAATGCCCTGGTACGGCCGAGAGTGGGGAGAGTCAGCTCCCTCTCGAAATGCTCTCAAATGACCACGCGTATATAGCCTCTGCCAGGGAAGTCCTCACTACCTTCTCGTGGCGGGGGTTCTGTTTACGAAATTGAGAGGACGAAAAGCGAACGTCCGGCGCTCCAACCGGGTTGATGGACACGGAGAATCCACCTAGGGGAGTTGAAAAACCCTGATTCCAAACCAATGGTGCACATGGCCTCCAGTATCCTGAAGGAAGAAGTGGCGTATGAACTAATCGTTAGTCACCGGTTACCATGGGACTGCATCTCCTTACGTTGCTCCACTGTCTTGTGGATCAGACCTTCAGGTCAAAAGCTTCGGGTGTGGCCCCCTAAAAAAACAACGTGCTTCGGTTTGGGCACACGGGCAGTATCACAGCCCTCACACATATCAAATGAGATCTGTGTGGCGCATATGTATTTGGTGCCTCCTTGTACTAATATCTATGTTTTAAAATAAAATAAATAAATAATACATAGTGGCTATTTCGGGGAAGTCAGTACAAGATGCACATAAGCCAACTAAAACTGATCAACTTTTAGTCAAAAGATATTAATAACGGAATAAGCCAGATTATTTCAAATTGAACTGATCACAATGCCTCTTATACTTTTACTCTCCGTAAATTGTGGAACATTTTTATATCATCCATTACAATGTTGCTAGGCTTCACATGATCCCTAAAATTCCTCCAATCAATTTTCTTCATATTCTTTTTTTCATAATTTAAAACACGGACTGATTATCTTCGTCAAACGACCACTAAATGTCAGTTTCATCCTCGTAGTGTAAATTCATAATCTCACCGGGTAAGGTTAGACCACGGAGTTGGTCTCGAGTGGCTTACATCTCTGACTTGAATGAGTTTGCGATATTGTGCATATATCATCCACTACCACTTATGAGCGACTGTCACACGCGAAATGTTTTCCCGCCACTAATGACAGCTCTTCACTAAAGCTCCGGTAATTAACCCTAGAAATTAGCCACTGGTTAGAATATGATTGTTATTGGTACTCGTATCCGATGAACTTAGTTTTCTACACTTTACCATCGTTCATATTTCCCCAAATGTTTATTTATTTATTTGATAAATTTAATTTGCTTGCAATACAGAGTTTTAAACATCACTGAATTCAGTTTACCGCAATCACCTGATCCAATTACAAAATGTCGTGCACAAGGTTCATGGCTCCATGTGATCACTCAAAGTGGACATTTAACATCAGTACATTTCAGTTTACAATTAAAACAATGTAATGACAATAATAATAATAGTGAATCAACGAAATGGAATTTGTTATGTCAACCAACTAATTTTCCTCGATTACCTATTCATTTGTCACCTGTGAATAATATTGAGCAATGGATAAAATCGTGCCCAAGATGGCGTAATCTTAATGTTTGCGACTTTACTCGTTTGGCTGGTTGGTCGATAAATTTTTATTTGGTTTTTGATTTTTTGTTTCAAGTTGTTTAATATGTACTTTCTAGATTTCTTCAGTGTTTTTTGTTTTGTGTGTGTAAACACATATAAGTCGTCCAAATAAAAAAAAACACAACTTATTTTGTTCATAATTCAGTCAATCATATGCAATGTACAAACTTTCACATATGTGCATCAGTTCAAGTTGCCACACAACATTATCTCAGTATGATGAATTAATCAAGCAAAATCGCATAGTGGTAGAAGTAGTAACAGTATCAGTAGTAGTAAAACGATTAGCTATAAAAGAGGGAAAATGCACAGGAACGTGTTGAGACTCAGGATATGACGTAGTACAAAGTGAATTTATCCACACCATTTCAAATAATTCTAATCGACGTCACTCGATTCTCCCAGTCACTGGTTGTAATTATCGTTAGGATCACAATCAGGTAGTCCTCATCTATATACATAGTCCAGCTCAGTTTTCAATGACTTCATGGACCGATGCTACATTTTCTTTTGATCGCCCCTAACTTTATTTCAACCTATTCCTACACCTGATAACATCTCTCATCGAAAGAGGTGGTGTTTGGCCATACGTTATACATGTTCTAACCACCTCGGTGAATGAATATTCATTGCCTTATGAATCGGTTTGCCATCTTTACGTTCTAACGTCAGCCTTGCTCACTCGGTGGTCTCAACATACGTGTGCAATGCTTCGAAGATATCTATGATTAAATGCTAACAACCTACGTATATCCTCTGTTCTAATGGGCAATGCTTTACACTCACAAAACAGAAGAGAGCAAACTCCCTTACACTGTACTCGTTTTTAGTTGGCAACGTAAGTTGGTAAAAGCCAATACATTTCACAAGGTAATATTTTCTAGTGTAGGCTCTTTTTCATCGTTTCTCTATAGCTCCAAGAGTTTCAAACTTTATACTTTTTGATATATATACTCAGGTTATTCGTTTTTGATCGTAAATTGATTCAAAGCATCGCCCACATGTGATTGAACTATGAAGTGAGTGGTACTGAGGACAGGTGTAGGGTACTAGGTGTTAGCGGGACATAGACTAGATTAAAGCATGCTCAATGCATGATTGCTTTGGTGCACGCTGATTGGCTGATTCTTATCCAATCAGCACTAGTCGATAGTCGGAGAATATTCTGGAATCTTCTTATGTAAAAACTATAAATATACTGACGTTTTTCTCTATTGTGCTTCCTACTGGCTTCTGACTTGCTATTTGGAATATAATCTCTTTCCTGTTCAACCGTGTTCTGATTTGGGGACTTGTCGAGTGAATCGGCAATAGGAATAGCTGGGTCATTAACCGTAAGAAGAAAACAGAGATTATAACACTAGGTAAAGACAATGAATCTGTATAATCTTCACAAAGGCGGTATTGAGGCATGTCCAGTATATTCACTAACCATCATCTACACCATTACGAGATGCTAACTGATTTTGTAGTAGATTGGAACAAAACTATGAGCAACCAAGATATCATCTCACTCCATACATTCAGTGGCTGAAGGTCTAGAAAACCTGGACTGTAATAGACAGGTTAAATATGGAGATCAACGCCGTATTGCATAAATTCAAATTGCTACTGGTCGTAGTTGCTATATGAATATTTTCGTCCAGTCTGCCTGTCGTGACAATCAAACCAGTTTGTATTGTAGGTGGCATTCGTCACGGGTGATGTCATTTGGAGTACCACTAAGAATCAAGGAGCACTAAACGACTGTTTCACCCTAGAACGAAAATTTTCAGCAGTGCATACTGCGACGCACCCGAGGATTGGATCCACAACCTTCAAGTCTCATGCCCAGCCCTTAACCATCAGACCACCGGGTTGAGGGACCCAACGACGCAAAATTCCAGCTCCAATCAATTCACTATATAAAGCGATTAATATCTATTCATAGTCTTTGGCAACGACTGTTCCGCTCCAGATCAGTCGTTCATGAAACCATCTACGATGGCAAGTGAGTAGATTAGAAAAATATAACAAATATCCTTTGTCAAATTGTTCGAGATTTCATATTTTTCCAGGAACCAAATGGTTAAAGTCCTTAATCCTAGTTTCAAAGTCCACTCTACGTACTCTATTCTAGAGATCCGGGTAGTAACACCTAACCCTCACGTAAAACAGTCAGTCAAACATAGTCCACACGATGTTAAATCACTTAGACTAGTGAACATAATACAGCTTGATGGATAGAGTTTTGAGCTCGAATAGATCAATTATAATCCTTCAGATCATGAAGCTGGGTAGTGCGGATCCAACTCCACAGAGTGTATCAGTTCCCTTGTGATTGCATGCACACTTTGCTGAAGAATGCTAACTAGTTTGAAGCCTATATCTAAGGGTTTCCCACTTACTACCTTCAACCAAATAACAAAACAATCACTCTCAAAGTCTACTTTTTTAAAACATTGAACTTAATTGCCAAATCGCATTAAACTTTTTTCATCGGTATGTCGTATTTGTATTAATGTTGTTATTATTGTGCCCTCACTGTTTTAATTCTCAGTTTTCTCTATCCGTTTTTGTCTTTCTCTAAACTAGATGGTCATTTGGGTAGTGTTGATTCACAAGGTTGCAAGACACGTCTAGTTGATCTATTATCATCTAAATCTGAAATTGATGCTCCTGTTAATTATACAGAACAACAATTGAATCAAACATTCATGAAATTAATCAAAACAAAATATCAAATGAAAAGTTATTTAGCATGTTTACTTCTACTAAACCGTTTGAGTAATTTTAAAGTGAATACAGACAAAAATGATTGGTCTCAGTTCCCTTTAGATTGTAAAGTCTATTTGACATCATGTCGTGCAGATCATGAGTCAGGAAACCAATCACCTTTGGAATTGATTGTTGATATCACAGTCCAGGTAAATTGATCTTTGTCAAATATAAATTTGAAATAGGTATTTACGTATTGAAAAGAGATATTTCATACCTTTCAGTCTACCATAATATAATTTTCTTTGTTCTATGAGATTGAATTAAAAGTCAGTGTTAGTTGAATAGCTGTTACTTAATATAACTATGATGTATTTAATTTATTTAATTCATCTTGTTACTGAACTCAACTTTTCTGTGGAAATGAGGCTTTACACCTGCATTGTGTTTTTTGACTATCTAGTTATCTTCAGTAGGGAGTTGTGGAGATTATTGAGTTATTGATTGAGATCATGAATCGACCAAGATTAGACCACCATTGAAAACCTGGAAGCACTGGAAGACCGTTTCGTCCTAGTATGGGACTCCTCGACAGTGCATCCACGACCCCTCATGCTGGATTCGAACTCATGCTGATAATTACCATGTGTTCACTAGTGACTAGCTTGGAGTTCTAGTGAGAAGCCGTGACCAGTGGAGCGAATCTGTGTCAGGTAGGGACAGGTATCTATCTCGAACAATGGAAGTTGGTTGCGCAATTTCGTGAATTATTTGGAGTTAAACAATAACACCGTTGGATACCGGCTCAGTGGTCTAGAGGTTAGGCGTCTGTGCATGATGTCGAATGTCCTGGCCTCGGGTCACGCGAGCGGGATCGTGGATGTGCATCCCCGAGGAGTCTCACATTAGGATGAAATGGCCATCCTGTGCTTCCAGGTGGTCTAATTTTGATCGATTCATGATCTCAATCAAAATATCTAGTTCTCCCTTGGTCGGTTATATTTAATTCAACTCTTCCCGAATGAATACACGTATTTAGGGGGAGCGACCTAATATATTCCAATAAGTTGAAACAACAAAATATACCATAGTTGTTAGAGTGTCCATAACATCCTTTTTCAAAGTTTCCAGTAGCTTAGGAAACGCCAAGAAATATGTTATCCATTCAACATTAGATAGAAACACATCAAAAACATCCAAAAAATGAAGGATCACTTGTCACGTTTTTGATTGGATAATTACTTATACCACTACTATATTTAGTATATTATAAAAATCTAGACTCACACAACTATAATTACACTCGATTTTCTGTACATGAACTAGCTTTGAAGTCATGCTGTTACATTTCACCCCTTTTCTTTGTTGTTCGAGTTTACGTGTGGAGTTAGTTAAGGGTTATAAGAAGCAGTTAAGTAGGTAGTACTAGGCTTCTCAGTAGCAGACTTATCTGTATTAAAAACCTCCGAATGTAGATGTCGATTTTACTTATCAGTCTTATCTTATTGGTTTACTCATCAACCATGACTAGTTGAATATGAATCAGTCATCGTGTTCCTCTCCGAGTATGGAATAATCACTGACAAATAAACTATTTACCTTATTGCTATAAAAATAAAATAACACTTATTAGGAGAGCAGAATTATGACACTTTGAAAGAAATCATTTAAGTCACATTGTACATTTTGAATTGTGTAGTATAGTTTAAAAAAAGCAACGAAATATAATGTAGGGATTCATTATATTCTGCATATACCCTATTATTCTCACCTTTTTCAGATTTATGGAAAGAAGTGATTGTATGGAATTATTATTATTACTATTATTATTATTATTATTATTATTACCATTACTATTATTTACCTTCTTTGTATGAATACTCTTCCTTCTTATTAATTCTTATTCAAAGAATACAACAACTGATGACAATCTAGGAGAGAATATTAATGAATTATTATTTCATTCCGATTTAAACAAAATTAGTCTAAATAATATGGCACAAATTATTTTATTCAAATCGTACATGAATAATACAAAGAATTATATCATATCTGATTATCTTGAGAAATATTTATACATTGTTATCAAAATGGAAGCTGTTAGAACAGACTGTGAATCGTCATCGTTATCATCATCATCATCGAATTTGAAGGATTTAATCACAGATGCCGATAAGAACGTGGTCAACAATCATCATTCACTTGTTTACACGTATAGAGAATTGTGGTTTTCATCACCGATAAATATCAATAGTGATAATTCCAAGTGAGTGAATTGTGTTATAAAATGTATTGTCAATGTTAGCATAGCGAAGATTTGTGAAGAACGTTAAATCCATATATTATTTACATCTTTAAGTAATTATACTATAACTAAAAAAAAACACATTTGAAAACAGTGCATATCAATGACCTCCCTAAAGATCAAGACCTTCAGATCTTGTTGCGAACGTCTAACTTGACCATTCAGTTGGAACACTTCTAGGGAGTTCTGTGGTAGGAAGAAATACTATCCAGTTCTTTGTGGTTTTTCATTTGGTGAGGCTTTTGTTCGTGAACGACCTTTGAGCAATGCCAAATTGACCTTGAGAAAATTTACCTACCTACTAGGGTCTAAAGAGGGTCTGAAAAACTAGAATCGAAATTTACAGTTGAAAGTCAGGGTTAGGAATTATAATTAAAGTTTTCATCACGAACTGTCATCGACTATAATGCCAAAATGCTATTAAGCTGTATAGAGAAATAAATTTTACGCCAAAATACAAGAATTGTTATCTTAAATCTGATTGGTTCGTTCATAAATTACGGTGTTACCTTCCATGTTTATGTAGCTAAAATTCAATCTGTAGTGTAAACCACATGCTAGAAATATGTATGAAGTATCATGACTATCTCATTTTGTTAGCTTCTTATATTTCACTGGTGTAAAGTGTGACAGTATTACTTCTCTGTGTTATAATGCTTGATTTTTCCGCCTACACAAATGGAATGCTAATTTGCCTTGGACGAACATCTACATTAGACACCCTCCCAGTATCTATTCTACAAGACCTCAACACAACTCATATCGAGAACATGTGACTAGCCGGACTAGAACGTAAATATATTTCCACACGAAAACCGACAACAATCACAATAATAATAGGGGTAGTAGCATATGTAACTCATACCTGTCAAACAATCACTATCATCCTCTCCCACACATCACTGTGCCAAGTTCTACATCGTTCATAGACAGATGTTGATTGATTGATTGACTGACTATTCGTAATATTTAAAATCCCACACTATCTGTTTATCAACCTATAATAGAGAAAAAATTTTACTAATAAGTTATTTCTTAATTTCGATAAATTTTTCCAGAAAGCATATTAAAACCGATAAATAAAGACCTTCTTAACCGTGGTTGATAGAAATAAATAACACAGCTTGGAAGAATTTCAATGAAAAGAAGGTAATATCAACACTTGAGGAAGATATACTGCAAGTAGTTTTGGGAAATCAGATGATGTTCAAAATCAATTGTAGTTTATTGAAGTTTCGGTGGCTTTGTTATTTGTACTGTTTAGTATGGCTATTATGTATGACAATTCAGTAGTATTATGTGTTGGTGATTAATATTTCCGTATTTGTAGAGCAAGGAGAAAACTTTCATCAAATTAAATCTTCGACCTTGAAATCCGTCTAATTTTTACGATGTGTCTGTGGTTCAGTTGTTAAGTCGTTCGATTTTCAGTTACTAATTTCCAGGCTTCAACCCTTCTCCACTTCATTTTGGGCGATCTTGAATCTGTACCTGGTAAATGAGTTTAAAGAAAGTCCTCATACTTTCGGTGCTCACTACCTCTCACAATAGAGGTATATTTGTAAAGAATTGGAACTAAGGAGTCAAAGACTAATATATAGATCTAAATAAATTAAGTGACTACTTTTCTTTATCTCTCTAACTCCTTAGTCGAATAGTCTTCCGTTAAATATACATATGTACAACGTTTGTGAGTAGTTGTTTTGTTGTAACCTTCCTACGTATATTTTTACTTTGTCCTGGTTTTAAACAATATCATACTTAAAAGCAGTATACATATTCATTTACCAAATACACCATTTTGTACTGGGCTTTGAGTCTCACATTGTGTCGAGCGCTAGTAAAGATAATGCCGTAATAATAAAGTAGCTGGAATGGGATTCGACTCTGTGACCTGTTAGCTGAAAGTCAAGCACTTACGTCGATAAGCCCCCATCTAATATCTACAGATGGATAGTTGTTCAAAGTATGTCCCACACTCCCCAACATTCCCAATTGATACAACTTCACTAACTCATTTTATGATTTCTGCGGTATTTCAACATAGCTCATTCAAGGATTTAGCCACATAAATCACGTTACACAGTAGTCTATTAATTAAAGTAGTAGTTATCGCCTCAGTTGTTTTTGGTCTATGATGCTTAATGACATGCTTTCATATTCAACCAAACGTTAACAAATATTAGTTTTTTAAACAGAAACAAAGTACAGATTCGTTTACTTGAATTCGAAGAACATTGAGTGTAAGGGTTTGTAGTACTACCTATTTGTTCTGACAGAAATAGGTAGAGCGGTACTCGGACCTACTACTTAGTGCCTAAAAGTTGAACGCCTTAAAACCACTGAACCACTGGTAATGCTAATTAGCACTTATCACCAAACAGTATTTTAAATTTTGAGAGAACTGATGCTCCTTGTGCTATTCAAATTCTCGTCACCTATCTTCTCAATCTACGTTACCACGTTTGATCTCCTATAGGACTGAGATGTATTTACAATTGATTGAACAATGACCAATGTCATCTTTGCTAAATCCTTAACTCTGATTGAATTCTATTGATCAATAAGACATAGACATACATGACATGGGTAACTGCTCAATGATCACTTAATATATATATCCATTAAAATATCACTGTAATAAAATAATTAATACTTTTCTCAAAAACTGTGCAGATTACGACGTTGTATCATTCCATCAACAAATTGGTTACAAATATTTCATATAACTGAATTGAATCATTCTTCACTTTTTCAACAAAATCTATTGCCTACTACTACTAATACTAATAGAATATTCTCAATTGACGGTAGTACACTTCAAGTGAATATTCAATTGGAATTTCAACCACCAATAATACCACAATATTTAGATTGTTTCAATCAAAAATCATTTGAAACTATAAAAATATGTAATCATTCACCAATTTTTGTAAACATTGGTCATAGTCACCTTGATTGTATACATTTTCTATATCAAATAAAAACGAATTCATTATTGAATAATGTTGTAAATGATAATCCAATGAAGCTAATTCATACAATGCATATTAATATTAATGATTCAGTATTTCAATCCATCATATCAGGTAGATTATTGTAGTTTTCTTTTGTAAAAAATTGGCTAATTTGATAGTTGTTTTTATTTTCTCTCTCTTTAAATGATGAATTAATCTAAGCTAGACTATCTCTAAAGGAGATTACTAACATCCAGTGACTGGATCATATTAATCATGGTTAAGGTTTGATAATGTATAGTTTAAGCACGGTGACGAAAATTCAACAAGTGTTTGTTTTCATTGCCTGGATATGTGCTATAAATGTGTTGGGGACGTTAGATCCCCAGAACTCACTTGAGAAAGGACCTAATTTTGTAATTTTATTTAGAAAATTTGAAGTTCTTCGTTTTCGCGCCAAAGGCGCTCTTGTCACCTACATGTCTTATTTCCCACTTGGAAATATCTTAAATGCTATTGGTCCGTTGCGTCTTTTAGTATGCTATTTGGTAACTCTCCCCAAGGACGGTTTCGTACTCTATATATACATTTTGAATTGTGTTTGTTGTTATCACTCGTTTCTGGCTGTTTTGCAGAATATACTTCCCATTCCAAGCTTGGACTTCTCCCTCTAGTTAGCGGGGCTGGGACGCATCAATAGCTAGCTTACTGGTCTTTGGTCACCGAGTCTTGTTCTCGTTCGCCGATCAAGTGAACGCGTGATAGCTTCAAACTTAGCAGAATGTTATGCTAGTAGATTTCAATTTGTGCATTATTTGCCCGATTCTGAAATTAGTTGGAGAACGTTTGAGAGTTGGTCAGTTTATGACATTGGTGAGGTATAAAAGAAAGCTGTATAGGTCTGGTATCTATTTGCCCCTTGTTCGAATCCGGAAGATGGTATAATTCAGTGGGTTAAGATATTATTTGGCATAAGTCAGAATAGAAATCAGTGGTACACTAGCTATAGGTTTCTTTTACACTTTATAAAAGTAAGACGAACTTCCTTTCTTGGTTGTAATGTAACTGAGTCGTATCCATTATTATATAATAATTTTGTCTACTAATTTTTTGATTGTACACTCCCCTCTTTCCCTTCTATGTCATTACTATTTCATCTCTTTATTTTTGTATCGGTCATACTTATTTTGATGCTCAGTTATATCAGACTTTGTGTGTTAAACCAATAATAAGTAAATAAATAAGAATTTCAGAAAGGGGTTTTGCAGAGATTGTAGTAATTTAATAGTTGAGTTCATGAGTCAGTTAAAGCTAGACCATCATGGATGTTACTAGGAATCAAAATGTACCACTGGATAACTTGTTTTTTTATGTAGTTTGGATCTCTTCAATGGTCCTCATTCCCATAGGTTCGAATCGGGGACCTTATGGCGACCACGATAACTTTAGGCCTCAATGGGTTGCGGTTAAACTGTTAACATTTCCAGTTTTATATAATTTGTGGTATACTGCGGTAACCGGCTTTTTTGTCATGATGATGTATCCGTATCACTTCTGACATGGTTAGATTCTAATCTACTTGCTCTTTCTCGTTAACATATCAGAAGTCTAAACTCTGTTCTATCTTTTTCAGTTCAAGTAGTCAGCTCTCTTTCTTAATCTGCTCTGATATAATACTTGTAACTCCAAGTTGACTATATGAATCCATATTTGCTACTGGAATGCATCACCAAAAATTTAATGTTTTCATCAAAAACTGACATAATTTGAAAGCAGAAAATAAGAGTAAATAGAAAACTATTTTGTAGTTTACTATGACTCTAAAATAGTCAAGAAGCACTAAAAGGCTGTTTTTCCGTGATGTGAGATTTCAGAATTACTCCAGCCTGTTAATTCGAAGGCCAGGCGCTTTCCACGAAGTCTGAAGGTTCTGAGCTCACCCTTGGCGTAAGTCGTAAATACTCAGTGCTGAAATATTTCATACTAGAACAAATCAACTGTCCACTTCTTCATCTGTTTAAAGGTTATCTAGCTATAGTCATTCCCTGAGGTAAACTGTAGAATCCGACAATAAGAAAATCATTGTTGGAATTCTGAATTTTTTACATAGTTTACACATTTTTCGCAAAATCTGGCATACACTACTCTAATTTCTCAATATTTTTGATCTGCATCACTCACTTGATATTCAATTGTTTATCATTTTGTTTTTCAACTGTTTAGTAATGACATCTACCTAAGACACTTATCAGCTACAATTGTTTGATCACAGGTTAGTGCGTGAATAAAGTTATGTTTTTTTAGTCCTTTAAGTTTTAAACGAATTAGATCGATGAAGTTGTGATGTGACCAAACTATGAAATTGGATAATGTGGGTTTTGATCCCATAGGAATTGTCAGTTCCCTTAAAATTACAGATTACCCCTTGTTGACGAATACCAACCAGCATAAAACGGAGGATTTCTTGCCAACTACCTTGCAAATTATCTAACACACTTATAGGCTTTTATCATTTTTCTGCTTTCAAAAAAATCAACCAGTAGTAACGTACATTCTGATAAATTTTCTTTTATTCAATGCAATAAAAAAGTAGCCAACTATTTGTTGATACCTATCTGCACTTTTTCCCCCTATTTCCTTCTTTCTATAGATATTTTCAAAAATCCCATATCATGTTCAAGTAATCATCATGAGAATTTCCTTAAATTAATGGTAAAAAATAATAATAGCAATAATGGTCAATTATTTTATTGTTGTTTAACAAATCAATCTGTCAAATGTGAATGGTCTTTAAATTTAGATCCATTTAATTTTAAACAAGAGAACAAGAAAGAAGTGGAGATAAATAATATAGACAACAACAATTACAGTTCCAATACCTGGTGTTTTACAATATCATCTGTTTGTTTACAAACATTATGGTCTATGTATAGAGCTATTGAGTTGCGTCAAAAAATATCATTACAGAAGGTAAATCTTGTTATCTTATAACAACTAGTATTAACCTATTGTTGTTTTTACTTTCAGATTTTATTGTTTGATTTAATTCCACACTGATATTTTATAAGATGGTCGACAGGAAACTCTGCTTGAACTACGTTTCTTGATAATTGCCACTGTTGGTAAAGCAAACCTACATTCTTGCCAAACACTGGCACTTTCTGTGGGATTTAAAGCAGGATCACCAAGCTTCACAGTTTGAGATATTATCAATAAATCTACTTCCCCAAATGCCATGGTACGGTCGAGAACGGGGAGAGTTCGCTCTCCCTGTAGAAATGCTCTCACATGGCCAAGCGTATACAGCCACTGCCAGGGAAGTTCTACTCATTCCTTATCGCAACGGGGGTATTGTTTATGAAATTGAGAAGACGAAAAGCGAATGTTCCACTCTTTAACCGGGTTAGTGTATACGGAGGATCCACCTAGAGGAGTTGGAAAAGCCTGACTCCAAATCAATGGTGCATATAGGCTCCATAATCCTGAAGGAACAAATGGCATATGAACCTTTTGTTTGTCACCGGCTACCATGAGATCGCATCTCCTAACGTTGCTCCATCGCCTTGTGCATTAGGCATGTAGGTCAAAGGTTCGAGGAGTGGCTCTCTGAGAAAACCACCTGTTTTGGTATGGGCTCCTGGACAGTATTCCAGCCCTCACACAAATTGAATGATTTCATTTTGATTGATAGATTTCGAACACCATTAAGGAGTAGAAAAGCATAGTATATTGCTCGCTACTCGCTACTTTTAACTATGATGTAGTTTGACTGTCTTTTTCTAAAACCTTGTGACTATTGATCGATTATTTAAGAAACTTTTAAATTATCTCTGTTTTCCTGTGCCTTGGTTTTATTTTTCTTCGCTTAGAATAATTCGATAGAAACTTTCAAACGTCCTACTGTTGAACAACTTAGATTAGAATGTTCTATCTTAAAGGTAACTGTTGCTTATCGATGATGATATTTATCTTTTTTGTCGTTTAGACATCATTTATATCACTAGATACTACTTATTGTTTTGAATGAGTAGTCTATGATAACAATAATACGTGCTTTATTCAATACCACATGTTTGATTACAGTAAAAAAAATCAAAACAGCATCAAATATGCGGAATTGCAACAAAATCCCAGTTTTCAAAGCACTGAATTTGTGAAGGTTAAAAAAAGATATCAAAAAATGATTATCAGTTGCGATTCATATTCATCTGTGAATATTTACAGTTAGTCTTGATCCAATGATAATTCTTTCTATCGTTGAATATGCGGAATCACCGTGATGATACTTCTTAATTTTCGCAGTAATTAAATTTCTGATAGGTTGTTAACATTTCGTGAAAGTGTGTAATTATACGCAGTTAATGGACATAAACCTGAAATAGGAATGTCTTTGTTGTAAATACATATTTTGAAAACTGAAGACCCAGATGTTCTAGCAGGTCATTCGTATCTGATATAATATTTAATTATCTAAATACAACTCATTTACTAAGTTCCTTTAGGTCTAAGTAATTGTTACTCCAAGATTATATGGTCTGCCTAAAATGCACAGAAACGACCTGATTCTATGGCTAGTTTTAGATATGAGTAATTCATTTACGAAGTACTACTGGTAAGTCACGCTTATTCGTGTCTATAAAGGCTATTAATGCTACTTAACAGAAATAGATAAATCGGTTTTTCAAACCTGAAACACAATGAAAAGAACTTACGGCTTAGGATAATTATACTTCTGCCCAAATTATTATACTAAATCGATACAATAATTTAGTAAGTCGATTTGAGTATTTGATCATAGGTATCTTCGAAGCATCGCCAGTGAAACTTTGGACTACCGAGTAACCAATGCTAGAATATTAAGAATATTAAGGTACTAGGTAAATATGTCCAATGGATTAATGAGGTAGTAAATCTTCATCAACCAATGTGGTTGGGACATGTGTTACTTCTTCTGAGTCACCAGCTACCTTAAATAAGGATTTTGCTTGGTGTAGGAATAGGTTAGAAGAAAGTTAAGGTTGGCCAAACTAAGACGAGTAACCAGTCTATGAAGTTAATGACTATTGTACTAAGCCATGTAGGTAAGTGAAAACTACTTTTCCATAAACAATAGTTAGAGACTCTGATTAACATGGCTTCGTTTGCATTGACGTAGTCACACCCACTCCTTGTCCTTCCTTTGATCTTGAGTTTCTGAATTCCTCATAATTTTTTTTATTTCACTGATTTATACTTTCTTGAATCATATCTTCGATACCTAATCCTTCCTATTACCATTAATACTGTCAATACCTGCTCTACTCCAGTATTTGTCCTGACAATTTCACCTTACTGCGCTATTGGGGTATACCAACTTGAACTGATGTTTATACACACGTACCAGGTTCTACGTTGCGTTTGACTACCTGATATCAAGACGAGTACGAAAAACGTCAAAAGTGTAAATTGGTGAAATAAAACGTCCAGCGAATACAATAGAATTAAAAAATAACTGTTGTAGGTATTAAGAAGGTACAAGTACAATAATAAATAATTAAAATGTAATTAGTTTATATAAATGTTTAAAAATGTACAATAAAGGAAAAACACAACACGATATTCTGTTAAAATTTATTTGGATTCGAAGTGGTTACTTAATATTAATAAGTAGTATGATTGATATGCTAAGAAGTTGAAAAGTTAGGTATAGAAAATGCAAACAAACTTCTGAATCATTTTTATTCATGAAAGTAATACAAATCAATGCACCCCACTGTTTTTTTCTCTTTACTCAGAAATTACTAACTTCCCTACATGATGTTCGAGGAAGAATTGGTAATAAGGATAATAATAACATCAACGATAACTACTTAACAGAGAAGTTATTTTCGGAATCAAAGTGTATGCTGAATTTTCTTTTAGACTCTTATTGTGTCATTCGAAAAACAGCAATGTCATCATGTTTATTTTATCAATGATGATGACGATGTATATTATGTTGTATATATTTATCTAATCAAAATAAATACCTATCATCTGTACACGTCTTTTCAGAATGGTATTGTTCGATTTGTATTTATGACCAATGAATGATTAGGTGAATTATGAAACAGAATGAGAAATGTTACTTCTATAGTAACCATCATTAGAGATGCATGTGTGGGGTTGGATATTCGTCGGACGCCTAAACCAAAGCTAGTGGTTTTTTGGGACGTTCAATCTAGAGGTCTAGTCCACACGTCAGAGCATCAAAGACAGAGGATGCCGCCCTGTGGTAGTGGATAACGGAAATAAGTTCGTACCCCTTTGGTTCTTTGAGGATCACGGAGCCCATGTGCATTATTCGTTTGAAGCTAGGGTTTTCTAGTTCACCCTCCAGATCAACCCTTCGTATCCATCAACCTGGTTTGTTTGCTAACTCTCACTTTTTGTTTTCTTACTTCCTTAAAGAATATTCGAATGCGTGAAGTCAATAGGTAAAACTTTCCTGTCAGAAATCATAAATGCATGGGCGTCGGAGAGCATTTGTAAAAGGGTAGTGATTTCTCTCCTCTCTGCCATACGAATAGATTTAGGGGTCATTCATTAGTCTAGCCTGTTTACGGAGTATATATATTTGGCTTTAAACCGCACTGTATCAAAACTACCTAACTTTTCAAATTGTATTAGGTCTGGCAGGATTGGAACATGTAGGCTATCGGTTTAAAAATCAATTTAAACTCTAAGCCCCATCATATCGTCTGCGTTACTGACAACAGTATCTTCATAATTAAATCACTCATTTTACAACTAGTAGTTATAGGTCATCATCATCACTCTTTCTACTACGGTTCAAACAACCAAGGTATTATCACCTGATTCTGTTATGACTGTGTGACTCAAGATTAGATGACGAAAAATTGCACTTGATATATGATTCACATTGAGATTAATTAATTTGTTACTTTATTTAATAGAATGTTAACCAATTAAACAAGTTGATGTGGATGGACAGATGAATAATCTGTATGGAATGTTAGTACTAGCATTTATCAACTTATTACATTAATTACACTACAAAAAATAACCGTCTATTTATTCTAATCAAAATTTTGACTATACAAAAGAAACACTATTTTATGAATTGACTGTAATGCGTCGTTTCCTTAAAAAATTGCTGTGAACATTGTGCGCATGTTGCATAAATAACGCTACAATTGATCAGTGTATTATATCATGCTACATCAATTAAGATGATTGAGTTTTTGTTGACTTGTCATTTTGCTAATTAAATTAGTTTTATAAACGTTTATTATAAATAAAAGTATTCAGAAAGAAGCACGATATTGTTTACACGGAGATCTGCTATCATACAATGAAGTTATTAACTATTGTCGTATAATTAATTATCTATAGCAAATTTAATTGTCCTTATTATATGGTTTTGAAGAAACTAGCAATTGTGATTATAGGGTTGTGAAGATTGTTGAGTTTCACTGAAATCATGGACCGATCAATATTAGACCGCCAATGAAAACCTGCAAGCTCTGAATGGTCGTTTCTTCTTAACATGGTACTACTTGACTGCGCGAACCCGCGCACGTTAACCCAACCCAAGGCCCTGGGTTAAGCACTAAAATATCTAGACTCCGGTTCATTGGTCTAGAAGCTAAGTGTACGAGGTCGCAGGCGCGTACTACTGAGGGGTCCAATACTAGGACGGGAGGGCTATTCAATGCTTCCAGGTTTTCAATGGTGGCCTACCACCGACTGGTTCACAATTTCAATGAATATGATCATACAATATCAGAATTTGATTGAGATCATGAACCGATTGATGTTAGACCACCATTGAAATCCTGGAAGCACTGGACAGCCGTTTCGTCCTATTGTGGGACCCCTCGTCAGTGCTCATCCGCAATCCCACCTCGCGAGATTCGAACCCAGGATCTATCATGTTGATTACAAAATCAAAAATCATTAAATTTTGGCAGAATATGTAGGAGTAATTTTACTTTTCAACTAGTCAATCATGAGAAGAAATCGTATAATTTTCTTAAATTTTTATTATTATATTACTTATAGTTGTTGCTTAATATGAAGAAAGTAATTACTCTTCAGTACGTTATTGTATTTAATGGGTATTTTAAATTTTCTACTGTTTGACATACGAAAACATTCTCGTAGACACTTCATTAACTGGTTTTTAGATTAGATGCAATGCATACTAATCAAGTGAAGTTTGTTGGGTTTTGCTCATTTGGTTATCTCCAGTTCATATGTAAATATATTTGACTGTTATGACTTAGAACCCTCTCAATTATCATGTGACGAAATCGCCAACCAGATCGCCGACCTATATAACCTTGTCTCTGTGCTAAACCAATGGTGCGTTGACCATCAGCAGCAACCTCGATTCAACTCTGAGTCCTGCTTGGTCCTCTGTATAGTAGCTTCTTGCCTAATCCAGTCCGTTAGATATAAACCATTCCCGAAACTAACTGGACTATGTATCAGACCCACTAATTATACACGTAATTTGGTGTATTAAAAAGCAATTTTGTCGTTTCAAAGATGATATTTTCCAGTATTAATCATCAATAGACTAAATAGCAATTAATAACTTTGTTTATGTTAAGTGTAAAATCCTCAGAAAAATCAAGCTGTTAATCGTTCAGTTTCGTGATTTGGTATACAAAAGGGATGCATTGATTCAACAACTCAACTTCAGTTCCAAAATTCATTCAGTAAAAAAGTGTTAGTAAGTGGAAAGGATACTACCGAAGGACTTTGATATTTTGACTCATTTTAGCCAATCGGAAAGCAGCATGTAAATGGATTATACTCCAAAATAAAAAAATTAAGGAGAATATATTGTTTATGAGCGATGAATAAATCTTTACAATTCGACTATAGGTCCCTAAATATTGAAGTTTAAGAATTGGATTGTGGTTCAGTATTAAAAATAGAAGTTAGTTTATGCCATAACTTCTAATCTTAGCCATAAACCCTACTTCTGAACCTATCTTACTCGAGTCCTAACCTCTAACACAAATCTTTACTCTAATCTTGACCCTAGAAAATATTGCAGTAAAAATTACTCTATTTCGTGTTTCTGTGCACCCATGCACCATCATTTTATTTCCGCATTCACATATAAGTATCTTCTTCAGCAATCCAACATCTTGTAAATGTCTAATGATGTTTTCTTTACAAATATTGGTCACTATACCGTCCACTGTTAACAACCTGATTTTATGTAGCTCGATAAACTTAATTCTATGCTGATATATGCTCCATGACCTCGAAGTCCTTTTCTCTATCCTTATTAGTTCAGCAGTACACTTTAACTTTACCAAAATTTCCAATATGCTTTGAGAAATTGGTAATGATTTGACTATCCAAAATAGCAAATATATATATATCAATCTCCCTCTGAGTTCTGTCTTCATAATTTAATTTCACTGTGGTGATATGTTGTGGTGACTTGAACCTGTGCACATATGTGTCCCAGGTTCTATGTTGTTTACAACTAAATCACTTTTTGATTTCATTCACATTAATCGCCTACGTGGTAAAACATTTTTAGAATATCTAGTTAACCAGCTAATTATTCCATGATATTTAGCCTTGTATAAACTAACTTCAGTTATTGATAATCTTTGGTCTATTTACTCTCTTTCGTTTCATTGTAAAAACAATAAATAAATATTCAAGAGCTACCAAGTAATCTGTCATGATGCATCATTTATCCCATTTCAAATTAAACATTGTTTCCAAAATCCACATAACCAACTTCTTGTTTTAAATACAGATTAATTTATGAAATCTAAACAAATCGACCATAGGATGTGCATAACATATATATGTAGTTGAATTCATGAGTCGATCTAAGCTAGATCATCATTGAAAACCTGGAAGCATTGAATGGCCGTTTCATTCTAGTATAGGACTTCTCAGTAGTACGTGCTCACGGACCCATGACCTTAGGTCTCACTCGCTAACGTTTAACCTCTGGACCAGTGGACCGATATCCAACGGTGTTTATGTCTAACTTCCATCAATCCATGAATGATTACGTTTCAAGATGATTTTCTGAAGTTCTAGTGAAAAGTTGTGACCAGTGTGAGTCTCCACAAATTCCATTCTGATATATGTATATATATATATATAATTCAAGGGTAACTGGGTTGGAATTTTCCAATCGATTTATCATTCTAGACAGACTTATTATTTGCCTGTCTTACTATACACATATGGATATAAATTTATAACAGACATTGATATGATACACATTAAACAGATTAAATATGCAGATAGCGCTATGTATTTCCTTTGTTTTTTCTCTTTCTAAAAGAATGATCCATTAAACTGTTACAAAATTCAATGTCCAATAAGTTTGCTTCTATTTTGTAAATTGAATTCTGTTTGTCTGTTTGTTTGAATAGAAATGGTACTAGACAAATTTCGTTTAATTTAGTTACATTAATCATTGAAATTTAGTAATATATTCATGAGAATCTATGGGTTTTTTTTTTGGCTTTTCACAATTTGATTCTCATAAGATTTGAATAATTTGACATAGAAACTAATTGAAAGAGTAATCGATAAAATTAAAACACCGGTAAATAGTAAATCTGTGTTCTATAAGTTGTCAACTATTTTCTCATCTTATTCATGGTTAGATAATAAAATATACCTTTGTGGGTCAGGGTAATTTTACAATGATTTTCAGGAGAACCAGACATCATCCATATAGGCCTAAACGCTACAATCTGAATAGTACAGCTCAATCCCACTTGCAGAAAAACCAGATATTACCCAGGTTTAAACTTTATAACCTGAACAGTACAGCTCGACCCCGCTTCACAGGAGAACCAGACACTATATAGACGTAAACGCTACAATCTGAATAGTATAGTTCAATCCTGTTGCGCAACCACATAGGTACCAAGCACCCTGATGAACCGTCTCATCTTATTCACTGATCCATGTTTTCAAATTATTTTGTAAACTATTTACAATGATCATAAATTCTCTCGAAAGATTTAATATTTCCT